GTAAAGAGAGAATTGACTGGATAATCTTCTTACTTTTCTACAGTTATAACGCCTGCCATACCACGCAAGAAGACTGAAAATTTCACACAAATTTCCCTGGTTTATATCTTAGCTTTTCCGGTCGTGTCGTGCGCTAGGTTACATCTACTACTTTTTTCCTTGTCTTCTAAAAACGAATACATGCAGGTGGATAATTATGACGCATTATAATACTGTCTAGACTTACGTAATTAATTACAAATGTACCAGTAATTATGATTGGGCTCATTTCCCAGCTGGTTAGCACTTCGTTTAGCTCAAATCGCTTTTTAATAAATAAGAAAAATGTTAGCCTGCGAATGCAGCTTTCTGTTTTCGCTCCTCACCGCTAAGGACGTTTCTCTCCCGCGGATCGTCTCTTGCGGAGAAGAACGAAGAGAGACGGATGTATCCGCATGCTATATAGGAAAATGTGGGGTATGAAAAAGGCCGGACAAGACTCCTAACAAAAACAAATTATCAAAACAGTCACAAAAGGTGTAAAAAAAATACAGGTACTACAAGATTTTACTGGAGAAAATGGAAAAAACACTAATTGACGCTTTGAGACTCGAAAAAAGTGAGTTTAATGGAATTTCAAGCAACCTCTAGATCAAATTCCGCCCAGCAGTTCATGCTGAGGGCTGGATCAGAAACTAGTGATCTCACAGCCATGACCCCGGCATCTTATCTCAAGAAGTCAATTAAGGGTACAAAGTATTTCTTTTGACTTTCTTCAATTAGTCAAAGTTACATACTCTAAGTAACATTTACAAAGAACTGTCTCTCAGCGTGGTTAAATTTAAAGCTGATCGGTTTAAAACGCCTTTCTCGAGGAAATATACACAATACTGTTACTAGTACTAGAAACTTTAATTCCGGCTTGCTTCCTTATCATTATAAAAAACTGTAGGATCAATTTTGACGAAAAGCAAAACACATTAGTTCTGCACAGTTCAGTTAATTATAATATTCATAAATGTGGTGTATAGAGGGAACAACGAGTAGTTGATTGTTAAAGGGTTTTCCACACTGAGACAACTCTGTAGCATTAATATTGACCGAAAGTAGAGCGCATTTGTTCTGCACAGTTCAGTTAATTATAATATTCGTAAATGTGGGATCCGAATAGAACGTTGTAACAAAAAGAGAACAACGAAGAGCTGTATGTGCAAAGGATTTTCCCACAGAAAAGGCGTCCTTTTATCGACTGGAGCGGAAGAGCCAAGGCGCCAAGAAAAAAGGCGGAACAATACATGCCACAAAAATCTCATTTACATTAATAAAAACAATGGTTTCGTGGTTTTAATATGCTTTTTACGCTGAATACTATACAGTAACTGATAAAGACTGTTTTACAAGAACGAAAAAACATCTGTTCCTTCGCTTCTATTTCAGAGCGGGTGAAAAACTGTACCAAGCCAAAGGCAACGTAAATAACTAAAGGGATTGTTTTTTTCCAAAACCAATGAATCTGAATGTTTTAAGAGTCAGTATTTGCTTCTAAAGCGTCCTCTTTCGTAATCAATTGTGGTCAAGTAATGATCAGATATACTTCTTGTTCTCAGAACCGCATAATGAAAGATGAAAAAAGGAGAGTTTTGCGTTTTGTAGTACGGGTCGGGAACAGTTGTCGATCCAACGTTTCACAACTACGCTGACAACTTTCAGTTCAACAACTCTGTTTTTCTTATAATTGTTTCTGACCATTTGAAAGTAAAAGAAGGTGCGCGTGAATACGTAAACTTTTCGCGGAATATCAGTGGTCCGTGACATTCCGAGTAAATAATTTAGGCTTGCAATCATGGCACACGCTACCTTAGCCTGCGTAGCATGGCGGTTTTGTCGGGAGCACGACTGAGCGGCAAAGCCTCAAAAACGCGCGCACTGCTCGCGGTTTCTCTGCCTTCGCCCGCCTTTATTATTTAGCGCATCCAACCAAAACCGTCATGCTACGCAGGCTAACGCTACCTTGACATAAAAACTATTCAAACACTCTTCTCTCCAAAGTTATGACTCCTTATCTGAACAAATCTCATTTAGTTGTCTGCAGTCTGTTGATAAACGTGAATATTTGCAGCTATTTCCATCCTGCCCAGTGTCGTGCGCTTCACAGGATATGAACTCAGCGGGATACTCCTGCTCAATGGTAAAAGGAGGGTTTCCGTCCCTACTCGTTGCCTTGGGGTGTGTCCGGGGGGGGGGGAAGAAGTGTCTCTAAACTGCCAAATAACAAATCTCTCGGAAGCGTAGTCGAATATATCCTCGCGAATTAAAATCTTAAACTATTGGCTGTTATCTGTTTATTGCATACAAGCGAAGATTAATGCGGACAGTGAGGGCGCATTAAAAAGTGTCCGTATGTAAATGGGCAGAGGGTTGAAATTAGAGAAAATGAAAAGGCTTTCTTTCTGCAGGGATAAAGTAAACTGTCCGTAAAAAAGAGGTGTCCGATTTTAGCCGGTGTCTCGGCGTAAAGCAAGCTTTGACTCGTACATAAGTAAGTAAACAAAAAAATCAAAGACAAAATAGAACGGTTTTAGTATACGGTCCCGTCATGGCTCAATCAAGTTGAAAATGTTAACTGATTAACTTAGTCCCGAATCGTTGGCTGAACATGTAAACGGATTAACTGTTTATTCTGAATGTTTTCAATTTGAAAATTGAGTCAAGACGACAGCGAAACGTCGTTGAGTTTTGCGGCCCCTCGTCTTAACTAGGGGCCGTTCACTGTCTCAGAGGCCAAACTCTACTACAACCCTTAAGTTTATAATACGGAAATCTCTACATTGCAGCAGCACTTGGCTCTATTCCTCTGACTGACAGGTGGACACACCTTGACCTTGCACTCTAAAAGTTTACAAATAACAAGATCCAAAGTTTATAACATCGTGATGTGTCAGCAGTAACGGGTTTTTTTCTCGGATGGTGAAATTTCCAAAGCAATTACAAATACCAGACCCTCTTTTCAACTTTGAAAATTTAGAAGCAGAAACAATAATGTTGAGCGGAATTGTTTTTTCATTTGAATCTTGGTAGAGGTACAAAGTGACTTGATCGAGATGAGGTATAAGGCCTCAAAACCATGCACTGACGTGAATACTGAACATTGAACACCAGAGGAGTACAGAGGGAGAAAGATTTTGATCCTTTCAATCCCAGCCGTAACCAACATTTTCAATAAAATCCGATATTCTAATTTGTAAACAAAAAAATTCATTCTCAACTTCAAAATTTAGAACTGAATGATAAATATACCGTACTACCACGTAAAAGTACTGCGACTGCAGGAGCCATGTTCAAATGGTAACACTTTGGACTTTCCATTGCAGAGGCTCAAAAGCGAGAACTATTACGCCGTCTTTATTTTAAAAAGGTGTTTTAAATTATGCACAACTTCTAGCAATTTTACAATTAGAACAACACTATTTCTGCAGTGGTTTGCATCCCCCTGAAAGCAAAGTAAACAAGCTCGTACGCCCACCATCCGGAATAAGCTTAAAGAACGACAAGAATGTAAACCGGGGCTATTTTCAGTATAGTGCTCCACTGCATGCGAGATAATCAGTTTTAATTTACCGTTTACGTGTCTTGAAGGTTTTTCAGTCAAAAGTCGAGTTGTACGTGGAAAGTTCATCCAAGCGCAAAAACGAGCTATAAGGTGCGTCCTTCCCGCTCGTTTGACGTAAGAAGTCTCGTCTGGTTCGAACGTGTATTGAAGATAAACGGTGCACCTTTTGCTCGCACGAGATATTGCTGCCTGTTCCGGGTGCCTCTTCCTGTCTGAATTTGTTTACTACGGTCTCCAAGCAGCAGAGAGCGGGCGCGGTGACATTTTCTCGTACTTTACCGTAATTGGTATCTTTCGATCATGTTTTTGTTGTTTTACTTAATGATAAGAAAAGAGGAGTGCATTTAAATTTAAAAAACAACTGCGTAAATATCACCGCGTTTCCACCTTGCCAAACAAGTGTCTCTTTTTATGGGACTTTTTCTACAATTCTTGCGAAAGCTCCGAAAGCTAAGCGGAAATAAAGGAGAAGAGTTATTAAGTTTTTTGTACATGTTACAAGGAATATTCAGTTTATAGATATTGTTCACGGTAACTCACTAGACAAGATGAATTTATTGAAAAATACTTATCCAATCGCCGCTTACTTACACTGAGTATCTTAGCGAGCTCCTTCTGTTCTTTTTTCGCTTCGCAAACAATGAAAGTTTTTGTTGTCCGAGAGCGCGATGATGGTCAGAAAAGGGTTGACAAATTTTCTAATCTTAGACGTGATCTCAAAGAAGCAAAATGCAAATTCCTTGCGGAATGTGTCGGAAATTTCCAGCCGAATCCCAGAGAACAATAGACAACAATGGAAACAAAGTCAATAACACGTGAAACTAACCAATAGCAGGCCGGGTTAGTGACGTAAATATCCACCAATCAACAACGGCCGTCAAACCCACACAGTTTATTAGTAACGCGCGAAAACACACATGGTTACCAGCAATGAGTAAGTTGGAGCGGGAATCGTCTTTGGAGCGTACGATTCGCGAGGAAATTTCAGTAATGGGCATGAAATAGGAATAAACTAGCTTATGGCCGATCGTCTTACGGAAAGGCATTTCGCGAAGGAGGAAAAGTATTCGATAGCAAATTGAACTCGAAACCCAACACCGCCACTTATCGACCTGCAGTGTTCTAACCGGAAAGCTGCGATCGAGCAAACGCGATTGTTGTTGTGAAGTGACTTGGCAGTTCTGTCTAAGATGGATCCTCAGCGTAAGAGAATACAGAATAAGGATAGTATGGACTGGAGGTCTCCTCCAAGTCCATGCGGGCCATCATCGCCTGCATCACCCCCTCCGTTAGTCGTCAGAGGCAAAAGCCTGTCTCTAAACAAGGTCAATCCGCCGCCATTGTTAGCGCCGATCAGAGAAAGCGGGCCCAAGGAGCTATCGAAAAGAGGCCGCAAACAAAGACTATTGCTTTCTCAGGCTGGAAATTTAACGCTTAAGCGAAGGGAAACGTCACCGGATTTTAATAGACTTGAAGCCCGGCTAAAACCCAAACGAGGTAAGTTTATGTAGGAACGAAGCCTTTCTGTAATTGTTACATAGTGTCGAGTACGCTCAACTGGCTCTCTATTGCTTGATTTCATACGTAATCATAGCTTTGTTTGGCAGATTGCGGTCTTTCGACCAGGGTTTCATTTAAATCATCATTTATTTTATACTAATCGATTCGTGGTAAAATCTTGTGGTTAAAAGGTTGTGTGCTTGCACTAACTAGGCTGTAAACCAATTTGACGGTGCTCAATTCACCATCACGACAGCAAATTATGCTTCGGCCAAGTTTCTTCATTACACCTCATTTCAAGTGCGGAGTAGCCTATTTCCACGGAGCTAGTCTGCATTAAATAATTTTTGCAGAGAATGAGATGTTGGCTTGAGCCAGTTTACCGCGCAATCAAAGAGGTCCCTGTATATACGTGACTTTAGACATTGCGTGCTCTCGCTTTGGGAATTGTTTTTACGGTGCGCTAGTAGTTCACCCTTGCGGTGACACAAGTCTATTACGGTTCTCTATTCAATGTTCTCGATCGCGGCTCGCTCGCTCCTAAGTTTCGAAACACAAGAATGCGAATTCAGACACGAATTGCGTTTCACTCTTCGTTTACCGAACAAACATATTTTTCGTGAAAATCGCTTTAAATATTGTTGCTGTATTTACTTGTGTCGCTTTGTTTTATATAAACATTTCACTTCCACCGATCGCATGACTTGACGTTCACATTGTCGACGCACCGGTCAAGCCACTAACATACCGGCTAACTGAGTGTATAGCCACAGTATTTATTAATGCGGCATGGACAAATGAGCGGTGTCTCTCTATTATTTCTCCCAAAAGGCCGCCGTTTTAAGCGGTAATGTACATGTAGGTGTCCTAATCCACCTACCATTGTAGATGTGTAACCAACCTATACAATTAAGTAGTAATACGAATACTACAACGCTCTCCTTCCGTAAGCACCGTTTGCACTCAAAGCAATATCCTTGACAATTCAATGATCCTTCCTTTTCTTCATGACTCGCTTAATCAGTTTTCAGCGCGTTGAAGACGCGTGAAAATCTATCTCGTGACTTAACAGCGACCAAAGCAGACATTTTGCCTGTCATGCAAATCGCAAAGCAATCACAAACAAATTGCTTTTTGCCCCCCAGGTTTTAACATAGGTTTCAAGACCTTAAAACGTTAGTGAATTGTAAAGTAAAAGATTTTGCACAAATATAATTTGTTTGCACGGTTACTTTTGAGATGAAGAGAGGCTCACCTCATCAAGAAAAAAGTACATTTTGGTGAAAGGTACAGTACAAGAGTTGTAAACAACCAGTGAAGCGAGAAATGTTGCACCGTCTTGCACAAGTTCAGGCTTTTGAGCAGCTCCTTATTGAAGTTAATGAGGGATAAGGTAATGAATATAAAATATAGCTGTATAGATCCTGCATCGAGCTAGTTCATGAAACCACTTAATTTCGCTATAATATCAACAGCAGACTTCAAAGATCTCGTCGATGTTTTTATTAAACTTCGACGTCGGAGCTGAAAAAGCACAGCACAAACAACCCATATAACATACATGTATCTTGCTAGGCTAGGCGGCTTCTACAGAAGTTTTTTACAATTTCAATAATATTGCAATTAGCATATAATGACAGCCTAGTTTCACTCCCCAGCTTTGCCGCGTAAAAAATTCGTGTGTTCCATCATGAATTTTAGCTTAGAGAATTTAATGTCAATTGTCAAGAAGGTTATCCAAATAACTTAAACCTTTTCAGTGAGCATTTATAGACCGGCAGGTCTGAGTGGCCGTTATTGAATGTTTGAGGAGCTACTATACTATAACACCTTCGGCCAGACGTGATTTGTTTTAGGTATCCGTAATCTTCCGGTGCAGACTGACAAAGGTTTACAAGTATGAAAAGGCGATTTGTGATAGCTATAGGTCACTCTATATCCATACTTCAAAGTTCAGTCGCTTGCAGTTTTACTATTTGCTTGCCATGCACAAAAAAAAAGATCACAAGTTGATGATTTATTGATAGTTGAGTTATGTAACAAACAGAGTTGCAATGTATTTAATCTTCTAAATCAAAGGTATTTTGGGCCCAAATAGGTAAATAGCTCTCGTTACTTCAAAAATCAAAACTAAGTTTCCTTGCTCTGGCGTAACCAAATGTTTAATTCCTACGAATTATTAGTTTAGTCAATATTTCCCAAACATACAAATAGACTGATCAGGAGCTGAGCGTTGAAGAAAAAAGTTAAAACAAATTTATATGACCAAACCAAATTTGTATAGCTTTATAATATAATCTCTGGATTATGATCCTTAACGCTTCCAAACCTTAATAATGTTGTTTTTGAAGATTTCACTAAACTTGGAATGCTGATTAGATAATTTTGTTCATAAATCAACGTTCGTATCAGTTTACCACATTTCACGTTAGGAATTGCATTCTTGCCAAAGTTATTCAATGTATTTTCATAGAAATATATATTCTATGTTACAGGTAGAAAGGAAAGAAGCTTAAAAACCCATTCTTCCAATGTTTACACTAGTGCACTTATAACGTGAATATTTACACCAGTTGAAAACATTTTCTATATGAACCTTCCTATTGAGTTGCCATGGTACTTAAGGAAAGTTATGTTAACGCTGTGAAAAGTTAACTATCCTTAATATTTTGAGCACTGTTTGCTTGATATTAGCTGAGAGAAAGACCTAGCACCTCTTGAAATTGTAAGTTAAGATTACCGGTATATGCTAATAAAGAGTGGATCAGTGTATGATCTGAAGATAATTACAGCTGGTTTGCAAAGCTAACACTTTGAGATCAGAATATGCATAAACTCTTAAAAATTCCAACAACTTAGCAGTCAAAAGATGTAAGGATTTCTGCCACGCCATTTCACGTTGTGAATACTTAGTGGTTAGGTTACTGGGCATAATATCAGCTTTAGATAGTTTCATAATAGGGACCCAAATGGTCATAATGGCCTGCCGATGAGGTGTGGCAACCTGATCAATAGATAAATCAGCCAGACTGTCTGGCTGGACTTGTTTTAATTATAATATTACGTTATATCATGGTTAGGATATTATCTGTCCACAGGAATCCATGTAAATGCAACTAACAACTGCAGTTAAACAGTTGTCAAAGTACTTATCACTTATAACTTCACTTTCAGTCTCCAAAAAAATTCATTCTCTCCAACATAAAAAATATATTTGCACGTTATTAAATAACAAATAAACAAGGTTTGAGTTCAGCCCTTTATGCAATGTTACTTGAAAAGTACAGGTACAACAAATATACTATATCCTTCATCCAAATTAGGAAACTCGTGTGCAAAACAAAAATAGAACCACTTACAACAATATTGCCCAGCATCAAAGCTAGTGTAAGCCCTCACGTACGTTACATCTTGAGTTTGCACAAGTGCTTCTAAGAAGCTGTTGGAAATCACTCTCGAAAGACTGCAAGGAAGTGACAGTTGCTAGTATAGCTCCTTTCATTAACCAAAACAACAATGCAGAAGCACTGATTGTGATATTACTTCAACTGCTAAACAACTGAGTACTCTCTCTCTCTCTCTGTGAACTGATGAAAGAATCTCATTCCCTGCATGAGGTTTCGCTCCAAGCCAAACAAGAAATTGTACTTCCATAGGAAGGAAGGTACATGTATATTGAACAACTTTGGACTGATGAATTGATCAGTGAATCCTTGAATGATAAAATCTCAGATACCTTTTATCTACTTTGCACATCATAATAATATAATATGGATGATGATCACAGTTTTATGTTTAATTTTTGGTTGAATGTACCAGCTAAATTGATCGATCTACAAAAATTGCAACTTGATCTTGGCCAAAGTATTAAAATTATTATTATTTTTTTAAATTGTACTCATCATTTAAGCAAAAAACAAAGTTAGAGTATTTTACTTGTTCATCCAATCTGAGGCCTTAAATGAAACACAACTTTTTGCTCTTTGGAGAAGCTAGTACTGTACATGTATTAGTGGATGTTAGTTCAGCATTTTTATGCCAGATTTAATTTGGAAGAGAAGACACGTAATGTCGCTAAGTCTGTGGGAAAAATCTTGCGCTACGTCCATTAATTTTCAAAATCTCTACAGCAGTACTTTCTCATTTTATTGCCGTATTAATTCATTACGCCATATAAACCTGTTCCTCCTTATAACTTTGTTGGTAAAATGCATAGTGTGGTCATTGAAATGAAATCTGTTCAGCAGTACTTTTTACATTATGGACCCATTTTGTTTTTCAGTATGTCACAAAAAGAAACTGAAACTACAGCTGTATGCCGAGTTTTGCAAATGTCAGAGTTGATATTCATTTTGCATGACAGGAAAATATTTTTCATCAGAGAACAACAATAATTTCTTGAAAGTTATGAGAACTTTCAGTAAACATCTGTATCCCTTCACATGTGTAACTCTGTGTAACATTCAAGAAATCTTTGGTGATGAAGTGTACAGTCAAACCTGCACTTATGGCCACCTCTCTAACATGGCCATTTTTTTGGTGGACAGTCCATACATTCACTCTTGTTTCAACCTCTCAACAATGGCCACTTTCTTCGGTCCCCAAGGTGGCCGTTGTAGAGAGGTTCAACTGTCTACAAAGCTGTGCTCTAACCCTGGGGCCCAATTTTTGCTGTTGGGGAACTAGGAAACCTTGGCTTTTTCACAGCAATCTCATGCTGGGCACCCTGGATTTCACAGGTTCAGTGCACCTGGCTCCCTTCAGTTTATCTCAGAGCACAGCCTTGAATATCATGTCCCAACAGCCAAATCTTCATTCTTTCATTCATTTACACATTGCAGGTCCCCTTCCTATGAGAATGAGAGCCCTTCCTCAGTCGTTCTGGCAGGAGCCCAAGGACATCCAGAATAGCTCACTGAGCACTGAGGGAACATTACAAACTTTACCACCATTATTCCATAACGCCAACAACACAAGTTATGATGTGAGTAAAGTTAGGCCGGTCACTCCTCCAGAGGAGAAATTGCTGCCACGACCACCCAAGGAACCCAAACTAGTTTATACTTCTCCACAAGAACAACTTTTAAAACTATTTGAGACTGTGGAAGAGGACAAGACAAAGAAGTTTGTGATTCGAAGAGGAAGGTAAGACTGCAGTTGAACATGTACTAGTAATACCCTGCTTACTTAAATTGAAAGTCTATAGCTATTACATGGAGAAATATATTCTGTTATAAACTGATATGCCCTATTCATTTCAAACTGTCCCGATAAAAAATTTTACAAAATAACTACATCCAGTGGCCTCCGAGCTGTATAACTATACCAAAAATAGTCTTAGGGAAATTTAGTTTGCCATCAAATATCTTTTGTTTCTCTAAAATTCTTTTAGACTCTTAACAGTTGTACTTTCTTTTATCATTGCCCTTGTTGTGTACTGAAGTTAAGTTGATGCTAATTTTTTTTGTTAAAAAATGGATTCTAAGCTAAAGAGTGCGGCAGTAATCCCATGAATTTATTGACAACAATATTACAAAATTCATTTTACCAACAAATGTCAAAGTCCTTCAACTGTTGTTTGGTAGTGTTCCATAGTGGATAGGGAAATCATTAATATTCATCACGAGCTTAGTTAATGAAACAATTTCATGAATAACTTTGCAAGCATATTATTACAGCAACAATTCCATCAATGAACGGGCTACTAATATAAGATTAATTTCTAAGGTTAGTTCATTTACCTATCTAAATTTTCCAAAAAGCATGTTGACATGAGCACCAGCAGTACACAGTACTGCATAGGAAATACATGTACAATGGTATCAATTGGCATAAACAATGACAATACCAATACATACAATAATTATTGTATGAAATATATTTCTCTAAATAAATAATTAGTACCTTTAATGAAAGCTACAAATTTAGTGCAGATATGTATATGTCATGCAGCTTGTTGTCAGTGGCTTCTAGAACAAAAAAACACAGAGATATCAATAGTTGTTGACTCGAGATCAATTTAGGTATACATACAGCTACGATAAGAGAAGTAACACTACTGATTACCAAAATAGGTTACAGTCAGGAAACACAGTGACACGTGTCCAGTGGTATAGGCCTTGGATTCAATATCATACATGTATGTGTAGTTATGTGTACATGACAACAAAACCTACATGTGGTTTTCTGAGCTGAAGTAAACACTTAAGATCCATTTTAATTCCACACAATTGCTTAGAGAATCTTTATGATAGGTGTTCGATACCACTGCCATAAGGGCTTTGTAATTGGTCACTCGATGTGGCTGTTATGAAGAGTTGTAACACTTACTTTAATTAATACCACTCAGATGTTTAAAACAGTGTTTATTTATAGACGTACAACTGTAGAATTTATAAAGTATGCTTTGATATTACAGCTTTTAGAGAGGTCAGGATATTGGATGCAATAAATATATTATTCCAGCACTCCATGTCCTTAAAAGGCATGGAACATGTAAGAGAATCAATTAAGCTCATGAATTAACTGACGAGGCTAAGAAAGTGTTATTCTATTACTGATCCCATTATACTCCCTGTAAATTTGTAAGATTAACACTAATATAAGTGGTGGTGGTGGTATAATTTATTTACAATGCTACGAATTAATTGAAGGTTTAAGATCTTAGTTGCTCATTTGAATGTTATGGTTGGCCACACATTACACTGCAAGCCAATATTGCATATGTGTACACTGTATTACTGAAAACAACTATGAAGAAGAGGGAAGGTAACTTATGAGAGAGATGTAGTGTTCATTAATTCATGTTGAAAGCATGGGACACTAAATTATTATATACATCTGAAAACTAAATGATTTGTAGTGTTCACCTACTGCGAAGCTGTACATAGGCTTTGTTAAGTTTTTAAGATGCATTTGCAGCTAAATACTGAAGTTATTATTTGCAATGTATATGTAAAGTGCAATTTTAACAAAACAGTTCTGTTTCTTTTGTATTTTTAGGCCAAGAAGAGCTCAGTCAGATTTAACTGCACTGTCCTTGCCAAAGCTTGAGGAAGACCCATGCATGTTGGATAGCCTTGCAGAGAAAATGTTTCCTCAGCTTTCTCTAGAGCACAAGCAAACCCCAGGTGCTAACACACAATTGTCCTGTGTTTCAGTGCACGATGGGGACAAGTCAGTGCAACTACCATCCCTTAACGTAGAGCAGAATTACTCTCAGATGTTATCTGAGATTGTTGCTCACTTTTGAGGATAAGCAAAGAGCAGGGAGAGTACAAATGCAAGGCATTATCTTTCAACTGTAACCGACAGATGTGCAGTTCATTCTTAAACCCATTCACGGGTAAGATACGTGTTATGTCATTGGTAACCTGGTGCGAGTTGTTTGTCAGATAAATGTACGTATGAGTTACAAATATCCAACGAGTTCATGGATGGCCACTTTAAACAAAATGGATCAGACAGTATTTAATGAAACAAGGGAGGACATGCATATGTCAGGGTAATAGCAGACTACTGGTTACCAAGCTAGAGTTCTTGTTTGTATAACTGCATGTACATGATTTGACATTACGACAACAAAATTTTATTTAAACATCCCTGCACCAGGTGTATTGTTACCGTGTTGAATATAACATTGGTTAAGATATTCCTCAGTTCTTTCAAAGAAACTGACTAGAATAATATTAATATGAAAATAGTGAGTAAGCAGGTTTACATTAACTGTGCTATAGTCAATGTCAAGACATTCTGTGCACAATACTTACATGCAATTGCCTGTTTTGTGGCCCATCTACAGTGTAATCTAAAAAAGAATATACATTTATATAAAATTAGTATTAGTAATTTTGAAATTGCCAAACCTTGAGATCAGAAATTCTGATGCAATGATTATCAATTATTGTGTGTAATATAGTATGTATTCTTTGCAGTGAACAATTATGTTTATAGAGGACAAAATAACCATTCACAAAAAATGAAAAAAAAAATTGGACTGTTTATATGGCTGTCATAACCCTTTCACCTCACTTCCACTAATTTAAATCCAAAAACTACAACTCCAATGTTGAACTCTTGAAGTTTCTATATTTTGTATATACCGGGGGTATATGGGAATTAAACATAAAGGCCAGGGTCAACTTGTTAGAAGCCTGGTTTTGCAGTAATCCTGGGATAATGGCAAACATTGCATTATATTTTAAATTTTCATCAGGCCCCAGTTTTTCCTGTTAGCAGAGGCCTCTTTTTCTGAAAAGGTGGACATCCCTATCCAGTGGATATTGGTTTCCATAGTACTTATCAGCTGGATAGTGATTTATCCTAGATAGCACTGCACTATCCAACATTTGAACAACTGGGGCCAGGGTTATAACCAATAAAAAATTTTCTTACAAACCAGTGTGCTAGTCTAGGCTAAATTTTAATTCTGTGAGTGAAAGGGTCAGATATATCCATTAAAACATTCACATGTATATATCCATTCACAATTTGAGTTCTGCTAGAATTAAACAAAATAATATTCAACCCAATTCATTGTCATGATAGATATTATATCCCAAGGATACAGTATGTTAATGATTATAAGATAGAAGACAGTGGAAATTTTGTCTTGTATGTAATAAATTTATTTTCAATTAAAAAAACAAATATGATTCATTATAAAATGATTTCCACAATATTTTTCTGGAAAAATGTACTTTCCTTTGGTTTGTTGGAAAAAATTTTTAAACAATGCTCTCAGTTTGTCTGTGTTGGTATTTTTAAACTCAGCTACTAGAATCATATTATTGTAGCTACTAGTACTTTTAAATGATATAGCTTCTTAAGAGGGAATGTTACATCATTCAATTTGTCTGAGTCCATTAAAAATTATGCTTACACTTGGCATTTTTTTTTTGTCTGTTGATGCAAGTGTGGTCTTTCTTTGGGTCACAGATGCTCCAAACCTTCTGTATAGAGGGTCTGCGAATTAGTGCACAATATCGTGTTCAAATCCTGCAGAGTCGCAAGGACATTTGTTGGCATTTGTGATCGGCTAGTTTCTTACAGAGTGTGGAATTAGTCCGATTTGAATTAAGTATTGACGGGCCAAACACAACTTGATAGTGTGAAACATGAGCTTAGAGCCAGCTTGAACAACAGAGGTTTTTCTTGCTCTCTTTTGGGTAGTTTATGTAGTGCTTGGAGTATTCTACACTTTCAGTGAGCAACTTTTGTTTTGCCGCTTTGAGTTTCACATTTAGAACTTATGAAGCTGGTCTGTTCCATGCATATTGAGTAGTTGGTTCCTGTGGTTTATATTTCTGCAGATGTTTACTTTTTGGATTTGATCACAGATGCAGTTTACCATTAAATGATTTTCTTTTACATGTTTAAACCTTAAGCTTTTTTATTGCAGCTAAATAACGATAGTTTCTTTGGTTTTCTCCAACATGTCTGGACCTGAATAGCTACATGTCTGTATTTTTGTTTTGGCTGCGAATATCATGATTTCCTGATTTGTTTTGATGCTAGAACTGTCAGCTAGATTTCAGAATAGGCAGCAGAGCATCTGCAGCGATTAGATGACACTGGAAAACCAGTCAGCAAATTTACAAGCAAATTCTGGCCTTAAAGGAATTCTGTCAAAGCATTTTTTTGTTCAGACAAATGCTTTAAAGTCTGAACTGCTCTTTCATTGTTTACTGTAAAGGATCCTTGCCAACTCCCTTCTGTGAATTTTGACACATCACTGCGCCCAACCGTCACGCAGACATAAGAATTAGGCCAATCATGAGGTACATAAGAAACCCGCCTATCAGAAATGCTCACATACGTCCTTGCGACTCTGCAGGATATTAGAATGAGTTTTTGTGCACTAATTCGCAGACGGACTATACAAATGGTTTAGACGAGTGCGTGAGCCGGCTGCAACGTAGGCTAGTGTGGTCTTCATATAGAAAATTATTGGTTATTCAAGGTAGATATTGGTATAACTGGTTTTCACCTCTTGTAGAGATAGTATCATAATTAAATGAAGGAATATATTAAAATGGGAAAGTAGAACGGCTCTTAGATATAGAGACAAGAACAGATCAAGTTGTATATACAAACATGTAAAAATATCTGTAAATAAACGAGTTTTGTTTTGAAAAATCTGTTTAAAATCTCATTCTATTGCTGGGTTTTTCAGCTGATGTCATAGCATCCTTCCTGGTGGATAAAGGCAAAAGAGAGACAGATGTTTATTCAGTCAGACTGGTACTGGCAGCTTGGAAGAAAAAATTTAAAAAAATTGACTTGAGTCAAACTTATGACCTTCTGGTTACTACAGTGTAGTCCAGAGTCCAGTTGTTCGAAAGGTTGATAATGCTATCCACTGGATAAATCTCTATCCAGTGGATAACACAACCTCTGGATAGCGATATATCCGGTGGAGAACGCTATCCAATGCTTGAATAACTGGAGCCAGATACTCTACCACTAAGGTATAGGAGACCCGTGGAAGCTAAGGCCACTGGTGCAGTTTTTTCTTCCAAGCTGCCTGTGTCATGTATTCACTAGGCTTAAAATTCAGTGTTACATTTCTATCAAGAGCAAAAGTGTTTCCCTTAGCCCATGGGGGAGAAATGAATGCGTGACAACCGAACCCCAACGGACGTCTGCGGGGAGGCTATGTTTCCCTCTGCTGTGATCTGAACTTTTTTTTTCAAGCAAATTCTGCGAAAATGGCCCACCAGCATGGCCACATTGCCGTGCTGTTAAAAAAAAACAGCAATAATACTGTCTGGGGTTATCTATTTTGATGTCTTGATTCTAGTGGATGTTTCAAAGTCACTGTGTCTGTAATTGGTGCAGTTCCTTTATACAGAGTCTTGGTGGTACAATTTTTCTCTGTCAAACCATTTTCATGAGTTTTGACCTGAGTTCTCAACACTTTGCCATTACTTTTATGATCCATAAGTGAAAGGAAACTTAAAAGATTTGTCAATTTTACAAGGACAACCTGCCAATTACTGCTAAGGAAATAACTTTTTCCCTTTGAAATCGTACACATTTAGGAAACAAGAAACAAAAGGAGGGAGAATTAGGGAATTTAAATGATCTGTGGCAGGTTGCCTTTAACACTACATACATTTGGTACTAGTCCAATATTTAATATGTAGATTGCGTTAAAAAATATATCTACAACTGCAGTTAAACATGCCACCGTTTCATAAATTCAAAATGTATTCAGTGAAGACGTAAGGCCTTATAAATGTTTTCAGCTGGTCTTCAAAAGAAAAATAAATAAACGTGCGTAGAATTTGTCTGATTTCCACGGTGTAAACAAGCGCTTTACTTAGGCAGTTTAAAAAGATGCAAAGAAATATGTTTGTTTGAAAAACATTTCTTAATGATAATTACGCTTTTGTTAATTATTAGTTTAAGGAGCTAATTTTGTGTACAAAGCAACACTAGGAATTAGCTACAGTTCCATTTTAAAGACAGGGATGAGCCCCAGAAATATTAAGCTTAAAATTAAAAACAGCAAGATCAGAATTGTGACTTCTTGATCCACAGTTTGCGCGTAAAATTAAAATTTTGTAGAATTTGACTTCGTTTAAACGTCTGCTTCTCAATAATAAAATCTAATAAAACGTGATTAAATGAGGGGAATGTATCCTAGAATAAAAACCACAACTTACCAGCGTCCACAACAAAAATACCAAAGCAAAGAACTCGCTCAACAAATTTGAAAATTTCATTCTCCGGTATCTTGCTCTTTCACACGGTGTAACCTAACAAACATGCTGATTGGTCAGACAATGAAACGGTAATGCTGATTGGTTATTTCGGAATCCTCGCGGCGGGAACGTTCTTTTACGGTTGTTTACAAGTCATGCATGAAAGATTATACATACGCGGGTCAAAGTCAAAGTTTTGACGATAAACAAGTCGCAGTGTTTTTTTTCCTTTTTACTCCTTTGCAGGAGCCCATCTTTGTTATTCACGGCTGGCCTTTTCCAACGGAAACGGATTCAGTTGGTTGAGCAAATCAAAACCGAAGGAGGACAGTTTTGGCTCGAATGATTGGGAGGTTCGAGAAAAACTGATCGGGATTCCACCGCCGGGTGTTCCCAGAACTTTGGGATGGGGTGTGGAGCGTGCATCTGACAGCCTTGTCCAAAATATGCGATTTCCACTACTCTTTTTTAGCAGCTCGCTTACTCTTACACATGTTACCAGCTGCTAAAGAAGTGCTGCGATTTGCAACGGCTTTGAGAAGGACTTCAAATTTCAGGGACGGATCTAGGGGGAGGGTGCAGGGGGTGCGCACCCCTCCCCCCCTACACCCTGAGATGACTTGCGGCTTTCTACTGTTATTCGGCAAAAAAAAAAAAAAAAAAAAAAAAAACTTTGTGGTTTATTGGTGTTGAAATAAAATATGAGACGAGGTTGAAGAATTTATGTTAAACACCGTAATTTAATTTAAAACATTCATCAGACCCCATTTGATTGACGCTGACAGACAGACAGTTTTCTTTGCTGAAACCGCTCACATAAACACATTCGAGGGGTAGGGGCGCTTATTGGAAATCTGTTCTCTCATCACAGGCAGCCCAAGCTCAGTATGAGATTCCAGTGTGGTACCAATCTCGTACCCAGAGTCTTCTGGCTTTTTGGTAAGCGGGGCCCCGCTCACCAAAAAGCCAGAAGACTCTGGGTACGAGATTGGTGTGGTACAATATTGCATAATCACATGTAAAAAAAGAGGAAAACGGGAGTAAAAACATCACTAAAATCGCATCGGATCAACCACACAAAAAACAAAAACACACCATCTTAATAAAAAAATACGATTTTCATTGAGAACTTCTGCGAATAAATATCTCAGTTCTTGAATCTACCCTTAATTAATAAAATGCATGCCAACTGCTAAAAGCCAATGATGTAAAAACTGCCATCAAGAGGCTGCCTTTTTTATTTGTTTTGCACCTCCATGCATAACCGTGACTAATTTTCTATTATTTTAGTCGGTTATATACGTCTCCATTGGTGCGTAGCCTGCGTAACAGGCGCAGGGGTGTTTTTTGGCGAAGGAAGAAATCTCGAAGACGCGCGAGGGGAGAAATGGAGAGGAGGTTTCCTCTCCACTTCGCGTGTTCCCCTCGCGTGGCCTGTAAAACTGAACCGTCGGCGCCTGCTACGTTGACTTATTGGTGCGGAGAGAATCTTGAGGGAAAAGGAGAACGCTTTTTCTATTGCCTGACCCCGGTAACTGTCCACAGGCTAAACTGCTTTTCATAGACCTTTTTTTCTTGTCCCTAAAATACAATCTTGATCACGTCTACTTGACACACTTTGATTATCAAAAGTCTTGGGAGGGGCACCCAACGAGCACTTAAACATAGCATTGTTAAACATATTTTAGTATTTAAACGGTAGATTTCCTAACTGAAAGTCTAGCGATCCGAAAATAATAGGGATCAAAACTTACCTTTTCGAAAATTTCAGCCAAAAAAAAGGCTCCCGAAAATTCTAGGTGACCTTTTTAGAGTAAAAATCCGTTAAAAAATGGGCAATTATACCATTTTTTAGATGTTCGAAAATCCTAGGAGCAGGCAAGCAAGAAATTTTACAAAAAAATGTTCCGAAAATTCTAGATTTCAAATATTCTTCCGAAGAGATATTTTCCAAAATTGACGTTGGGTGTCCCTGAAATTTGACAAAAGCTATCCCTGACTACCTTCCTCCCTTGATAAGACGAATTAGGTGGCGATAGTAGTAGGCCTAGTTAATAGAAACGAATGTTTAAACTGAATTCCTGCTTTACCGAGAGGTGTTAATGAAGTCAAATTACCGTGTTCAGGGATTAAAAAAAACAGCATGTAAGAGTAGACAGGGTAGGAAAGGCATGAATTAGTAAAATTATTCTAGACCAACGGATTGCGAACCAACCGGAAATAGGTCTGTGTTGGCAGGCTAATAGCCAGGAAAGAGGCAAACTGATTTCTTTGTCTGCCACTTAAGAAATTGTAAGGGCCGCCTCGATATGATAATTTATCATCCTCCCTGTCTGCAATTACGAAACAAACAACTTGTAAATTGCACACTGCTCAATGAACTTGAGTAATATCTGATGTAAAGTGCTTGTTTGAATACGTCTGAACAAGGAATTAGTATCCACGGTAGATGGTCAAAAACATTGCTTTCACGACCTTTTTGACATTTGTTTTGACTGTTGACGATCGGGTTTTGTGGATTTCAAGACTGAACTTGAAATTATTAGACAAATAGATAGGACTTTAACGTGTAGCATTACTTGATATCTCCTAGAAATAATTCTATTGCATTCCTCCCGGAACTAATTTGAGGAAGTCAGTTTTATCTACGTAAGCCAAAAAATAAGAGTTGAAGAAAATCACAGCGGACTAAAGAACTCATGTCATAGTGCTACATGTGAATTTAAAAGAAACAACCCACACGTATTTGCTAAAAGGTGCAGGGACTGGCTGCTTAAAGATTAGCAGCTTTTGTAATCATTTGACGACTGCTTTCGAAGACCAATACCAAGAGATGCTAATTGTTTCCGATGAAAGTCACGGAAGTAAATGCGTTCTCTGGCACCACGCGGTTGTTGCTTAAATTTGTTGAATTTTCAGCGAGTACCTTTTTCATCTTTGACAAGACAGTGATGAGTACACAGCTCTACTAGCTTCAGACAAAGTTCTTCAGCAAAATCTCCGGAGGCGAATCTGGGTAACTGAACAACTTTTAGCTCGATTGAACATGGAACTTGAAACAAATTTCGAGTATTCCCATACCTCTTTAATAGTATGTTTTTTTTTTCCATTCCTCCTTACCCAGCCGATAACTTACACCGCATCCACCGAAAGGGTCCGGCCATGCCGGCTTGCGTTTGACCGGCAAAATAAACCAATGAGACTCTAAACCTTTTCGAGACTGTATCATAAAGACATTTGTTCCTGGGCTAAAAATAAAACACAAACAGCGGTGATAAACATGGTGAACTTACACATTTTTATTTCAACTTGACGTTTCGTATGCTATAAATCAACAAACATTTTCAAAAGTGATCGTTTAAGATTATGATAAACTATTTCGTTAGGAGCCCATAGCCACTTTATATGGACCACCTGATTTCGTACAAAAATTATAAGGGTTCTGGAACCAAGATCAAGAAAAATCTTCACAATATAAATATAAAGCAACAGCAAATTAATCATGAAAGTATCACTGTAAAGTTAAAGAAACAGTGTATATTCAAGATCTTGATCCAGCTTAAAAAGCCAACATCAGCAGTGAAAAGCTGCTCCTTTATTAATTTGCTGTTGCTTTATATCTTCACTGTTAAGATTCTTTTAATCTCAGTTCCAGACCCCTTATTATTTCCGTATAAATACTTCTGTAATAATCTATAACGATCACTTTTTAATGTGTGTTGACTAGCAAACCGTCGAAACGCAAGTTAAAATAAAAATGCGGAAATTCAAGATATTTAAAATATACGGATTTAGCCAGAGCTAAAAGCGAAGTTCCTGTGACAGTTATAATGTACTTCAAAGAGTGAATTTGGAGCCTTTGCGAAGGAAGGCTTACAAAAAATAAACCGTGAGCCTACGATGAGTAAAAGCTGATAACTAGACAGCGGAAAACCTTTAAAAACGCGTGACCTCTATAAATTGAAACCTGAGCCCGCGAATTGGTCATTTGATACTGGCTGGGCAGCCGATCGCGATACCCTTTTCTGACAGCTGTCAATTGACCATATCACGGACATATCTATCATCAAGTTAAACACAGGTTGCAGGCTCCCATACAAACTAAAATATGTCATTTCACATTGGTTACCCTGTGGTGCGGACGGACGAACGTACGTTCACGTGACTACCAAAATTTAGAGTTCCGCTTTCACCGTCGATGGCATTTTCTGGACTCTTTTAGGGTCGCGCAAAGTGTCTCTCAACGCCCACTATTTTCTGGGAATTTTTCAGACCCGAAAAGTTCGAGGGTCATTTAGAGAAACGCACGCCCGTAACAACTTCTACATACCTAAACACTTTGCTTGTTAACCATTAACAAAACGCTCTGTTTGAAGAGTAAAATTAATGGAGTACGACTTTTCTAGTCGTTCCTGTAGAAAGCAACGAAATTTCTGCAAAGGTAGTCCTGTGCATGTCGGCGCGCTTGGAGTGGTCCGGACGGAAATTCGTGTTATATTTCTTCAAAGCCTTCTTTGATATCAGCTTTAAGCTTAGCGGCCGTTTTTCGCTAAAGTGATCCTGGACCGAAATTTACCAGTTCTGAATTTTGCTTAGTATTTGCCAGAATTTCTACAGTTTTCCAGTTAAGTGCTGCTACGATCACACGACCTCTGAATCCGAACAATAGTAGCGATCGTATTCGGACTATTCTCAAGATAGAAGAGACTTATATTTCAGCGATGTTTGATCGCTGGATTTTTTTCACTTCTCGTAGAGACGATTTGGAAACCCGGCTTCGATCACTGCGAACCTCCTAGCGATCAAAACACGTTTGCTGTCGATTTCGTGCACTATTAACTTAACCATATCGACACTACATAACAACGCTGTTATAAATTATTCCACCTGCAAAGTATCAGAAGTAATTCATATAAGATATTTTCTTCTGTTAGCATTTTATTGTTATGGCATGACGTCAATTACATGACCTCAATTGATCTGTCTTAGTTTCGCCATGAAGAATCCGGCATAACAAAAAAATATCTATAAAAACTCGTTCAATTTCTTGCTATAATTATAGCAAAGAAAGGTTTCAGTATAGTATTTTTTTCTTGTACTATACGTAAAAAGTATAAATGCCGTAGTAGGCACTCTAAATGAGTAAGAAACGTAATTCCTGCTAATAAAAAAGAGCTTTCTTTAGAAAGCAATTCACGTGTTAAAACTCGTCAAACGAACCTTTTTAAGACTGAACCACGCAGCCATAATTTTGTACACTTTAAAACTACATTAAATTATCACTCAATAAATTAAAATCTTAAAAGTAAGCTACATTAAATAATATCATTCTTCGGAAGTCTTAAATTAAAAACTTACCACATATATTAAAATCTAGAAGTTAAAGGTGATTACTAGTTTGTCACATATGTTACAATGGAAGGGATCAAAACGTGAATAGTCACGTGTGTTGGAGAGAGCCTCACATTAAGGCGTTTCGTCATACAAACTTAACTTTTGTTTGTTCATGAAATAATAAAAATACGAAATTTTCGCCCACTGTTAAAGCAAAAAGGCTTTTGTGTTTTAAAAAGAAATTGGGAAAATACTTTTTGAGACGACGTTTCAGAACGATCTAATTACGCTACAGGGCCAAGAGGAGCTTCAATAAACGAAAAAATCTTTGATGGCCAAGGTTGGTAACTAACTAGGTAAATAATAATAAACTTCTTGGTTGGCGAATTTGTACTACCTGAATTATAATTCATGTTGTCTTCACCTCGTTGACACAATATACAACTAAAACACAATTTCTAGAAAAATGTTCACCAAATTTAACCTTGTGTGTATTAACAGTTTCAACTAAATATCCTGAATGCCTTGGTGTAATTCTTCTTTGGAATTCTGAATACATTGAGGTGAAAATATTTTACGAACGCCAATCGCTATTTGTTTAGAACCTCTTTGGAACTGAGGAGTATAACCCCTTCACCGGAGTATGACAAACGCAGACTGCAGACTTGTAGACTGGCTGATAAACATTGTTCTAAAATGCTCTAACCCTAACCCTAACCCTAAAAGGCTTGTTTTAGGGTTAATTAGGGTTAGGGTTAGGATTAGAGCATTTTACAACAATGATTACCTGTCAGTCTGCAAGTTTGCAGTCTGCGTTTGTCGGACACCGCCCCTTTACAGATTTAATACTAAAGAGCAGCTTAAGCAACAATGACGGCGACGTTACCACGAAAATTAGAAAAGCACTGAATGGGTTCAAAAGCGGATTACATTGATCGCGTCAGGCCGCCATCTTGAAAGCAAACAAAACATAATAATAAGGGAGATGGAGCCGTTAAGTGGGGAGGGGCGGGGAGGAGAAAGGGAACACCTCTCCCCCCCCTCCCCTTCCTCTATTTTCATCCCGTCGTCCTCTCCTTAAGGATAAGTTTTTGACTCGCCCTAACCCTCTGTCAGTTTCAGCATCCAAGATGTCGAGCCAGCGTTAATTTCATCACTCGCGCTGCAAAATTCGTCCGTACTGCAGGCTACTGCACGATTAAAACGTCAAACATATCAATGGAACGTTTTATAAAGGCATACGACGACTAATTTTACTTTTTTCACTGAACTTGGATGCAGTACCTGAGGATGCAACATTGGACAAATTGCACGACGCAAAGTCTGAAACGGTGCGAACACAATTTGTCAGGAACGTTCTCGCTGCCGTAACCGTTGTGGTTGCTTAAGCTTCCTATGGAGAGGAGAAGTGTGGCGTCACATTGCCATGGTAGAAAAATTTCTGGATCTCAACAATCGTTCTTGACAGAGAAGGTCATTTCTATTGTTGAACGACGGAAGAAAAGTATGGACCGCCGTTTTGTTCCTGAGTGGAATCACGGTTTGTTGGGATCCACAAATTTTGCTACCACGGGAACGTGACATAACGAGTTCTCATCTCTATTAAGGGTATTAATTTGAGTTACTGAAAGGATGATTTAGGTCGTGTGCGAGGCCTTCTAAGTGAACCTCTTGGTGACACGGCGGGGTAAGGCACGTTGGAAACATCAGTATCATCGCTGCTGGCTCTGTAAGGTTTCCGTTTGGAACTGGATCGAAGCATAAAGGAATCCTAAAGAAAGGACAACATTACGTGGTTAGATTGAGCACACATAAATGCACTGTTAGATGGGGTGTTTGATAGATATGAAGGTATCTAAAAACCGAACTGCCTCAGTGACCGCTTTTATTGAACCGATGGGAGGGTCCTGTCCCCCCCCCCCTCTTGCCCCACCAATCCCACCCCCTTTATTGGGTTTAAGAAGTTTGTTGGTCATAGTACTCAACAGAAAAAATAAGGTTTCTCATCTCCTGCTCAACTCTTCTATTGCTGGTGATGGCCTTTTTTTTACCAACTCCACCTTTTTAGACCCGTTTTCGGCCAGTTAGCATGGGAATGGCTAAAAATGAGATATGTGCTGCCGGTCTAACCAAGTGAATTCAACTGCAGACTGCAGATTGTAGCTATCGGCTTATAACATTGGATAGAACAATCATTAAGTTAAACACAACAACCAGATCGGTTTGAAAATCTTTTCAAAATATTTGACATCAATCACGATAACGATTTAACGTAAAGGAATTGATACAAATAAAGTCAGTTTATCAATTTAATGTATTTGTATTTACCTTCATAGTACACACGATGCTGCAAAATTTAGCTGGTTTTAAACAAAAACTATTAAACTCTTAAGGATTACTGGATATATATATATATATTTTAATGTCAACATCATCATCGCCCTACAAGTTAATACTAGTTAACAACTATTCTCCAAAGGGGAGGTTTAGAGTGGTATTTTTATCCGTCACTTTAACCGAAACTGATGCCCAACTCAAACAAGGAGGCGAAACAAATTGAGAAGATTAAGTTCATGATAAATTTCGAAACTTGGTCTGCTTCACTGAGACAGATAAAACGTGTTTGTCCATCCAAAATTGAGTTAAAATCGACGTCAAACACGGAATTGGTCGAATTTAACCCAAATATTTAGGTCGACCAAAGTGGAATTTGATTCGTTTTATGAAAAACTCGAAAAGGTCAACGTTTGACCTGAGCCTGTAAAACGCCAGCGGCGCGTGAACTTCATACAAATGGACAAAATCTCGGGTAATAGCCTGAGTTGGATTTTCGTTTGACCTCAAGAAGCGTCTTCTGCATAAGTGTTCGCTATTTGTTTTCCCATTCGATAGACTGACCTTTATTAGATTCGAGGACGAGATTTCATAATTGAAAGTTTTGTCTCGTATTCCTAAAAAAATTATACACCACGGAAAGCTTCAATTTACTTTCTTCAACAGAAAAGTTAACACGTTTATTTTAATTGAAATAGCCCTCTTCCGATTGCAAAATGATAAAACTTGTAAGATTTGATAACTTGTTTTCGTCACTACGACTTTTTCGCTAAAACCAATCACGTTTTCCCGCCAAAATGACGTTGACTCGCACGCGTGCACTACTTAGTACTGAGAAAATCTCGTTCTCGTAGCCATCCTGGTCTTAGAATCTAAATTACTCTAATAATGAAAACGATTACAACATAAACTCGTTGTTATGCCGTCCAAGAAAATCCTACGGTGGAAAAAGCATCGTTAGGAACTCAGTTTTTGTTTCCCTAAGTCACGGAAAATTTCTATAGAGAAACCACTTTCCAGCTGGGAATGCGTTGCATCTTCTCCAAACCAATTAAATTCTTATGTTTTTGCTAGTTCGTTGATTAAGTTTTGTTCAAGCGTAATCACTTCAAAGTCAAAGAGAATCGTTCTACTTCATCGGGGAAACGATCGACTAAGCAATATGCTAAACTAACACCTGTGTGATATCTGGTAAGAATAACTACTGACTTGTCAGTGAGGACACAAGAAAAAGTCAAGATGGGAGAGACTTCGTACGGGTAGTCATGGAAACAAGGCAAACTGTTTTGGGTTCGCAGGCCAAGTACGTAGGAATTAAGTGTGAACGTAAGTGTTATCAGGGTAGGTACAGTTCCATCTTCAGTCGTTCAAAAGGTAGAAAGGGGACTACAATGTAATCTTATCGGCCCACTGCAAATTGCATCGCCAAACAATCTTTCACTCCTTCTAACTTGAACGCGCATAAGGAAGTCACTGACACATACTGTTTCTTCCGCGGTTGCAATCAGCCCAACCGACGATCCTTTTCTCAATCTGCTTGTGACATTATTTCCCCTGGGTTTGAATCATTCACAAAGCAGAGGCTCTGCTTTTAACCAAGGAGTTTTTTTTCTGATTTTCGGCTGTAGTCGCGGTGCAATTGGTTCGCTTTGCAAGTTGAGCCTACCCATGTGCCTTTGCGTTTTTTTAAACCTTCCCATGATCCTTCCCGGTGACCCCTTCCCATTACTCCTTGCACCACGACTACCGCCAAAAATCGGTCGCAAGAGGCAGGAAGAAGCTGGTTGATGCCATTGACCTTTGTCCTTTTGAACAACTGCAACTGAACTCTGGTAGACATGTAATTTTAATTGGGTGTCAGGAAGTATTGGTAGCCACAAACGGTGAATGAAAGACACAATGCAGGTGGTAAGAGATTTGAGAAGAGCGCAGATTGCTACCGGAAGAATACATGAATGTCAACAGATCGTAAGATCCATCTCAAAAGGAAAGTAGGTATATGTATAGGCTTTGCAGAATGCACGCATATTGGAAGATCTCATGCCGCAGAACAACGTGATAAGCGTACTACCGCAGGCCTGTCATTAAGTTTTTAAGCAGCCGCAGCAGCTTTCCACATTGATCACCCGTAACATCAAGTGTGCTCAGCCATAACAAGTGTCCCGGGTTACGTCCCTTAATGACAGCGCTGAGTACCAATTGCTATAGATATATTTGAATAGCAAGAAACTAAAAAGAGATGGGAAAAAAGGAGTGTCTTAAATGGTTACTAGACGACTGAGTGTTGAGTTTAATCAGAAACTGATAAGGGGTTGAATCAACCACTTATGAGTTTCTGGTTTTATGTAAACTCTAGTTTTAAATGCATGCACTAAAATAAGCACAGCCGTGTCATCCTCCTCACAGACAAATAAATGCTCTCTCTCCTTAAAGCACTTGAAAAAGTTTATGTGGAAGATGGCAAAACCAACTTATATGACCCATTGAGGAGATCTGTTAGATGTTTCTTACTGATGGAAGGCATTGGTTTTAAGGCATTATCTAGGAGACATCTGCACGCGGCCGTGGATTTAGCCCACGTGGCAGGCGTTTGAAAGGGAAGGGGAAGGGAATTTGAGCGCGAGACCGCGCGAGAGACCCTCGCGCACCTTTCACCCTTCTCGCGCGCACCGAATCTCCTTCACTTTCTCTTTCAATACCAATTTCAGCACTGAAATTCCCTTTCCTTCCCTTTCAAACGTTTGCCATGCAGGCAAACGTGAATTTTTAGTGTCTGGTTCAATTTTCTTCAAGGCAACGCGTTTTTGTTTTATGCTTCTGTTTAACAATTTATCCGGATAGCCTAAATTTAACCGTACGTATTGAAGAAAAAAATTCATTCAGTAAATTCAGTTTTAGGTTTGTCTTTTTCTTACATCAAGGCTTCCTCTGTCAATAATTCTTCTCAGAAACTATTTTGAATGCATTTAATTACCTTTCTTGGTCTTTGTGGAAAGTTCTGTTACATTTAGCATTTTCCAATTGTGAACCCGTTTTGTTCTTACTTTTACAAAAAAAAAATTAAAATCTGTTGTCACCGAGGACAAAGTAGAAGTTGCTGTTCCCTATTTTTGTATAAAATGTACAGAGTCCGCTAAGTTTATACTTTAAGTTTGGGTTCATGTTTACCAGCTACATTGTCCTTGAATTTAAGTTTACAAGGCTCTGAGGATCATTTAATCAGGAGCATTTATGAGGCTGTGAGGATTTTCAAGTATTTACATTGAAATGTAGTCACTGAACAGCCAGCATCAAAGATGAGTTTCCATTGTCGACTTAGCGCAGAGTTTGACCTTCTATAGAAAGAAGAGTTTGAAAACAGAATAGCACTGTTGAGTAGAGTTTGAAGTAACGCATACAAACAGCTATTAAAAGAAAACGTTAAAAACAAGTGGAATTAGTATCAAGCCTAACAATAAAATATAGTTGAAAAGAAAAGAAGGATTGTGAGGAAAGAAAAGATGGCTGTTAATCACGAGACTAACTTTAAAATTTAATTGTCACGTAATTTATCGTTAAATAAAATCAAGAATGCCTTAAATTAGCTTAAATTACATGTAACAATTGAAGGTTTATCAATTTGTGAACATTTTCTTTAGTAACTTCTTACCTTACTTTAAATATGACTTATTACATGATTTTATCTCAGATGACGTTCAGCTTAACATGTGTATAAATTTAAAGGTCTTTTTATACAAATAATGTGGTATTAACGACAGACCAGAGTGGGTGCTTTTAAGGTGACATAAAGTTTTAATCTTAACTTATAAATAACGGACACTCTATTTATAAAGTTACGTTTTGTCGGCATGAAGTAACGTAATGTGAATAAAAGATCAAAACTTTACACACATCAAACATCAAAAACACTCACAAGACATCTACTGAAATAATAAACACGGTTTTCAATTGAATGTCGAAAATGCCAAAGCAGGGTGAGGCTGGCTCGATTACCAACCGCTGTTCGGGAATCCACCCTGCGCTCTTCCGCTTAGCGGACCGGTGCTCTCCCACCTGAGCTAACCAGGCCTGTGCGAATGTCACGTGGATTTTTGTCGCTCAGAGCTGACATTTCATGGCATTGTGTCTGGTGTCTTGGACCCCCCTTTTTGCTATAGTCATGCCTGGAAAGTGCTCCTTTAATTTCAAATGGTTGTCCATGTAAGAGCCCTTGAAAAGTCCTTGAACGTTCTTGGATCTTAACTTCCTGTACGAACCCCCTGTCTCCAAGGTTACGTCCTACGTCAAGTTATGGTCACACGCGTAGTTTTGTAACAGAGTATTGTTCCGCAGAAAAAGACGCGGTGTAACTCCAACTCGTATTACTGACGGTAACCTTGGTTTAGGCTGGATTTCCGCCGCTCTCTCGGTCCTCCACGAGAAGAGATTGTTCGGAGGATGGTCGCGTGTTCAAACCCCAGCCGGACCAATTCTCAGGTCCTTTAAATAACTGAGAAGAAAGTGCTGCCTTTGTAATGATATCTGCAAACGGATGGACTTCCTAGTCTTCTCAGATAAGGAAGAAAAACCGTAGGCCCCGTCTCACAGCACTTTCACTTGTCTGGTTCTTGTGGGATGTAAAAGAACCCACACTACCCCGGTTGGAAAAGAGTAGGGGACGTAGACCCTGGGCTGGATGGGTTATCATTAAGGAGAGATCTTAACAGAGGGATAACCTCATGATCCTCCTTCAGGTGCCGTAATGGCTACCTGTAAACAGTGTATATATGTAAACGTATTATCATCTACCTACAGCTTCCGGTCACTTTACTTGTGGAATGGCAGGCGAGCATATTTGTGCTACCTTTTGCGGGCGGAGAACAGACATATTTTGAAAAACAGGAATCAACGTCTCAAATTCAAGGACTTTTCAATGGTTTATTGCACTGAAGGACCTTTTAAGACTGTGCGAACCCTGAAAATGTTCCAAAGAAGAGACCATGCCAGCAATCAAGAGTTGAGTCGAGGGCCGGCTCCTTTCCCGCGCATAAAATGACGGGCTGCAAGCGGCAGGTACCGCGGGAAAAAACTTGAGTGTGACCGCGTTTGTCTTGGTATGGGAGGACAAATACCAAACCACAGGAAATTCTTGCAACACGGGGTGTGTAACCACGACTAACCCCTCAGCCAATCACAATAAGGACAGACGATACCAAATAGATTCCAAAGCAACTACATGCAGCCGCGTCAAGCGCGGGAAAACGCAAGGCCGGTCGGGATTGGTTTTGACTTCACTTCTGATTGATTAAGAAAATTGCGCGAGATTTTTAGCCAATCACAAACCGTAGCCATTCAAAACCAAAGCAATAATAAAGTTGAATTCGACACTCAATTGAAAACGGCTCTTTCACGTATTTACTCGAATAATCGCGCAGCGCTTCTTTGATTTCCAGACCGTTTTGGCTCAGCGCTTTGTTGAGCTGCGTTCCTGAGTTACGGGGCGTTTAGTATTTCAGGCTGTTTAGAGTGTCACTTATCCGAGGGAGGTGCTTTTCCGAATAAATACGCTGAGCATTCTGTAAATTGTTCTATCTACAGCTCTGGGAGGCCACCACGCGCTGCTCAGTGCCCTGGTCTTTGAATAGAAGCGCGGCTGGAGGTGACCTCGTTATGTAACAAACAAGCACCTCGTGTTATTCTCATGCTAACATGCGCCTGAACATGATCATCTACATGTTGAAGGTCTGTAACAAAACAATGTCACCTCCAGCCTCGCTTCTATTCAAGGCCAGGACACTAAGCAAACAATTCTAAAATGGCCTATTGGACCACACTATGAGATGATGTACAATTAATAGCATGCAAAACATATCATAGTTATAATTAATGCTATTTGAATATACTGACTTACCCTGAAGCTGTGTCTCTTGATTTCTGAGCGCACGCTGGTTCTGCTGCCAGAGTTAAAACTAAGAGAACGATGTCGCTTTTGTTTTTGTTTGCCTTTTACATCCGTGTCATCAAAGTCCATGTGCTCCCTATCAACAGTCAAGAAAAGAAAAGGGATTATTAACAAAGCTAGACCACGCTGTAGTTAGATTATTCGTCAATCCACCTTTTGAGTCTGTTGAAAAAATCTTATGGTGTGACCATTCAATTCAAATGAAACCTCTTCAGAAGTATTCACATGGTACTATTTATTTAGTATGTAGTTCTAACTTTTGAGTCTGTGCATGAAATCCTATGGTGTTACCATTCAAATGAAACCTCTTCAGCAGTACTTTCACATGTACTATTTATTTAGTATGTAGTTCTAACTTTTGAGTCTGTGGATGAAATCCTATGGTGTTACCATTTAAATAAGACCTCTTCAGCAGTACTTTCACATGGTACCAGTTACTTAGTCTGTAGTTTTATATCTGTGAGAGAAATCCTATGATAACACCAATCATATGAGCCCCGTTTGCAGAACGTTCGCTCAACACTCTTCATTTCTAAGGATTTTACAAAAAAATGATTTGGGGAGTGAATTTTATCTTTGGAGGGAAAGAGTGGGACGTAAAACCAATAAGCCAGCTGCCAGTATGACGCCTACACATGTAAAAGTGGACTGTATTTTCATTACCTCGCAGGAACCAACACAGATAACAACTCAGAAGTTAAGTGTCTCCTGATGATGTTCTTGGATACGTGAATACCAAGAGCTTGAGCGAGTTCATCAGCACCAAATATGGGATCCAAGACTAACACAGCACCATGCACACCGCTGTCTTTCAAGTTATCAGCATACTCCTGTCAAGGGAAATACAGTATATAAGCTTTGAAAACTCACGACCATTACAAAAGCACGCCTTTAAACACTCCTTTAAACAGTACTGCTGTCTGTAGCAGAACTTGTACGCTTTCGCGTAAACGGATCACACAGATTAAAAATTTGTCCGGACCAATGTAAACAGGGCCTCAGAGCAAATTAAGTGAATCTGGAAAAAAATCAGAAACGGTCATCTTTGAAACCAAATTGACAAAGAATAAGAAAGGAGACATCAGTGGCAGATCCAGGGGGAGGGTCGGGAGGGCCCGGACCCCCATCAGACCTCACGCTTGTTTGAGACAGAAATCCTTACATCGACAGGATCGCATATCACTTTTTAACTGGCTGATTTTTCTTAATGAAACGCGCGTTGCACTTTTCGGATATTCAAAAATGTAATTGTTTTTGGGTATCCTCCTATGATCTGTTCGCCTCTGCTCGCAAAGCAATATTTTCCACGCCAACGGCAACCGGCGTTCACAGATTAAAAAACTCGTGGTCGTCTCTGTGAGAAGTAATTTGGCACAAAAAAGTTCAACAGTCCTTTCTGAACCAAAGTTTGGACCCCCCCGCCCCCCAATCAAAAATTCCTGAATCCGCCCCTGGAAATCACTAAATAAAATATAAATGCGAAGAAATTCAAGTCAACAATGCGTGATTCGCACAGAACATATAATCTTCAAAGGAAAATAAAGACAAAATTTCCAGGTTATTGCTTTTAAATATTCATACAGCTGCTCTATATTTCAAAGGACCACAGAAAAAAATGTAAAGCCCCTTGTCATTTAAAAGCAGGGTTCTTACCAATTAAAGCCACAATCTTAGACAAAATAAAATGGAATATCAAATCCCCATCCCCCCAAATAAAGGGTGAAGCATAGCGAAAGCCAAAACACGATACTATTCATCCTTGATTTGAGGGGCGGGGGGGGGAGTGGTTCTCTCAATTTAAGAATGTGAACATAATGATCTTCGCAGAAGAAAGAACCTAAGCGATTGAAAAACAAAAGAACTTGAAAAAAATTCACGCTTGTCCGGGAATCAAACCCCGACCACTCACGCCAACTGGAGAGCATGGAAATGAAATGAATTGAAATACAGTAAACACCCGCTAATAAGAAACTTTGGATTAAGAACTTCCTGGCAGAAATTTGCCGCTTTAACGTCCTAAAATGCAAGAGCCTGTTAAGCCAGTCAGGATCAAGAAGGTTCTTATGTGTGGGTTACAGGTACGTACTGTATTAAACTGTACATGTATATGAATTTGGTAATCAGTTTTGTTAGGGTTATAATAATACATTGTGGATAAATAAAAAGTTTACAAATTTTTCTGGTAATCAACAATCCACTATTTTTCGGAGGGAGAGAACCGACGACCGGAAATGCGTCTGCTCTTCGCAGGCTACAATCCATTAGCTCCCTCATAAAAAATTAAGAAGCTAATTAAGAACTTACTTAGCCCAAATTGCCAATAAGTACCCTAAAATACAAGAACCTATTTTGCCAGCCTTCCAAAACAGTAGGTTCTTATTAGTGCGTGTATACTGTAACTAAAATGAATCATATTTTAAACGAGGGATAAAGATATGAATGTGAACGTGATGTTCTTGAAGGTTTAAACTGGGGGCGGAATTTCCGGGTTCGTGACGAAATCCGAATCCAGATATTTGAGTACCGGCTTAGTGAATCTGAAATAGAACTTTTCAATTTAGTCGCGTGTCCGGACATCTTGAATCCGGATTCTAAGGGCCTGTTTACGTGGAGGTGGGGGATCCCAGGTAGGTGAGGTAACCCGCTTAGGTATTGTCCATATTATCTCTCATTATAATTTGATCACGCTTACATGATAGGTGGGGTGACCTGCCATAGTTTACCTCACCTACCTGGGGTTCCCCACCTGCATGTAAACAGGCCCTAAGTGGAGACTTTGTTTCTGAAAGAATGTTGTCAGATTTACTGATGCGTGTAAATGTCTGCGAATCTATATACCGTAAATGTTATAAATCCAGAAACAGTTATGAATCCAGAACAGTCTCCTCTAGTAAATAGTTAGCCTGTTTATCTGAGTGAGTGTCTCAAGTGAATTAACTGCTGCAAATCTGAATACCATAAATAAGACAAATCCGGAAGCATATCCTCACCTACCCCTCCCCTAAGCCAACATTTTGGCCTAAGTGAGAACTAAGTGTTAATGTCGTCTTAAGGGAGGGGTAGGTGGGCAGTTTCCAAAAACGAGGAATGATCCAAAAACTTATAGCTTAAAAGAATTTGTAGAGCCAAACAACTTACTCCCAAGTCAATGGATCGACACCATTTGGCCACTCTGTCATTAGTCCAGACAACAGGATCCAAGTCATTGTCTTCACTTTGTGTTCTTCGTTCTATCAGCCGCTAAATTTAAAATGATACAACGTCTTTAAAAATGATAGGCGAAACGGTAAAATTTTCAAATACGGTCGATTTTTAATCAGACTGGAAGATTTCATCTGACCAACGGACCGTGTGTTCGCCTCGGTTGTAGTTTCTTCCTGGCTACGGCCCTGAAAAGATGGAGCATCTACCAAAGGCGCGGTTAAGAAAGTACTACTCATGACTACTGCAGTTTGCAGTGTTCGTCACAAAATAAGCAGGAAGAACAACAAAATTGTATTCCAAGAATTTAGATTAAGTAAAGAATTACACTGGCCCGCAGGTACCAACTGCTAATCTAGGCGGGACAGACGAACAACTGAGCGTTAACTGTTAATACGGGGAGACAATAACTTTAAAAGTTCCAGAGAAAATCAGTTGAAACTTATTAACCTCATTCGTTCGGTCATTAAAGGGAAATCTCAGGCCTCAGCCTTGGCTTATTGACATCACGGTCTGATATTTCCCTGTAATAACCTCGCTCTCAGTTAATAAGTGGTATGTAGTTTTTTCCAAAGTTAAATGGAGGAATGTGTGAGATGTACCTCCTTGCTGAACTCCATCATACGAAGCAACTTTATACCGTGAAGGACACTTGTCTAAATAAAGAGAAACCAAATAATAAAAATGATTTTTATAGCAAACAAGTAATAAAACATAATCCATAAATAAGTTGTGGTTGGATGTTGTTATTCTTGGTTTAAATTTTTATTTCATCTGCTTTAAACACATTATCATACATTGCCATACCCAAAAACAAAAGCCAGGAATAAATAGAATGGGCCATTTCCGATTTCCGCAACCTTACACTTTCCAAACATGGCTAAGTGTAAAACCTTTCTTGTCAAAACAAGTTTTATTGACATGAGAATAAAAAATCGTTTTCATATCAATGGCTTCTCACTTAGCCTCACTTTGAAACAGAGGCTTGGGATAGCTTGAAAATGTTTGTTTAAATCGCGATGCATACACATACTTAAGCTTTGCTTTTCATTTCTGTAGCAAAAAAGTATGAAGCCCTTAAATTCTCTTCTTGATAATACGGATATTTGACCATGTGTTTTCTTGTTTCCTCACCTGATGAAATTTCTTATTGACATTAAGATATTTCTCCATGTCTTTCTTCGTAAGGACATTTAATAACCTGCCGTCAATCATCTGCGCTTCAAAGGTGGAGGAGTACTGGTTCAGTCCCAGGTCCTTTATCCAGACACGAGCTACCCACAGATGATCTACTGAGGAGATTTCTGGGTACTTCCTGTGAAATAATAAGAAAAATGGATTATTACTTTTTCTTGCTGCAATGATGGTCATACGCCTCATGAAACTGAAAACTGAAAATGGGTGCTAATTATAGTTTTTCGGTCTAATACTAAATACTTAGGTTTTTTTTATACAGTCCAACCTCCATATGCAACCACCTCTTGTCAGCGGCCACCTCACATAAGTGACAACCTATCGCAGCAAAACACTAAAATCTTCCCATTCAAATCCTTACAATCAGAACCTCTCATAAGCGACAGTGACCACTTTTGGACACAATGGTTGTACCTTATTAATTTTGTGGATACTTACTTTTGCACTTTTGATGAGATAATATTTCACAGGGTTTTATTTTTGTGATTTTAAGCGATCTCAACTTCCCTTTTTTTTTTTCTTTTCAAAGTCTGAACCTTTAAAAAATTTTAGATAAACTGGAACAAGAAATGTGTAAAATCTTTCCAAACTAAGGTTAAAATGGAGATTACCATATCATCTTTTATCTGTTTGTTGTAAAGTAATGCAGTTGTAATATTCAGCTGATCATTCTTATGTTAAGTTACTCACAATAAGTTCATAAATTATTAATTATTATTATCATTATCAGTAAAACCAGTTAGCAATATGGTGTTTGTCCTTACATATCCTGAATATGTTGTTTCTATTACAAGTTAATTCTGTTTTGAATTTTCTATTTGGGTATTAAATTTCATGTGCTTAAATTTCACTTTTCGCAGGTCTTTAATTCCAAATTTTTTTTTACAATTGCAAAAAACATGAAATTAAAGACCCGCAAAATTAAGGTGTCATTTTCCACAATTTTTCCACAATTGAAGCTCGATGTGGTTTCTGTTCGCAGTATGTAGTACACCACCCAGAGTATACAATGAACCTATAATGACAACATGGAACTACACTTATAAGTAACTTAAAATTGTATGCAATAAACCTTTCACCTAAAAGTAGATGTGTTGATGATTCTCATAAGCGACCTCCTCCTGAAGGCGACTGCTAAATCATTCATTTTGGGTGGTTGCTTTAGGGGAGGTTCAAAGGTATAGCTAGTAATGTACCTTGCAGCTGGATCCCTGTATTCCTCAATGGCCAGTCTAAGTTTACGTCTATGCATAGTATTCATGATCCCAAGTCCAGCTTCCAGCTCAGAATCACTGAGTTCCAAAAGCACTTTCCCACTTTTGATGTTCTCATAGCACATTTGTGAGTAAACAGACATCTGACATTCTACCTCAAGCCACGCTAGAATCATGTTGGCTTTCCAACACACCATAGGAATGTCTTTGTGCAATTCCCATACTCGCTTCTTTTCAGCAAAGCTAGTGCTTGTATTGTCAACATCTGGATATTCCATCATAAACCAAAAATGATATAAAATAGATGTGAACATAAAAATGATCCTTGCAGTCAAATAAACAACCTAAGTGGTTGAAAAAGAACCTGAAAAAAATTCAGGCTCGACAGGGAATTGAACTTTGACCTTTGTCATGACCAGACTCAATGCTCTATCCATTAAGCTAATCAAGCCAACTGGAGAGCCGGCCATTGTGAGTTTGTAATGTACCCGATGATGGAAATGACATGAATAGACATAATATGAAATGACTCACATAACAATCATTTCATATATTGCCATTCTTAAAAGAGATGGTTGCTTTTAATTACATAAGAGAATTTAATTTCATTTTAAGGAACAATATATTTTTTATAAGGGACTTAAGCGAGCTTTTGAGAATTGATCCTAAAGTTCAGTATGGAATCTGCTTGTCTCTTGCTACATTAGCAACAAATCTCAGTGTCACATTCTTACAGGTTTTTTAATGAAATTGAATTACAACATTTAATTAAGAATAAATTTCAGCCGAAATAGTTAAAAAAAAAAAGATTCAATGTCACCATGACACTTTCAAGGGACAAAATGAAAACTAAGAAAAAAATGATCAAATTAAAAGAATATTTCAAATTAATTCTAAGTTAGAAAACAATCAAAAAGGTCAAAAACAGCCAGCCATTGTAGGAACTGTTGGCCTGGTTGACATAGTTGTGTTGGAATGTTGAAAAAATGAAAAACAAAAAAACAATGTTAAAAATGGAAGAGAAACTGTAACTCTGCAATAGACCATTTTACAGTTATGAGCTTAGTACACTAGCCTCTGAGTGAATGTGAGGCTGAAGTTGACCTTGTTTTTATACAAAACTCTTTTCTTTTCTTATGAAAATTATTCTAAAAACACTAGTTAGCATTAGAACAACTTGGATTAACATAATAAAGCAGGAAGGGTTGTATCAAAACAAAGTCGACTCCAGCCTCATTTCCACCTGTAACTGTAAAAATGGACTATTGTGAAGCTTCTGTTTTATTAATTTCTAGACAGTTATAAGAAAGATTCAAAAACTTCATCAGTCTTCCTCTTTCTAACAATCCGTACAAATGATCCCATGAGTTAAAAAATTCAATATCATTTGTGACATCACACTGGTACTCTATTGCCAACAGTGATATTAATTTGTAAATTCTGTCAAGCCTCATGGGAGAATAAGAGACTTGTGACAGATGAAATGGTAACAAATTAAATGGCAAAAGAAACTGTTACAATGACAAATACAAAATACAATAGCAAAATACTGACAGGATGATAGGTGAAACAATTAAGCATTTTAAATGTCAGACCAGAGACATACAGTACATACCTTTCCTCCCCCTCACTACCCATGAAAGGGTGGCACAGAAAGCCCGGGAAGAGGCTCTTCCTTATTTAGCAACCAATTGCAAATATCAGACATGTGCATTAGGCAAAAAGATTTTCTTTTTCACATGTACTTACCTCTAACAACTGGTGAAAATACAAGACTTTTTCTTTGTTTCCCTCTTGTGAAGAACCGTGAGAGTGAGGAGGGGCGTTCCTTTTTCTTTTTTCCTGAGTCAAGTGTTTCTAGGTTGTTATGAACGCTGAAGTCAAACACTTCTATATCAGGGGGTGAACAAGCCTGACTCACATCTGACTGTGAACCAGAAGAAGCTGATCCAACCGGTGAGATTAGCAAGGTAGGAACACGGTCACAATTCTTATCTAATAAAAAAAAAGTGAAAAAGCCATTAATAAATTTATGGACAAATTGCAAAGCACACAGCATCAATGTTTAAAGATTCCTCAAAGTTACATAAACAGAGTATTTTCTCCAATTTTTCTTGAAATTTTATGCACGTACTGATAAACCCCAGGTATGACCTGTGACCTTATTAAGGTGGGTGGGTGCTTTCTTAACAGATGGCACCTATGAAGTGTGACTGCACTTTTATCAGGTGACAACAAATATGACAAACACTTCCTTCACTACCAACAGAAAATGGAGAAGTCATGTTATCTGATCACATTTTTTAATATAATCTGAAAGGTTATTTCATTCTTCTCTGACATGAGGTTGGTAGTTGTAGACATTTGCCTCACTTTCCCTGTTTCCCCATTCACAAAGTTGAAAATTGCTTGTACTTTGCAAAAGCACACCTTTGAACAGTATGGGAGGGAGAGGGACCCACATTAGCAAGAACCACAATGAAAACTACTGGAATTTTCAGTAACCGTGTTATCCATTAAAGTTTGTCTTATTATTATCATTATTATTATTACTATTATTATTATTATTATCATGGCAGTACAAACGTCTGGACGCCCAGAGTAAAAAATAAAAGCTTTGGCCGGGCGGCAAACCATAACCAGCCGCAGCATCAAGTAAAATTTGTGGTAACAATTACACAATCATTTGCGCAAAAAAAAAAAACTGGGTAAAAATGATTTGATAAAAGTGTCATAAAAATAAATAAATACATAAAAAATCCTACAACCTTTATGGATGTCTTAATTACAAAATAAAAATGTTCATAAGTTAAACCCCATCATTCATAATTATAGCTGTCCATTTAATTATGGGAACGTCCAAGGTATGTAAATAAAATTTCAGTAATGTACCAGATTAAGTATACAGTATTATTATTATTATTATTATTATTATTATTATTATTATTATTGCTACTCTTATTATAAAATTGGAAGTGTTTCAAGCATTTCAGACTGAGGATTCCATTAACTCCGAGTGTGGCCAACATTAATTTTCCCCTAACAACGTCAATACTCAATTAAATAGGAAGGTTAGGAAAATAAATAAAATGATCACCAAAAAAATTCCTTGATCTTTTAATAAATTCTTTCACTAATTTTTCAAGGAATGTATGGAGATCAGTTGGAGAATTTGTATGTAGATGTTGGGGTCAAAGGACCAGTGCAATAGCTGGTTCAGATAACGCGTAATGTCAAAAATTTTTGTGATTTTGGAGTTTCCTGCCATCTCTATCAAACCTCTACCATGTATCCAACTCTTGCTTATCAAATGCTTTAAGGTTTTGAAGGCAGACGTTTGGATTTCTATCCTAACCCTTGCTGCATTTCTCTGGATGACAAAGACTTTTGTGCAATCCTAAAACGGTTCAGGCATTGTAGGTCATGTGTTATCCGAATTCAGGAGTTCAAGTAACAGAGCTGGAAACAAGCCATCCACAGGGAAATAACATATCACAGACTGATTCCTTATCTTATCAAAATTGCATTAGCTTACAAAGCTATCAATCAGATGACTCAGGTCATGTATTTTTAGTGAAAACAGGGATCACCCAATTATGTGGGTGTAAAATGTTAAGCCCAATTAATAACAGAGCTGGGTGTAAAAATAAATAAATAAATAAAACTAGTCACTCACATGCCATACTGTCAAATAAGGAAGATTTTTACCCACTCTGTGAGGCATTGAATAAAATGTATTGAGGAGATACTTATAAACTTCTCTGTTACATACATGTATGGTTAGGGTCAACCAGGATATTTGAGCACATGTATACTATGTATCTGTTTTTCATTTGCTTTAAACTTTTAATCAGATATCCTGTCCTGAGTAAGTAAGGAATCTAATCTATTTTGCCAAGGGACAGAAGAAACAAGCATACCATAATAAAGGTCCTTTTTCATACAGTTTTGTAAAGCTGAGGTGATAAACATTACACAGAAGGACTTTGTAAAAAAGAGTTTTGTTATACTGAGTTTCCACAATATACCTTAATTGAAACCCTAGGATAACATACCCCTATTTAATAACTCCAGTATAGCAAGTACACTCTTACACATTTCAACCTCAATATCCCTATAAAATATAACCTGCGTGTGTACACATTTCCCCTCGAGGGAAGGAGGCCTCTGCACACAGGCTAATAAAATAATTCTTCTAAAAAAGAATGTACATGTACAATACAATTTCTATAAGGGAGACAAATGTCCCCCCACCCAACCCCTAGGCAATAAGCTCACTGCAAAATTAATTTAAGGCCTCCTTTGATTTGATTTTTTGCCCTAAAGCTATATACAAATGTAGCTGGCCCTTGCATGCAGGACGAATGATGCTCATTAGAGTTAACAAATGATAAAACGACCAATTTTCTTTGGTACTATTAGGTTTCACCTAGATGCTCAGAAACAAAAAAGGAATTGTTTAACTTGTGCACCCCTTGGGTGAACTAGTTAATTTGTCACATTAAGATCTTTGTTTGGTTATAACAAAGACGTCTGCAAACCGTTTGTCTGATTACAAACCCACTATGAAAGTCAAAGATCTCAGTGTGTGAAATCGTGTACTAAGGACATTTCAAACGGTTTTAACGGAGATAAGAGAGCAGAATAATGACCCAATGAAAACGCACAGAAGGCAAGAGACATTTATAGAATCTACAAGTGCAAGTGATATAATTATTGGGACAAAAGAATTGACAAATGATGATGTGCGCTAAAGGTGAATGGAGATACGATCAACGGAAAGTATACTCAAGTCAGTTAGAGTCACTCAACTGAAAAAAGCAGCTGTAAGCCGCCTTGATGTACAGTTTCCGGTCGATCAATATCTTAAAGTAAACGTGGGAGTGTGGTGAAACAAACATCCTCCTCTCATGTTTTGTGATCCGTAAAAAGACAAAATATTTTCCCTTAAATTAAATAACGAACGTACACCTGAACAGTTGGTAGTAAAATAAACGAGGTTTTGACAGCGAAAGCAATAACTTTAGCTAGTGGGCGTGTTTGTCAAAACACTTGTGAAAAAGATCGGAGGTGAAATCAATAGTCTGTCTAGAATTGTAACGCAATCGGATTTACCTTTGATTCTAAATAAGATAGTTGGCCGATTATGCTCTAATTCTCAAAGAGTTATTTCCTGAATAAGCAGTTGTTCGGGTTCATGAAAAATTAAATACATTAACTTTTTTTCCGCTTTCCTCGCTCAAAATAGAAACCTATCTGGGTCAACAAACAGTGAAATGTACATTACAAAACATGTGAGCGAAATCACGCAAACTTACCAGCGTTTTCAAGAGGCAATCTCGGTGAATTTTCTAGATTTTGAAGAGAATTTGCTCTCCTGTTGTTGCACGCGTTCGATATATGCTTCCCTCCTGTCGAGTCCACATTTAAATTGTTTGATTTGAAAAGCAGTTGCGAGTTGTTTTCACGAAACGAAGATTCAAGCGAAGAGAAACGTTGTTTAATGTCGAAAAGCTCATTTTCCAGCTCTTTCAACCGGACGTCTTTTATTTCTAATTGTGATTTTAAGCTTTCTGATTCCTTCGACAAGCCACTTCGTTCTTGTTCCCAAACTCGCTTTTCGGTCTCCAGGCGTTTTACCTTTTCTTCGCCTTCCAACATCCGTTGTTCATAATTTTGAATAAATTCCCTTAATTCCGCTTCCTTGACTTCCAAAATGCCATAAACTTCCTTCATTTGATGAAGTAAATTCATCTTCTCTGTTTTTAAGCGTTTTCTTTCTATTTTCATGCAAGAAATCGTTTCTTTAGCTCTCGAGATTTCGTGCTCACAGGAATGAAGCCGCTCTCGAAGCTGGTCCAAATCTGTGTTTCCATGTCTCCATTCGTTAAGTTCTCTGGTCAAAAATTCGTTTTCGCAACGCAATCTTTCATTATCTTCTTTGTAAATTTCTACCTTACTCTTCGACACTCCAGCTTCGTTCAATTTCGTTTCACGTTCCGAAAGTTTGCTGTTGGCCAAATCTGACAGTCTCTTGTCTTGATCGCGAAGTTCGGCTTTTAGATACTCCACCTCCCGATTAACAGCATTAAGAGAACTATTAATTTTGGAAGCAATGACGACTTTTTCCTCTCTCATTCTTTTACTCTCGCTTTCCGCCTGTTCCATTAATCGCCGCATAACACTTAAGCAGTTTATCAAATCGTCTTGTTTTTTCACGAGCGGTCGTGTGCCAGAACTTCCACTATCACTGCAAGAACTTTCTCCTGAAACGGTGCTACTAAAAGACAACGAACGGACCCGCTCTTTAAGCTTGTCAACCTCTGCCATAGCTTCCATGGCTGTTAAAGAGAGCTTTCGCTCCTTTGTGGGAGAGGCGACTGTTGTTTTCCTTTCTTGATCGTTGTTTATATCCGCCATATTTTATTTTTGTGTGACAGCCGAGGTCACTGGCGAAACTTGAGACGCCAGCCTCGCTTTAAACCTGACAAAATAACTTCCACCCTACCCAGGACAACAGTGTTTTGTACTGAATAAATTTGAGGAAAAATTCGATATTTGTCAAACAAGTCAAACAATTTTCTTGCTCACGGCAAAAGCTTACTACGGTGAGCCAATCACCATAACAGTTTGGTGATAAAATATCAGATTATCAGTGTACGTGTGCAGTAAGGTGGATTATTCATCTCCTTTAGCAAAGTGATGATTGAAAAATGATGGTGCGAGAACAAACGTCAATGAACTATTGACATTCAAGTGAAATCTATCAATCTTTGGAGATCTTTACGCACGTTTCATTTTCAGAAATGACTGAATACAGACGCTTCAAGTTTCCGCCGTGCTATTTGAGTCTAGTTAGCTAAACAAAGCTGAAAACGGAAGCCAACAGAATCAAAAGAATGACTTCTTTATTAAAGCAGTTAGAGCAATGTTTAATGCACAAACACAACATTTTTTTCTTGCAATAAAACATTGAAAATCAATAAAATGATATTAAAGAGTTAGTTCAGATAAATACTTAGTAACTCTTAATTTTTTATTTTTTTTCGCGAAAAAAAAAAACAAGAGTACACCAGAAAGAGGATTGAAGAGGACTGGGAATCCTGTGGTCTAGTAGTTAAGAAATTTATAAGTGAAAGAAAAACCGCGAAGCATTCCTTTATAGAGAAGATAGAGATGGTTGCATAAAAGTTAACATAGAATGTAAGAGCTAAGTTTCAGCTCAATCAGTTTCTTTGTTTTAACACCGCACAGCTCCATCTGACGATACGTTTGCACCTGGTATGGGGATTGGGCGGCTTACTATTAAAACAGCGTTTTGTACGGGGCGAAAAGGCTTGGGCCTGAGGTCCTACCCCTTACACTTTTATATACAACTTTTGACTAAAAAAGATGCTCTTTTCGTATCAATTACTTGGCTTGAAAATTCATATCAAATGCATTGAAAGAAATACTTTTAAGCATTTAAAGAAATCATAGTTTCTTCAGTACTTAAAAACTTTCCAAACGTTTTATAGTGAATTTCACTTCTTCCCCACTTCTTTCTTCTTTCTTTGCGTACTCGCATTCTCCAATGAACCGTGGGTGTCGATTCACGCTGCTGATCGCTACATGGAGTGTTCACTCCTGATCAACAACTGACTTAGATTTAACACCGCCAAATTCAGAAAATAACCCCCTCCATGTATAGCCCTTCCAAATATAAGCCCCCCAGGGGCTTGTACTTGGAAATTGCCCTCAAATACAAAAAATGGTAATTTACTTCCAACTATAAGGCTAGCCCAATCGATTTTAAAACGCAAATTTCCCTCCATATATAAGCCCCTCCGAATATACGCCCCTCAAAAAATAAGCCCCTCAAAAAGGGCGTTTGAAAAATATAAGCCCCTGGGCTTATTTTCGGAATTTTACGGTAGGTTATTTTATGATTTTTTACGATATGAAACTGATGATCTTCTAAGTAGCGGATGGCCAGTTGCTGGTTGCACTGTATAAATCCAGTAGTATCCATGGGCGGGTCTCTTCCTTCAATGGTATTACGTTAGCTTTTCTGTGACTTGTGAGCGAGTGTTTACTTTAAGGGTGCGTTCCATTGATCGTATTCCGGAAGAGGAACACTGTACTCCAACGGTTTTGTTACAGATCTCTTCTACCGTAATGTTTGGACCACTTAAGCAATACATACATCAAACATCGGAATATCTTATTTTCAAGCAGCTTTTTAGGTATTGCAATGCAATGAATGACAGACAAGTGATTTCTAAAGTTTATACTACTTTTTCTTATTCCAGTGTACGCTCAATCGAACACGCCCTAACTAGACCTCAGGGGATGGTTGTTCAAAGCAGGATTAAGATAACCCAGGGTTAGTGGGAATTTTGATTTCAGACATGGAAGGCTAACATGCAAATTCAGTATCATTCCTTTTGAATATAATTGGGTAATTGGATGTCTAGAAAGAACAGAGAAAATTATCCCAGAAAATGCATTTAAGCAAAAGAAAAAGGAAGCCAGATTAAAATTTAACTCCGGGTTAGCACTAATCGGCCTTCGAACAACTGGGCCCAGGCGCTTGGAAGCAATATGGGACAGCCTCGTTCCCAAGGCTTATCCGGGAAAAGGCCCTGGGAACGAGGTTGAATATGGGACGCGTGTCTCCCTTGTGTGTCCCGCTCATGTTACTTTCAAGCGCCTGTTGGAGACCTGCTGCATACTCAGGCCACATTAAATTGCATGAGGCGTCGTGTCCTTGTTCTAGCAAACTCGCAGAGTAAATGTCGCTATGAATATAAACTTCTGTACAAAGTAAGTGCTCCTGTGAACAGTGGAGTTTCAAAATCATCCAGTCTATGGAAGCCGGGAGGTCGGGGAATTAAGCTGGGAATTCTCCTATTCGCCCAACAAATGACCGAGTCTCTTGACTGAATATTTTTATGTGGGCTTAACGATAGAGACATACAATGATCATTACTGCTAATAGTTTTTTGTTTAACCATGAAAATTCTCAGATCTAGCAGTCTTTTTTCTTTCGGTGACTGTCAGTCTTCAAACGTTTGATAATTGAATTTTCCACGTCCAAGTACCGTTGAAAAGGTTGTCCAAAGATATCAACCAAGTCGGCTCCAACGTTCTGTTGGTTTCTACGTACCAGTCTCGAACAACTGAATAGAAATATATTCATGAAGTTTTCTTGCCCCATAAACTGACGTTACCTAAGAAAATAGTACCTCTCAGGAAAACACCCAAATGGGAGGGGTCAGGAGGGAGTGCGAGGCCTCCTGTCGGAGCCGCCTTATGCAAAAATCTGCTCGGAAAGGGGTTGAGCTCCCACTGAGGGGCCCCTTGAGGGAGCACTAGGGGCCGGCGGAACCCCTACCCGGGGTTTGACATTTGTAATCCAGGTACTCTTTTTTTTTGTGACATCAGCATGGTAGGCTTTTATGCGAACTGTATCGTCATGTTGTGTGAGTAAATGAACGAGTAAGTATTTATCGAAAGATTTGTAAAGGCCAGGAAACATTCGTGGTTACAAAGATCTTTCGTCGATAACCAAGTGCGATGCCTTGATGAAATTAAAGCGCCTTTCCCTTCGCCTTCTGGGAATGAGGTTTACGAAGTTGGAATCGGTATTTGTTCGATGTCTGGTTCGTTTGTCGTAGTTTTTCGACAATCTTCGCTGGATTTGATGGGATTCACGGTAGCCTGCGATGCATATGTCGAAAGGCCATAGGGAAGGAGAGGGGAGGAGAGGCCTTAGGGAGGGGTTGTGTCGTAAGCATCGCGTGACGAAGCGGGCACGTGCTTGGGAAGGTAAGATCGTGATAATCCTTACGTTTTATTTGCATACTTGAATACATCCACATTTAACCAACACTTGACTGCATTTCCACAGCGTTCAGCGAAGAGGCGTTGTGCGTCCAGAACATTCACCGAAGGGGTTTAAACTGCGCAAATTTCTCATTAAAATGCCAAAGGTCATAACAGTGTTTGGAGCCACTGGCGGACAGGGTGGTGGAGTTGTCTCAGCTCTCCTTAAAGCCATCAACAGCGAGAGAAAAGGTTATGCTGTTCGTGCAATTACGAGAAACCCAGATGGAGCTAAGGGGCAAGAACTGAAGAGCAAGGGATGCGAAGTTGTCAAGTGTGATTTAGATGATAAAGAATCTGTGGAACAAGCAATCCGAGACTCGTATGGAGTTTTCTTGGTCACAAACTACTGGGAGCATTTCAGCAAGGAGAAAGAAATCGAACAGGGCAAACGAGTGATTGACGTGTGCGAGGCACTGGGAGTGAAGCATTTGATTTACAGTGGGTTGGAACATGTAAAAAAGTTGATTGGAATCGAATGTGGTAAGTTTTTATTTCTCGATAATTCCCCAGTAATAATTTTTGTGACCTGATTACGTAATTGCAATTAAGTGGAACACGAACACTGGTGCGATGACTTTCCACGTTTCACATTGGCTGATCGTATCAGACCAAGATTTAACTGAAGTCACAGAAGGAAACACTAAAAACTAAAGGGAAAGGTCATATTCGGTCAGCAACTTTTCAAGTCAATCCAATGGTTTTGGACCAACGAATTTAGTTGCAAACGACTGGACCTATATTGACCCAATCATCTAAAAACCATGACTCATCATTTAAATTAATATCAATGAACAGAGCACACGAGAACGTTAAAATTTTAAAAGTCCAGGGTGCTGTCTTCCTTAATAAATCTTTACAATAAGACGAGTTCTCGAGTTATTTTTATTTGAACTTTGCATGCGCACCGAAAATCTACGAAACTTTTAATATGCCATAACAAGAGCTTGCCCATGATTATTGATGCATCTCACGTTTAAAAGATACTTATATTTATACTGCCCTTTCCGTTTTTTGTAAAGTCGAATGCATAAGTTATGTGTTTGACGCAATTAACAAAACAAGGAGGGGGCCTTTCCCCCAGCGAGTAGGGGAGGGGGTACTCCGGATTTCAAGTGACGGGGATGATGGAAGGATTTTTTGCGGTTTGAAATTTTCGATTTCGGGATTCTTTTGGGTAGGAAAATTTTGGCAAGTATTTTTTGGGTAACTTGATGTAAGTAGGGATTTATTTGGGTATTCAAACCAATCTGAAGATTCGGGATGTTTCCCGCGTACCCCGGCTACGTGGTACCTCTGGAAATTTTTATGGCTCGGAAATTCGGCATGGGATTTTTTGGGGGTTAAATTTTGTCAAGGGATTTTTTGGGTTTTGTTTAAAGCCCAAGGGATCCCAATTTCTGAGCGAAAGGAGGGAACAGTATCAACTTCACAATGTGTAATCTCGGCAAACAGGAGAAGTTTTCCCGATATTTCAGACGAAACCTGAAGGAGATTTTGCCTTGTTCCCCAGCTCGACCAAAGGCCTGTTCAAAGGCTATGAAAAAAACGACGCAAAAGTAAACTTTTTCAAAAAAAGATAACGCTACTTTGATAGCCAAGAAAACAGTAAGGCGTGTATAGTGCTCAGGAGCACCACTGCACTGGTTGTTAATTTGAACAATAAACCGTATATCCTGAGACTAACAGAAAACACGCTAATACAGTAATAATATCATGGGTGACGAATTACTCCTTAATTTTGGCGCGAAATTTCAGCGTTAATTTATAACTTCTCTCTTAAAATAACAAAATTTCCATGGCAACCTTCCGTACGTCTTAGTGCCAAGATGGCGACGAAGTTTTAAAATTTTATTGATGCAGTTGATGTCAGGGCATTAAAAGACGCTTTACAAACCTAAACACTCGAAAGAGCACATCAAGAAGGATTCTGACAGGTTTTCAGGTCGAAAAAATTCTGAAAATTTAAGCGTTAAACATTAGAGAGCGTGGAGTTCTCGATCGATGAGTTAAAACTAGGATAAACGTGTCAAAAATCCACGATTGCGGACGTAATTCTTCACCCATGATACTTGTAATAGGTAATCAAATGGTATACTCCTGAAATTCGGGAATGATTTCACTTGCGTCAATTATTAGGAGTTTGACAAAACGCACGTTAAACAGGGGCACCCAACGAGAATATAGTTCAAAACCACTTAAACTAGCCTTGTTAAACGTATTTTAGTATTTAAACGGTAGATATAGGCATATTTTTATCCCCTCAAAATTTTTCATCTGTTCGGATTTCCTAGCTGAAAGTCTAGTGATCCGAAAATTATAGGGATCAAACCTTACCTTTTCGAAAATTTCAGCCAGAAAAAAGGCTCCCGAAAATTCTAGGTGAACTTTTCACGGTAAAAATCCGTTAAAAATGGGCAATTATGCCATTTTTTAGGTGTTCGAAAATTCTAGGAGAGGCAGGCAAACAAGACATTTTACAACAAATGTTCCGAAAATTCTAGATCGCAAATCGTCTTCCGAAGAGATATTTTCCGAAAATTGTCGTTGGGTGCCCCTGGTTAAATTATTCCCTAATTTCACTCGTCACCATTTGATTGTACATGCTAACACGCCTTTTCTTTTTCAGAACATTTTGACAGCAAGGGTATAGTAGAAGAATACCTAAACACGAAGAAACCGGAAGGGAAACTGAATTTCACTATAGTTCGCTTCTCTGCTTATTTCAATAATTTTGCCGGTTTTTTTAAGCCTCGAAGGATGGACAAGAACACATTTATCTTTGACATTCCAATGGAGGGGGCACCAATGGATGGGGTTGAAGTCAAACAGGGAGGTGAATGTGTATATGGTATGTACTGCAATTGAACCGGCTCCTAACCGTACTTTACGAAGGTGATTTCGGTAAATTTTTGTTTAGATCAGCTAGAATTTTAAATATTCGGCTTTCGACATCTCTGGCAAACTAAAATTCTCGACCATTTTCTAGATTTCCTAGATATTTCGGAAATGTTTTGAAGAATGCGTAGACAGTATTGAAACCGCATTAAAGAAGACTAGAATTTTCGCAAAAAAAATATTCGCCCCTGCATTCAGTTTAAATCTAGTGATAAAATCTTTCCATTGGGTAATTTCCACAATGAATGTATATTTTTGGACGTTTTCTTTTACGTTTTTGTCTTTCTTCTTTGATTCTGTAGGCATACTGGAGGAACCTGATAGCTACCGCTATAAAACAATTGGACTGAGCGCCGACAAGTTTACAATTCAACAGTACTGTGAAGAATTGACCAAGCAGCTGAGTCCAATGACGTTCAAGGTTATTTGACATAAATATGTTAATATGAAAGCCAAATGAATTCTGCTAAGCAGTCCGCATTTTTACAAGAGTATGCGTATTTTCTCTCTCTTAAAAGAGAAAGATTAGATATAGGACAATAGACAACTCAAGCAAACCCATTTGAAAAAGACGCTCGTCAATCGAAAGTGAGCCTTTTTAATATTCCCCTTTAATATGTCTTGACGCGACCAAATTTGTATTGATGAGTGTCTTTACTCTTATAGAAACAATTTGCCCAAAAATTACAGCAAAACCACTGCCGGAGAATGCAAGAAGTCCACTTCTTGTTGACGTGCGTTGCTCAAAAACGTCTTTGCTTGAGCTTCCTAACGTTTCTCCCCTCGGCCTTCTCAAAAGTAATGACCGAGCGCGTAGTACGAGTTCATTATTGTTTTTGGCCCAGGAGAGAAGGCCTTACGCGATTGAATGCACCTTTCCACAGAACCAGCAGGTCATTGCGGTGGCTACAGAAGTGAATCGGACGTCGCCATGAAAATCAATGACGCCCTTTTAAATAATTTATATGAGGAGGCCGAGGAAGAAGGGAAAATTTCTCGCGAGATTCTCCTTGAAAATTCGGGTAGGGAATGGGATGTGCCGCATGCGTTCTGTAACCCAATTTCCAATCACAACTCTGATTTTTGTTTTACTGTTTCGGACCTGAATCACCAGCTACTGCTGTTTCCAAAAGATAATCTTATCCCAGTTCCAGTTCCAGATGGAACAAAACTTTACCCTATTTTTTACCAAAAAGGTTGTCAATAATTACACCCTTTTGGGCTGCAAATATTTATACAGCTCTTGTAAGGAATTACCTTCCCGGATATCGAGCAGCCTTTCATTTTCTGAAATCACGTATGAAAAGACGTCGTAATCTTTTCAAAGTGGCAATGTGGCGCTTAACCTAAAGTCACAAGCCTGACCAACATCAATTTTCTGCTAATAATATCAATTCATAATCAAAAAAAGCCAATGTTATGAGAATGATTAGCAAAATCACCATAGGGAAAACGCTTTGATCCTTAATGAAATTCCCTTAAATGATTGTGTGAGGAAACGTATATGTGAAGAATTTGTCTGTGGATATTGTGGCTTTGAGGCTTAACTAGGCAACAAATATGTCCACCGTGTCTGGTGCCCCTATGGTAGCAAAAGCTCTGAAAATACTTTTTCCTTGACTTATCTTAAGCCAATACGTAAAACTCTTCTTGTTTCATTCCTAAAGGATTCTCAGATCACTTTGGATCAATACAGGGCTCTAGGATTCCCCGGTGCAGTAGAACTTGGAAATATGTTCGAGTTTTACAAGCGTGGAAACCCAGACCGCGATATTCCCCTGACGAAGAAGTTGAATCCAGGACTTCAAGAGTTTAAGGAGTGGGTGCAAGAGAACAAAGAAATGCTTTCCGAAAGCTTCGATTCCATAGAAATACAGTCTAAGTGAGTGGCCAAACAGGAAGTGTCGACAATGTCTTTTGTCTGTCATAGACACAAAACAGTACCTTTACGTATGTTGTCATCCTATACCAAAATAAAATTCTAAAAGATACTTATATAGTTTGTGTTGTTGGGGAGAGCAAAGGGCCGGGGGCTGCTGCTGAACAAAGTTTTATACGGGGAGGCTCCACCCTGAGGTTCAACCCCTTACCCTTTATTTTTGACAGAAAGGTACTCCTCTCGTATACCTTGTATTGAGAAATGGTACCCCTCTCACATACCTAGTATAGAACCTTGCGTCCCTTTTAACTGCTGTAAATGCACCGTCTTTTAAATAGGAATCAACCACTAAACTAGGAATTTTTTTTTTTTTTTCACAGCCATAAAATGCGTTTTCTAGCCCTTTAAGGTCTTTTTACAGACCGAAACCACAGATTTCCCTATTCTTTTATATACTTCTATTGGCGAAGTAGTGAAGTGGGAGTCAAAATTCTTACGATAGGTACCAATAGTACAAATGGGTACAGGGGGATTCCAGAAGTACATTGGTACCAATGGTACGATTGATCGATACAAATGAAAAACAAGCAAGGATAAACACAGTCAGTTAGTGCGCGGCCTTCTGTGCGGAAGGTTTTGATTCCGAGGTGTGAACCCAAGAAACCCCTGGTTGCGTTCGATTGGGAAATCCGGATTTAGATTTTTGAAATCCGGATTTCGGATTTTGCAATCGAACGCGAAATCCGAAAACGGATTTCACTTTCGATAAATCCGTCTTCAGTGTGGATTTCAATTAAGAAACCCAAATCCGATTTCATGGATTTCCATCTTTAACGTTCGATTGGGATATTCGAAAAAGGATTTTCAAAACTATTCTTTTAAACAGTGGTCTTCTTTTTGTTGATTTTGCTTGCGCGTGCAAGACCGCTGTTCTTAGGAACTGTTTTTCAATCCTTTTTCGGATTACCCAAAAAAAACGGAAAGAAAGGAAATCCAAGAACAGATATCTCAGCGTTGAAATCCGTTTTCGGATTTCGCGTTCGATTGCAAATCCGAAATGCAGATTTTAAAATCTAAATCCAGATTTCCCGATCGAACGCACCCTCTGTTTCGAGTTCTTTCCTTCCCTTTAAGATTAAAGTACCTTAAAGTACCTTAAAGCGGAGCACTGATGGAGAGAGGGGGGTACAATGAGTGCACCATTGGCCTCAGTTGTTGTCTATAAGTACCAGTCGTACCGCTGGTACTGTTAAACAAGGATGACAGTCGACTGGTACCTTGCCTACCTAACATTTTGTCCATCCGCTAAACCATAGGTGTAGCAGGGAGTTTCCATCAGCCTCGAGCCTTGAGGCTTTGACGAGAATAATTTTGTGCACATTTAGGCTTTTTTTACGCCCTTAATCCAGGTGTTCAGGGACGTCCTCTTGCTTTATAACCTGAAATTATAGTTCTGTATGTTTGCAGTGCCAGCAGATTGGTGCCATTCTCGCCATATGCCCGAACCAATTAATTCACTGTATGATTATAATTTTATGGTGTTGTACCAGTGCCGAACCTTGTCTTTACAGATTTGTTCTAGTTTACTACTATGGTTCGTATTTACTGAAAAAAAAAGACAATGTTATTTAAATATTATAAGAATAAGATAAGGGCCTTTGATACTGATCGCCCACATATAACTTGGGCATGAAATCATAGCAATTAACAATTTATATGTGTTACGTTTTTTGACAATTTCTTTTTCTTTCTTTTTTACAATGTAATGCAGGAGCACATAACCCGGAAAAAGCAACTTCCATGCGCTCGTCTCACGGCGTTTTCACGGACCAGTATATTTTTAGAACGGTTTTGGCGCGAGTTTTTGATCTTTAAATTCCAAAAACCAGTTAGCAAAACCTACAGACCTAAAAATGTGATTTTTTGCCTTTCAATAACGTTTAGTTTTCCTTTCTGATATCTTATACTTCAAATGCGCTCATAGACATGGTGGAGAGTCTATTTTCGCGAGAAAAAGGGCCCTAAGATTATGAAAAAGGGAAATATTCAACCAATGACCAAGCGAGATAAGTTCAGGTTCGAATTAGCAGAAAGTTCAAGCTACCAATAACATTAGAGGAAGACGAGCCAGATCGCGGGCGACCCGCCGCGCGAAAGCCAACACCAAACCGGCGTGAAGACACAAAACGAATGCTTCACTAGTTCACAGGTTCAGTTCGAATCAACAAAGTTTTACTGCAGATGACAATCAGTAAAACTAATTGTGGCTTTAAATCTTGTTTTCTTAGTCACGAAATGAAAACTAACAACTAAAAATAAACAGTACCTGCAAGAAGAGCTTTTTATTGCATTAACCGGTTTTCTTTACTAACCATCTACACCTTTACAGAGAATACATAAGATGAAAACGGTTCAAAGTTTCCAGACTCCAAACTGACCTTCATCTCACTTACACTTATCAGAATTTTCTACGTCTCTTCACATTAAAAAAGAAAAAAAGAGAGAAAGTATCGATCCCAAGGCGCAGGAACTGTAGTCCATATCCCATAGTGCTACACCTTGATGGGTTTGCTGGCTAGTTTAACAATGATTTACAGATTTATAGTGACATCCTTAACAGTAAATGAAAGCTAAACATTTCGAGCCAGTACTTGACCCTAATCACTATTCACAGTGCTTCACCCTAATCGGTATTGTCAGCGCTTAACCCCAATGACTTGCTTAGCGTAATCATTTTTTTCAGCGCTTTAAGGCTCGATCACAAGCCGCTGTTTGCGAAATGAGTCCGCGCTCTCAGGAACTCGGACCAGGGGCCCGTTTCTCGAAAGCCCCGATAACTTTTCGGGCCCGGAAAGGTACCGTGTTCGAATTCAAGATTAAAGTTTCAATAATTTTAAAAATGATACAATAAAACATCAGTTAACAAGCAAAATTGACCGATTTGTGAGCTAGGAAGTGTCTAGGAACTGTGCTACCATTCAAAAGGCTTTGATATTAGAATTTCCCTTTGGGCCCGAAAAGTACCGGGTCCCTCCTCTATAAGGATTTGCTTTGTGTGGAAATGATAAGGTGTCCAAGGTCTGTTTGGAGTATGTAAACAAATCTCTTAAACGATTGAAACATGCGTAAGGCCAGCGTTTCGTATCGCGGGCCTAAAGAAAGCCTAACGGCAATTTGTGAAAATTCATGAAGACTGTATTTCAATGGATTTGAAGCTTTGTACAAGCTTTTCCTTGTTCTCTTGTACCCACACATCAAACCGTTGAAGCCCTGGATTTAGCTTCCTTGTCAATTCAATATTGCGGTCTGGGTTACCACGCTTGTAAAACTCGAACATATTTCCAATTTCTACTGCACCGTCAAATCCCAGAGCCCTGTACTGATCAAAGGTGATCTGAGAATCCTTTAGGAAGAAAAAACAAACAAACAAGAAGAGTTCGTCGGGGCGGCTTGGCTATCATCAAGGCCACCAAAAAGCATTGACAGACCTCTTAGCGACCATAAAGTTTTCATAAGGCATTAGACATCTCTATCGTAAAGTTAAGAAGTACGTCATTAGATAAAAATGTAAATCGCGCCACTTTGCCACTTTCCGAAGATTGCGAAATGTCTTTTTTACGTGTTTTCCACAAATTTGCCCTGCAAGATTACCCCCTTTATATAGGCTTTACATGACATCAGTAACACACTACCTCCCCCCCTCCCTTCCTTTTAGTTCCTACCACAATTTGACGTCATCTTTGATCTATGACTTTTGGCGGGAACGCGGACAGAGACCGACGACCTCGACCCAGTCCCTTAACGTCGCCGTTGTCGTATCGTAAGGTCTCTATTGAACAGAAGCATGGAAACATTGAATCTATTCGTTGACTACTATGCACTATATACTATATTTACATCAACGAACCTTGAACGTCAATGGACTCAGATGCTTGGATAATTTTTCGCAGTATTGCTGAATTGTGAACTTGGAGGCGCTCAAACCAACTGTTTTATAGCGGTAGCAATCAGGTGCCTCTAAAATGCCTACAGAATCAAAGAGGAAGAAGTGGATGACTTCAGCAATTTAATCCCACAGTCAAGAAAGTATTTAGTTGATCTCTTTTTATGCTAGCCTAGGAAAACAACCGACGTTTCGCGAAGCCACTACCGGTTTCCCCGCGAAATGACGTCTGAGAAACGAGCGCAGAAATTTCACACTGATGAAGCAAATTTCCTTTCGGAGTTGCGCAGAGAACTGGGGCGAGTTTCAAATTTACACTAATCAATAAACTGACCACCATATAAAAGGTCGTGTTGAGATTGGTTATTTGACCAAGTTTGGTGCTCTAAAGTTGAACAGGGATCAAGTTATGACTCTTAAAACATGGTTAAAGATCCATACAAACGTCTGTAATTTTGTGACAGCGTCCCCCCAAAACCATATAAACACTTAATTGTTTCCACGATTTCTGTGATATTCCTGAAAATGGGCAAACATAGTGATTTTCGAAGTAGTTCCTTCCAAGTAGTAGATGTATGACGAATTTTACAGTTTAACAGAAGAATTGAAAAATATTTTAAAGAGTTTATATGGTTTTGGCGAACGTTGAAAAAAACTCGCCGAACCCTTTCTTTTTCTACCTACTTCTGGGAGTCTGGTAGTATGATATTAAATCTGTTTCTGGAGTTTGACTTTGATATATGCATTTTGAGGTCTGATTTGGTGGAAAGCGTCCTGAAGTTTATTTATTTTTGTTGCAAAAGGGCTCGTGTGCTTTAACTTTCCAAAACGTTTGGTTAGAGTAGGAGTTGATAGGAAGTTTTGGTATTCTTAATAAAAACAAAAGAAAAATTGTTTCTCCACACACTGCTACTTTCCTTTGTTTAGCCAAGTGTAATAATGGTCAGTGTGAAGTTATGGATATATGAAAACCATATATGTGAACTGCGGAGTGAAGAATTATATGAAAGAAGATCATCGCAGTTATAGACGGAACTTTTGCAGTCGCGAAAAGAAATAGCCAGTGTACCGCAAAGTCCTCCACTCCTCTCCAGAAAAATGATTAAGACACTCTATTTAGCACAAAAATATTAATTGAGGACATTATTTTTACAACTCTTACTGAAGACGAGACGGCTATTTTTCGCGATCATCCTAGCCACGCGAAGGTATAACTATTTGCAGTGCAAAGGCAGTTTCTTCATTTCTTAGTTTTAAGTATTGGCCCGGTCCAGGAGATCGAACCCTTGATCTTCCACTCTGCAGTCAAGCGCTCTAGCTACTGAGCTAGTCCTGCCGCGGTAAACAAGCATCTGATGTTTTCCCTGATGGCAGGGGACGGTGGTACGCAGGCTACAAACATATATCACTCTAGTTTTATCTCCTCTCCTTGATCCTCCTTGGGACAATTACCTCGGTCCCAAAGCCTTGGACTTTTATTATAGCGCGGTTCACCTGCAATACATACCATAAACACATTCTCCTCCCTGGGTGACATCAATCCCATCCATGGGTGCCCCCTCCATTGGAATGTCGAAGACAAACTCGTTTTCGTTTAACCTTCGGGGCGTGGAAAACGAGGTGAAGTTATTGAAATAATAAGAGAAGCGAACGATGGTGAAATTCAGTTTCTCTTTCAGTTTCTTCGTATGAAGGTATTCCTCCACTATGCCCTTGCTGTCAAAATGTGCTGAGGAAAAAAGGAATGTTGTTAGACTCAAAACATAGGCCGCACACCAAAAATGTTCCAAAGACTACACGGATTTGAAATATTTAGCTTTTCTCGAGGATGCTTTGTCCTCGAGGTGTCGCAATTATACAAAATTTCTTTGTCTCTGGGGATGGGGTTTTTGTAGAAATCTTCTGGCACCACCGTCGTTGGGAATTAGCAGGTTTCTAACGAAAAAGAAGGCAAATGCCCGGGAAAGAGAATGGCACGCTTTGAATTGACTGAGCCAAAAAAACTCGCTTGTGTCGCTCAGCCAATCCTCAGGGAACTTAAGCAACACCGACGGCGAGGGCAACGAGAACAACAACGACAAAATAGCAACAGATTTGGATTAGTAAAACAACAACTTTGCTCGTGGATCAACCTCTTTTGTACATTTCTTTGCCGTCACTGCAGGAATACGATGTGAAACCGCCTAATTTCACGTTCTGTGGAGGGCGTGAACTTAAGAGAATGTCTATCGTTTTCTTTCCCTGAGCTTCCATACAGTCCTTCAGAACTTATCTACAGAAAAATTCGCCAACATTTGTCAAATTGAACGAGAAACGCAATTGAGTTTGAAGCAGCGCGAATTCACTTCTTAAGTGACGCTTTTGTAGCCGTCGCTGTCATTGTTGCTTAAGCTCCCTGAAAACCTTTCTTGGCGACTTGGAAAGCTGTACAGAAATCACGCCGAAATCACCTTTTTTGTGCGTGAACCTATACGGTATGGTTTTTGTGTCAGCGCAAAAGCTAACCGGAATGGAACGTAGCCTTATAATCAAATCAAACTTTGTGGCTCTTGGCAGCACTCAGAAGTAGACGTCAGTTTTTTCTGTGTTTTGATAGCAAGAACAAAAGCTAAAAAAGAATCGAAGAGTTTATGAAATGGCTTATATCTTTTGTTTAATGTTGTAAGGACTTCGCATGTCATTTGTGTAGTAAAAACACGTTTAGAATTCACACTAAAAATTCTTAACCCTACTCGAAAAAAAATAACAATAAGCAGAAGGCTGAAGAGATTACTTCTTTTGAAAACAACCCATCGTTGGCTTGCGTAAAACAATAAAATAGGTTTAAGAATGGGAAAGACAATTGAACGGACGCAAGGTGATTTTTATCATCTTCAAGTATTCTTTTTAGCTGAGAAAAACGAGAATACACTTGTACAGTAGACAGGGGCACCCAACGGCAATTTTCGCGAAAATATCTGTTCGGAAGACGATTTGAGATCTAGAATTTTCGGAGCATTTGTTGCAAAATTTCTTGCTTGCCTGCCTCTCCTAGGATTTTCGAACATCTATGTTGTAGTTAATTTTTTATCTCAGTTAATTTTTATTTTTCCATTGTTTTTGTGTATGATAATGAATGCTAATGAATTTGAAACAAAGGAAATATAAAAATTAACTGAAATAAAAAATTAACTGCAACATCTACAAAATGGTATAATTACCCATTTTTAACGGATTTTGACCCTAAAAAAGGCCATCTAGAATTTTCGGGAGCCTTTTCCTGGCTGAAATTTTCGATAAAGTAAGTTTTTATCCCTATAATTTTCGGGTCACTAGACTTTCAGCTAGGAAATCCGAACAGATGAAAGTTTTTATCAGTAAAATACGTTCAACAATGCTATGTTAAGTGGTTTTGAACTATATCCTCGTTGGGTGCCCCTGAGTAGATTTGGCTTTCAACTCGTGGACTGTACTGTAGATATGTTAACTGTACGAGTTTTTCTGTCACGAACAGGAGGACCGAACGTGCATATTTTTAATTTGCTTTTGTTAATTGAGGCAAACACATAATTTATGCAGTCAATCTCGCACATAAACGATAAAGGCGGTATATTATGCAGGTATACATGTCAGATGATTGATGTTGGCTCCAAATCTGTTTACATAGGAAAACTTTGGCAGATTTCGTGTCCACATACAAAATAAATAATGAAAATAGCGTGTATGATTTTAATGATTTCCTGCCGTGCGAAAGCACAGTAAATTGCACCATTTTCAGACCTTCTCCCGTGCCTTGTTCATTTAATTAAAATTCAAAATCTACAATATTTATTGATGAGTCAGTCACGGTTGTTCAGGGTCAAAAGGTTTGATTGGATGCAACTAAATTCGATGAATTCGATTTTCTAAGCCACTCGATTGACTTGAAAAGTTGCAATGGTACCTATAAGAAAACCTCTCCTGTACGTATGCGGGGGGTTCCTTAATGGTAACTTTAGTAGAATTTTGGTCTCATAATATCAGACAACGTCGCATTGAAGTTGGAATTTGCAGAGTCATCATCGCACCCATCGCACCAGCGTTCGTGTTCCACTTAAATGCAATTGGGTCACGAAAATTAAAACTTACCACATTCAATTCCAATCGCCTTCTTTACATTTTCCAACCCGCTGTAAATCAAGTGATTCACTCCCAGCGCCTCGCACGCGTCAATCACTCGCTTGCCCTGTTCAATTTCTTTCTCCTTGCTAAAATGCTCCCAGTAATTCGTGACCAAGAAAACTCCGTAGGAGCCACGGATTGCTTGTTCCACGGACTCTTTGTCATCCATATCACACTTGACGACTTCACATCCCTTGCTCTTCAGTTCCTGCCCTTTAGCTCCTTCTGGTTTTCTCGTAATTGCACGAACAGCGTAATCTTTCCCCTCCTCGTTGATGGCTTTGAGGAGAGCTGAGACAACTCCACCACCCTGTCCGCCAGTCGCTCCAAATACTGTTATGACCTTTGGCATGTTAATGCAAAATTTACGTAGCTATAAACTTTGATAAATGATATGGAAGCTCAAAGCCTGTATTGCTACACGCTGGTGGTGTATTGGACTTATTTGCAAGTAAAATCAGCTTAAAATTCGTGGGGTTATTTCAATACCTTGTCGTCCCAAGATTGGTCACGTGATTTATGACACGTACGTGACAAAGCCCAAGAGGACTGTATCAACCGCAAGTGGACGTTTTACATACTTAGGGCCTGTTTACATGGAGGTGGAGGCGGGGGGGTAACCCGCCTGTCCATCTCTCATTTTAATTTGATCACGTTTACATGATCGGGGGGGTGATCCGACACATGTTACCTCACCTGTCTGGGGTCTCCCACCTCCACGTAAACAGGCCTTTAGGCAGTGGTTTCACAAAAATTTCTGGCAAATCGTTTCTATAGGAGTAAAAACACCTAGCAATACAAATTTGGCAGCGTTTAGAGATGTTACATGTAAAAAGGAAAAAAATCCCTCTTCCGGTTGACGTGCGCGGCTCAAAATCCCCTCAAACATCCTTATTTGCCCATTTCCCAGCAACATTTTCCTCCTAAGGACAGATTACTTTTTCCCAATCTCCATTTGATGCCCCTGATTATCAGTGTCAAAAATGTCTTGGTAAAAGCTCTCGTAAGCGACTGCCCTTAATGTTTACTTCAAAGTTGCTTACAAGAGCCTAAGAGCCTTTTAGCAAAGAACGACCACCCCTAGTCGCGATCCATATTATGAATTCCCTGCCAATGTGGTCGCTAAGGAAACATTTGGCAGCACTGATTCCTTCTTTTAATCATTTGTTTTAAGAAGAGTAAAGCTTATTTACGAAGAAATTTAATACAAAGAAAAAACAATTTACAGTTAATTTTAGTACGAAAAGACGTGACAAAATGTTTCTCATTGATGTATAATGACAGTTAACACGCAACCTATTTCACCACTGAGGCATCCCAATACAAACAATTGCAAGTTTTTCCAAGAGAAATGATCTATTCTCTCTACTGTTTTCAGACAAGTGCATGAAATTAACCTTTTTTTCCAAAACCTTGATTGTTATTGTCTCGCTCGAAGACGCTTTAATGAGAAGAGAATGATTATGTCCGATACTTCTAATAACAGAAGATTTAGGAGTGCAGAGGAGATTCAGGCTTCTGATAGAAAATCAAAATGCTCTTACTCCAACGCTATGTTTTGCCGTAAGTTTAACTCAAAACGCACTGGTAGCCAGATAACGAGTGATAGAAGGTACAAATAGGCGTGATCAGATCGCGTCTTGTGCATTTCATTCATCCTTAGTACAGTGGTCAACCTCGTCCCCAGGGTCTTCTCCCTTTCCAATATGGCGGCGGCAGAAGAGGACCCGGGAACGAGGTTGTATGGTGGAAGGCATTACCTTTGTCCGCTGAACGAGGGTAACGCAGGCTCAGAAGAAAGAGATTGAATGCAGGCATTCTTGTCCCCAGAGCCCGTCGTTTCTTGGTCACGTGGTCTTGAAACGAGTGGCTCTGGGGACGAGAATGGAATGCAGGTCACACACGTGCGCATGCCAAGCATGTCTAATAGCAACCTGAGGATTATGAGTGTGGGCTCCTCTTGTCCCCCGCCAAATTGTAAGAATCAGGATGCTTTAGTAATGGCCCAATTGGTGTCCGTATTAACGAGGTTTAACTGTAACTTTTTAGGGGTATCAACAACAGCACTTAACCAAAAATTAAGCAGTTTGCAATCATACACTACTCAAAAATGATAGAACTCTCGACGCCAAAAGGCTTTAAATTTAAGACTGTATGTTCAAGGAGTTGAAGTTGTTTTCAAGCATTTTCTTGTTGGCCTTCACCCACGCATCAAACCCTTGAAGATCTGGATTCAGCTTCTTTGTCAGCTCGATATTGCAGTCCGGGTTTCCTCGCTTATAATACTCGAACATATTTCCAAGTTCTACTGCTCCGGGAAAGCCAAGAGCTCTAAACTGATCCAAGGTGATTTTAGAATCCTTCAAGAATAAAACAGGGACGTTTTCATTGACGTTTTGAGGTTAAGCAAACAGTAAAGATATTATACGCCTCGTTCCTCAACCTTGCATTCGACAAGTTTAGCGTTAAAAAGAAAAATAAGACTGAGGTTTTCGTATTTTAAAAGGGACACGTGAAGGAAATTGAAGGATCTACAGGGAGGTATTTCCAGTGTAAATAGTGAACTTACCCGACAAGACTAGAGGAAAGAAGACGGCAAACCTTGTGTGTCAAGCATGACAATAACTATGTTTGAAAAAAAACTTTCCTCCAAACTTCAACTTCCTTTACTGAAGCACTTCTTTGTAAAAGACTAAGACAAACTGATCAATGTTAAGTGAAGATCACGACAAAACACACAAGTAATAGCCCTATCACGTTTGTCACACGCAAACGTTTTACCATCCTCTTCTTTCTGCCGTCCTGTATTAACGTTAAAGAAAAGAAAAAGAAAGTTGTTGTCTTGTGTTCCCGTCCTCGAGAAAACGTAAAATTAGGAAAGAAATTAGTCACTTTCACGTTGTAGTCGTGCAATGACGGCAAAGAAATGTACAAAAAAGTGTGATGCAAGTACAAAGTTGTTGTTTTGCTACTATAGTCCTTAATGACTCAACAAAGACACTAGTTAAGGAAACCTCAAGCTAGGATTTAAGTAGTTTGTCAACTAACCTGGAATATCTTAGGGCTCAGATGTTCTGATAATATGTTACAGTACTGCTGAATAGTCAGTTTGTCGGCGCTCAGACCAATCGTTTTAAAGCGATAACCATCGGGGTCTGTCAATATGCCTAGAATCCAAATATACAAATAGGATGTTGAAAATTTTTCAATGCTGTTATTGTTCACTTAAAATATTTCTCCGTTTCAGATTTGCTTTAATCCTCTGTCTTATTGAAAGGTGCTAAGATTATACGGTGGATAACAGCCTCGAAAATACCCCCATTCAAAGGGCAACTCGATGAAGTGGTGGGAGGAAACTTCCGTTACAGGAGTATGATTATTTGAACACTATAAATGCTGCTGTTTTTAACAAGACCAATACCTAGGTAAGACAGTCAGTAAGTCCGACCGATTTTACGACAACTGATCACAGAGAATAGAGAGAAGTCATTTATCTGCAGTATCGATTCTGTGCCGTACGTTTGCTTTTTTTATTACTCACCATATACACATTCTCCTCCTTGTTTGACGTCAATCGCATCCACGGGAGCCCCCTCCATTGGAATGTCGTAGACAAAAATGTTTTCGTCTAATCTGCGTGGCCTGGTAATGAAATTATCGAAGTAGCCTGGGAAGCGAACTATGGTGAAATTCAGTTTCTCTTTCGGTTTCTTCGTGTGGAGTTATTCTTCAACTATGCCTTTGCTGTCAAAATGTGCTTGAGAAAAAAGAGTTGAAAAAGAATGTTGTTAGTCTCACAAGATTAAATCCAGCAGTGACATAATGGCATAGCAACCAAACCTTTGACCCCAGAGCGACCCGGCTAAGACCACGTCACCAAAAGAAAAGAAGGACCCTGGGGTCGAGAATGAAAGGATCTGTTTACGCATGAGCAGAAGGATGACATTTGAGCGATGGCGGGAAGAGGATACATTACAGGCGCCAAAGTTTTCTTCGCTTGTCACCCGAAAGTAGGGGTCCTCATGCAGAGCTGCAAATAACAGTTGGTCATCGGACGATGTCCAACTAAAATTGTTTCCATGTCTGACGAAAACTAATCCTACCTGCAGTTGGGCATGATGACTGGACAGATCAAATGCTATCCTTTTGAATGGTACTCTTACACATACAGGGGGACCCCGTTAATACGGAAACCAAGGGGATATGCTACAGTGTCCACTTCATCCGGGTGTCCGTATTAAGTGCATGAGCTGTCGGAAAATAGGTCACGGACACATGTAGCAAACAAAGAGAAAGAAAGGTAAAAACAGTGACTGCAGAGAGAAAAGCTTATCAAACGGCTACAGTACAAGGGTGGGTCAAACACAAGGAAAGAAAAAATTAAGGGCCGACCAAACCAAACGTGTTACGTTATTTTGCTACCGTTTTTAGCATATGATTGTGACAAGGTAAATAAATAGTGCGTGGGTATTCAGTATCAGCGTAAAGCGGGGTTGACGATATATCAGAGTTTGTGACTCGGAACACAGAGAAGTGTCCGTTGTCCTTATAGAGTGTTTTCACATGACGTCACGGAGGCCATATTGGTGTCCCAAAACAATGAAACGGCGGTCATGTTGGTGTCCCAAACCAGACTGAGTCCCGGTGTGGGAGTTGAACTCTTTTCTTATGCAAACGCTTTTATTTGTACCAATAAATTTACATGGATGTTGGCCACGCCAGTGAAAACATTCTATAAACCGGTGTCCGTATTCAGCGGGTCAATTTTGGAGAAAATATGTCGGGACAAACGAAACTTTTCGGGTGTCCGCATTACGCGGGCGTCGCCGTATTTAGCAGGGTTCCACTGTATGCCAACTCCCCCAGATGCAGCACAAATCTTCCTGTCTTCCTGACGGGTCACCTAATCTCCCGATTAAAATCGATTTTTGAACTTTTCAGTACTTAAGTTTGGATTTAAGCCCAATTCTCCCTGCAAATTTCAAAATATTTCGTTTTCATTATACCGTTTCTGCTGCATTTGCCTGTATTTCATCACTGTCGGGCCTTATTTCATTTCTAGTCATAAAAAGCGATTTTTGTTGGTCTGTACCTCATGTACGACTTCTGAAATAATGTCAATGTGTCACAATGAATTAAAACGGAAAAACTGTCAGGGATACGTGACACTTGTACTTCAACAGCTGATGAGGTGATATTTGGTAAAGAATTATCCGACTGTTCGCATACCTGACTGGTCATATTTTTGTGATAACCTTCTGCGAGTACATCAAACACTTATCAGTACCAGAACTTACTATATTTTTTGTCATTTTAATTTTTTTTTAACCTAGTAAAAAAGGAGAAAAAAATCAAGGGCCTGGAATTTTTTACCCCGTCACTTGTTTCTCCCTTTAAATACTCCGTTACTCTTCACTGCGTTACTTTGTTTCGTTGATATATCCGACAGAAGGAGAGTGGGTTACGTAACAGAAATATTATAAGAGTTTGTATGGAAAATTTATCGACAAATATTTAGGGCCTTAAAATAGAAATAAAAATACATCAAAACGTCCTACCTTGCCTGCTTGTCTTGTTTGTGGTATGCTCTCAGCATTTCTGGCCGTTTCATTGCGATTTTAGCGAGTTTTATATAAATAATTATCGCATACATAGAGAGAGCAACGATCTATGAATTTTCCACACAAACTATTATAACAATCCTGTTATGCAACTCACTCGTGGGCTTGGGGTACCTGTGGTCCAACTCAGTTACTGGAAGGAATTGAAGTCAAAGCCCCGGGACAACGGCGCCATTACGTAATGAGCTTTCCTCTTCGTTTTCGGTGTTCTCTTAACCTTACTCAAATCTTCGTTTGATAACAGTGAACTAGGATTTCTTCAGGTCATCACATCAATATTTGGGCATCACTTGAATACATTAATTAGGTCACGAAATGCTGGGAACATCTAGATAAATAAAACTTACCACATTCAATTCCAATCACCTTCTTTACATGTTCCAAGCCACTGTAAATCAAGTGATTCACTCCCAACGCCTCGCACACGTCAATCACTCGTTTGCCCTGATCAATTTCTTTCTCCTTGCTAAAATGCTCCCAGTAATCCGTGACCAAGAAAACTCCGTAAGAGCCATGAATCGCTTTCTCCACAGATTCTTTATCATCTAGATCACACTTGACAACTTCACATCCCTTGCTCTTCAGTTCTTGCCCCTTAGCTCCCTCTGGGTTTCTTGTGAGTGCACGCACAGCGTAATTTTCTCCTCTTCTTGTGGCTTTAAGAAGAGCTGAGACAACTCCACCACCTTGACCACCAGTCGCTCCGAACACTGATATACCCTTTGCCATTTCCATGCGAAATTTTCGTAGCTAAAACAAGACTAAGTCCGCTGATTTACAGGAAAAACTCCGACGCGCGACGAAGATCAGTTCCTATTGGCTGCATACTCACAGTCACAACAGTTTCCCCGCCCCAGGCTTGACTTCATGAGGTTTCTCGGCCCCTGAGCTCACCCTTTTGACTCTGCACGTGCCACGCGCAAGCAGCATACGCAATAGAGAAGAGATCTTGGCCTGGCAATCTCGTTCTCAGAGTCCACGTTACCCTTGTCCAGCGGAACGAGATGGTGGGCAAGGTTGTTCAAGGCCCAACCCCGTTCCCAGGGTTCTCTGCTAAACGCCCCTACGGAGCGAGAGAGAGATAGAGAGAGACGGGTAGGAGAGAGAACCTGGGAACGAGGTTGTTCAAAGCCCAGGATCAAAAAAGCCAATTCTTTTTTTTCCTACTTCTTGTTAATTGGTTGCTCTAAAAACCATAGAGAAACTAGAGAAATTCGAGAAAATGTTTTATTAGAAGAAAAAAAACACCAGGATTAATATTTCACCCCGGGTTAGCGCTAATCGGTCTTTGAGTAACTGGGCCTGCTGGGGTCGAGACTCGAGAGGGTACTAAAACGTTGATGGGCAGTATGCATGTTTTAGCTACTTCCCAAAAAACATTCACTTGGAAAACTGTCATTGAACAACTTCCGACAAAACACAGCTCTTGCCAATAGGTAACCATTTATCACCACAGTTGTAATACGCTGACCTCGCCATAGGAGGGTCAATGGGGTTAACCGTCAGCCATCATAAAAGGCAATTTTTTATTGTCAACCGTCAAAAGTGTACCCTGGATACCAGAGGTTTTTTCCTGCCTGCGACGAGGAACTTTGTCGGCCTCACCGGCTGAAGACACGAGCAGCACGGGTCACTTTTTAGACCGAAACCAGAAACCGCGCATGAAAAGCCCTCGAGGGGGCGATCCCTTTTAAGCCATATAGGTATGTGCCGCCCCAAAGGGTAGCGTTTTTGCGCTGTTTGGGTCTGAAAACGGGTATACACTTTGCCCATTTTGGTCTGGAATCAGATAGGTTTTCAAGAGAGTTACGGGAGTGTATAAACGTATCAGTGTCGTTTCAATTCCAAATAAAAAAGAAAGAAAAGATTAATTATGCGAATTCGAACTGGATTTTGAGAAATCATGTTGGCGTTCTAGTTTAAGTAACTGCTGGCATAATTTCGTAGAAGCCAAGTCTGAAAATGGGTATGGATTTTAGGGGCCAGGGGCCCGTTTCTCGAAAGTCCCGATAATTAACGGGCCCGGTAAGCTGTCTCCGTTTACATTAAAGATCGAGGTTTCAATAGTTTTGCATCTAACATGATAAAACTGTCAGTTAATGAAACAAAATGGAGTGGTTTGCTGGCCAGGACCCGCGCTCTTATTCTTTATATTTCGATTTGAATATTTGATTTCGGGCCCGTAAAGTTACCGGGACTTTCGAGAAACGGGCCCCAGGTCTGGTCTGAAATCGGGTCAGGATTTGGAGAACCGGGCGGCACACCCCCACCAAGAATTCTCAGGAGTACCCCAAAGGAAAAGCCTCTTGTATCCAGAGGGGGGTATCAAAATTGCAGATTAATGTTAACTGACAAAAAGTTTCATGGTATTTCAAATCTCACTATTTCGGGTAATTTTCACCGACTTCTGGCTGCTGAAGAAACTCTTAAATGGAAAAACCAGTTCCCGTATTGTCAAAAACACTCTCTCTAGACATAGCAAAACCTTACAACTTGTTTATATCTGAAAACATTTGGAAATTTTATTAGTGAAAGGCAAAGATATTCTCCAAAACACCAGAATTAATACAAATTCTTACAGAATTTAATACTGTATTTACTTAAACTCTTGGACTATATAATTTGCACTTTCAATCGTCAAAACTGACCGTTGTCCTTGTAATACTGGAAACCACTACATCAATAGATTTTTTTTTTTACCAACTTTTAGCCATTGCAACAAAGGCTGGAAATCTATATTTGACTTTATGGGCCTTCCGTTACACTATTTAGGAAAGGGTTTTTGTAAGATTTTAGGAAAAATAATTGCTCTAAACAGACCTAGAATGAAAAAGCTCTTCTACATCGAGCTATGATACGTACACCTCTAAATCAAAAAAGTAAAAAGCTTTTCTCCAACTTTTGGGAAAAAAAATTCCTCAAAAAATTCTTCGTAGGATTATTTCCCGCGCGCGTATCAAATACGGCCACGTGTCCAAGCACCGGATGTCAGTGGCCAGGCGGAATATAAATAAGAAATCAACGGCGTATTACCAAGGGAATAATCATCCATCCTCGATTCTCGTCAGGTTTCGACATGGATTACTTCTCTGGCAAGCGTTTATCGAACAAATTGAAAACAATATTTATCGCTATTCGGCCTTGGTCATTCTCTGCTTCAATCACAAGCACGTTTCTCGGATATTTACTTGCATGGAAAGTCAATGGTGCAATCGACTCCATTCAAATGCTATTCACGACAGCTTCAATTTTGTTCATTCACGGCGCTGGGAATTTAGTGAACACCTACTACGATTTCGCTAACGGATTCGATACCAAAGATTCTGACGATAAAGCGCTGGTAAAGAAAGACCTTACTCCCAACGAAATTGTCGCTTGTATTGGGGAGTTTTATTTCTTGGGAATGCTATCCTTTCTTGTGGTTTATCTTCATTCAGAGGTAAACAATATCTCGTTGGTTTGTCTTTTCTTAAGTGGCGTTTTCAGTTCTTTTGTTTACACCGGAGGAATTGGTTTGAAATACATCGCGTTCGGAGATGTTCTGATCTTCTTGACCTTTGGCTTTCTGACGACAGCGTTCGCCTACTTTGCTCACACTGGAAAATTGTCAATGGACATAATTAGCTACGCTTTACCGATGGCACTAAACACAGAAGCTATACTTCATGGGTGAGTGCAAAATTAGCTCAGCGTGATTGATCGTGATTCCCACATTAAGTATCAACGAAGGAGCTTCATCCCACAACCCCCCCCCCCGCTCCCCACCAAATTTGTTTAGGTTTTTTTTCCCTTTTTTTTGAAAATTGAAATATTTTGGATTAATACCGTGATCTCGGGTAGACTTTCACATACCGGAATCCATTGTTTTCAATCTACATTGTTACAGCTGTATTCATGTCCAACATCTACTATTTGAGATTCTGGTATATGAAACACAACCTGACATCTTTTATTCAGCAACAAATGCCTGGCGATGGTTTGTGGACTGTGGACTTAGGACAAAGGACTGAGGGCCAGGTATAATAAGCCAGTTTGGAATAGACCTTATTTACGATACCTGCCATCTTTGCACATAGTCTAGGATCGATGGGATAAAAGCTACATGTATGTCGCATGGCATTTCAGGGGGCAAACAAGTGATAAAATTTTCCAATACGAACAATCGCGGTCTAGTTTATTTATTCTGTCAAAACAAGACAACGATTTCATAGTCGTGCAAAATGTACCTATCGAGTTTTGGCAAGATTTACATCATTACTGCTTGCCATGAGGACATCTACCATTGCTACTGCACACAAAAAGGTAACAATGATCACTTTCACCCATATTTTGACATTATCATCTTTAAAGAGACACAGTCAGCTACGTACCTGCGCTGACCCGGACACTACTTTTGCCAGTTTGAAAAGCATTTACCTCTGCCCAAAATCAAACCTACACATCGCATACATCTAGAAATTCGCTTCAATCCTGCCTAGTGTTTCATTCGATCCTCAATCTTTTACTGAAAATCTCTTTCTGAGCAAACTTTTACTCATCCTATTACATTATTTTATCATGTTTGGTTAAAAACAGTATTCAAAGGAACATGAACAGAAGTGGTGAGGAACGCGTAGGAGCCAGGCAGGAGAAATCGCCTTTGTTTACCAAAATAACAAGAGAAATGAATCAGTAACATTGATGAGCAAATAATTGCTATATATATTTGGAAAATCAATGGAGGTTCATATATATTTTTATATATTAAGAAAATCATGCTTTCTCGACTGTGAACCTTGGACAATGATTCAGACTTTGTGCAATTTCTCACCTCCAATGATGTTCGAATTCTGAAGTATTCTTCAATGTTTATTGCTTTCCCTGGAAAAATCCATCGGCGAATTCTCAATGGAATAAATGAGTGCTCTGATATGGCTTAGGACCTACAATCACGATTTCGGCTTGTACTTAGTTCAACTCTTCAGGGTTTGTTTAGAGTATTCCGGATACGCCTTTGTTTTATGCGCATCTTGCGACATGCAAATCAGCTAAGATATGGTATCTAATGCGCAGGTGCCTCAGCTGACTGTGTCCCTTTAAGATGAAAAGGTCTCTATTTCCTGTTGTCTAGAATAATTAAACTTGACTGCGATTTCTTCTACTGGCAATTTTTTTCGCTTGTTTGCCCCCTTGAGAAACCACGTGACATTGCTTTTATTGAATCAGTGCATAAATGGGTGCAAAAATGGCATGTATAGTGAATACATTGTTAAACAATACACACTTGGCTGTGATGGGAATGTTAAAATTATCCTTGAATGTCAATTTTATGGTGTTTCTTTTGTTTTCTACCCTTCTACCCCTCAGCCTTGGAGCCAAGTATGAATTTTAAAAATTCATTTTATAGCCTGCATAGGCTGAAGTCACATTTTTTGGTGTGTTTTTTCAATTCTGTTTCATAATATAAGAGGTCAAACAAGAAAATATTTGGGGAAGGGGACGAGAGAAGGAAGGCAGAGAGAACATCAGCCTGATGTCAGACAACCCCTTGAGATTTTTAAAATCCCCTCTCCATTTGCATGTGGCTCTCGTGTGGTGTGACATGTTTCCCCACTAAACATTTGAAGTTTGACGGCTGTAAAAGCAAACTGTTGTGCCAAAGGTTAAAGTTGTTCATGTTTAAAATCAGCGCACTCAACTAATTTTTTAGGGATGTCTTTCATTGATTGGGAACAAATTTCATTATTGGATTCAAAATTCCACTTTCAATTCAAAGACTGAAATTGTCTATTTAAAATGAATGTTGATTACTGTCTCATGGTAGTTAAAATAGAAAGGCAAAAAATCACATGCAAATTACAAAACTGTTTATAACAGCTGTTCACTTAATTTACATAACAGGTTTTTTCTCCCTTTACTTCCACGAATATTTCTCGTTCAGAAACAGAACAATCAATTGGTTTTAAGAATTATTCTTTTGGAGTTTTAGAACTGCAAAACTTAGTATTGCTGTCTAAAAACACTTGCAATAATATTTTGTTGAACAAAATCAAGTCAGATGCTTCAAGCTGCCAAAGAGTTGCCTACTTTGTAAGTGCTTTGTAGAAAAAAAATTCCGATAGCCTGCGTACTAGGCGCTAGGAAATAAATACTGGTATTTTGCCTGTTTTACTGCATGCTTAACTACCGATGAAAGTGCCTGGTCAGACGACAGCTAATTTTTCTCAATAACTCATGCCATAGACATAACTTAAGTTTTCCAAAATCAGTGCCAGACTATAGACTAGTTTTTATGGATAAGTTAACCTTAAGTAACCATGAGAGCTTAACATTAAGTAAGCTTACAATTTCATTCTTTCAGTTCTCAGGAGCCTTGATTATAATAAGTGTATTTACAAGATTAAAGTAAAAAACTTTACAGAAATTTACCATTTCCCTGTCTATATTGTAATGATATGCACTGAGAAGTGGGACTGTTTGACATCAGCTGAAAATGTATTTAATTGTAACACTAAAGGAGTTCATCCCTGGAATTAAAAAGTTAGAACTCCATACTAAATAAAATAAAATACTGCTGAAGAGGTTTCATTTGAATGGTAACACCATAGGATTTCATCCACAAACTCAAAAGTTTGATTTGCCTTTGACTCCTCCATTCACTGTAGGAGTTAAAAAGTTATATGAGGTGTATACAATCGGCAACAAAATTTCGCCCTGAAGGGGCTTCCTGATGTTTTACTAACTTCAAAAGGGAAAAATAAAGCTTTTCCTACCCCATCCTCTCAATGCAATGTTGTGCTGCTGTGCGAGCTACGTATAGAAAACAACAAACACCCCGACTTTGAATGGAGGGGAGGGGGACCCAATTTGAGTTCAATGTCTCAACAATTTTGTCACTGATTGTAGGTACGTGTAAGGCTAAAAGGTGTGGTTTGTTGGTTCCTTTTGGTCCAAAATTGATTATAGAGTTCAGTCATGTCCATCCGAAATGGGGTAAGGTTTTGTACTTTGTCGAATTGGCTGGTGTTTCTTTTTTTTTAATTTTTACAAAAAATGATTTGTCTTATGTGAACAACAATTTTGGTTTGCGATAGGGTAGGGAAATCATGTATTTTGGTCTGAGATTCTGCCTGACGTTTTGAAGATAATTTAGCTTAATTTAGCCTTGAATTAGCATACCAGTTTGTTATTATGAAGTTTCTTATGGGTTATGCTATCAGATGTGATTTGAGATCAATCATACAAAATCGCACCATTATATATTGTCAGCCTTAGCCCTGATAGGACAAGGGTGTGAGTTGAAAGTCTCTTTTATGAGTGCCTCTAGAGGGCATTAACCCTTTAAGCTCTAAGAGTGATCAGCATCAAATTTCTCCTTCTAATAACAATGCTTTGTAAAACAGAGTGGTCATGAGAATTATGGACATGATCACACAAGATGAATTTGCTTGATATTTTATCAACTTCTCCCCACTACTTTTGTAGGAAATGAATGGCGGCAACAAATGAGAATTCAAATTTTGATCTTAAGGTGTAAAGGGTTTTATTCAGTCTGCTAGTCCTTGCTATTAAAATGAATAATTATTTTAATGTTCAGTTTAGAAAAAAAAACATTGCATTTAAACTGTTTTTTATCGCAAAATCATGTACTTATGCTCTCTCTTTCTTCAGGAACAACACACGTGACCTTGAAAGTGACAAGTCAGCTGGGGGTATTACATTAGCTATTTTGCTGGGAAAGAGAAACGCATGTATTCTCTATTGTCTACTGTTGATGATCCCGTATGCTGTGCTTGGTATCCTGGCCTTCAATTCTTCTTGGACGTTGCTTCTTCCCTTGGTAACAGTCCCACTTGCCGTTGGTCTCTCGGCCAAATGTTTCCGCGGTGATCTGGTGATGATTCCACAAGGCACTGCTCAGTTAAATCTTTTATTTGGCTTCCTTTACCTAACTGGATTGGCTCTTGCACCTTGACAAAGCTCATTTACCGACAGTAAATGTTCACCTCAATAGATAGGAGAAGTGTGACGTCACGTTACCGTGGTAGCAAAAATTTCTGGATCTCAGCAATCGTTCTTGACAGAAACGGCCATTTGCATTGTCAGACGATGGAACAAAAGTGTGGGCTACCTTTTTGCTCCTGAGTGTAATCCTGTAAAGGAAAGTCATGTATGTCCATTTTTTTCTGCCATATTTGCAGGGCAACGGTTTGTTAAGATCCAGAAATTTAACGACTTCTCCTGTCCATAACCAGTTGGCCCCGATCGTTTAGGTCCACCGGTAAATCACTGTCCTACTTATATGTATTGAGGAAACCAATTGCATTATCCACTGGATAGAGATTTCTCAAGTGGATAGGGATATTTACCTTTTGAACAACTGGAGTATGGTGAATTAACGAAACTAGAAGATTCGTAGACTTTTTAAAACCGATTTATTTTCTCATCAGATGAGAAAAGAACGCGAGAAACGGTGAGCGCATACAAAGATTGGGCAATCCTTTGCGGATCCCCTTTAGTACTTTAGTTTCATTTTACTTTCACACTGTTTTAAACTTGCATTCAGTTTTCTTCCAATTTTCCCTGCTCGTTCAGCAATTAACGGAAATACAAGAAAAGGAAGAGTTTTTGAAAGGTCTTGATAATTCTCAGGTGTGTCTAAACAACAGATTAACTGGTCTTGAGTAAATCAAGCGTATTGAATGAATGTTAGTCATTGCATTATGACTTTCTTTGCTTTGATCGTTTTTAAGGTATTAAACCGTCAGTTTTGTTCCATATGAACAATTTTTTTAGCCACCTCTAATTGCTGTCTCGGGAAACTCGGACCACTTTTGTTGATGCTTTTAAGCACTTTATATTTCGCACAAAATTATTATTTTTTACATCAGAGATGTGAAAATTCAATCCTCAAAAGAAAAGCAACCTATGCCGTTAGTATTTGTGATTGATCGGCGAAAAACCGCATCTTTTCATGCTAAGTTCAGTTTAGCAAGTCTATCGTGTGTAATAAGCCCATCGTATCGTCTCATGTAAAGACTATTTTCTCATTGACCTTATTCAAGTGAAGGTTTTTTATAGTTGTTACTCAATGTTATTTATCAGGGCAATTTCATGCTTGCTGACTGCAATTTTAATCTAATTTAAAGGTATTGGTGTATTCCAGCAGAATATTAAAATGGACCTAAGGTTTGCTAGATACCGTATTTATTGCATTGTAACATAGTAACATAGTGTTCTTGACATATAATATTTCCTATATGGAGTGGATACCCACTGTGAAAGTTTCTGCCATGGCAATAAAATTGTGGGCCTTACTAAGGCTGGTGTGTACTTAATTCAAAGTGTCCGTTTAGTTACCTATTTTGAAGTAAGTGTGAGACTTGTTTGGTGTGCTGCTGAATGGGCCATTTTCACGTTGACAACATTTGACCAGGGCTCGCACAGTCTTGAAAAGTCCTTGAATTTTAGGGGAAGTCCTTGAAAAGTCCTTGAATTCCATTTTTCCTTTAAAAGTCCTTGAATTTTCTTCAACTTTGAATGTAGTGGCCTCGAAAAAGTAAAAAAAAAATAGCTAAAATGCCGATTTTTCCTCTTTCATTTTCTCCCTGCTTTGCTTCCTTTCGCTTTTCAGTTTAAGCAGGCTGACGCTCCAGCTGTAAATGTTATTAGTTTGATACCGCACATGGGATACCGGTTCTTGAATGTTACTCGACAGCATTCCGCCACGCATCTCCTGTGTACCATGATTAGCGACGACCTGGAGCTTGTGCAGAAAGCAAGCTTTCATGTAGCCTGGGTTGTAGTCGGCCCACGCACTCGTCTAAACCCTTTGTATGTCAACTCTCCTCAAGACGGACACCTTTGGGACCGGCACAGTGTCCATCTTAGAAAGATGTCCGTCTTATAAAGAGTCAAATAAAGGAAATAAGCAAAGGCAGGGACCAACTCTAGGTGTCCATTTTACAGAGGTGTCCGTTAAGAGAGAGTCGACTGTCGTCCGTCTGTAGAAAAGGTTTAGCGTGTCTGCGACGCAGGCAAGCTTTCAGGATAACCATATTCTCAGAGCGTGGTTTACCTGTTGTAATACCACTGTTAGACCGCCGTCGTCCCTCTATTTGTGTCCGGAGGATAGCCCTCTGCAATGAATTATTCACTAGCTTACCACGTCAACAATAAATCAAATGCATTTCTGTTATTACGTTTGTAAAACTATCCTAAGAGATGTAAACAGCTACCATTCTTAAATGTCTATGTCGAGTAAATTAATAAAAGCTGATCAGACCGGTCACGCGAGAACGAGATGAACATTGTTACGTACGAACACAAGGGAGACGCGTGATAGGTGTTGGCCTCTGTGAGCATTAAAGGACTTTGCATTGTGTGACAGGCTGTTATTAGCATACGCATGTTTTGAATTTTTAGCGCACATATTTCATTACTTACGCCCTAACAACGGTGTCTGCTATTTGCTGATTTTCACATCAAACTACTCAAAAACTAATTTTATCACAAACGAAAACATACTATCGTACTGACAGTTCATGGGAGTTTATTAGCGTGACATCGATTGGGTCGGTCATGTCTTTCTACACCAAGACTCGCAACTTCAACAACACCTTCACCATTTTCACGCGTTCGCTCAAACCATGGACATTTCCAGCGTCGATTTTGTCTTTTCTTCTTGGAACCTCCCTGGCTTGGAAACATGACAATAAGTTCCACCTTCTGAACTTTGTCCTGACGGGCTGTGTGATCTTGCTAACGCACTCAGCGGGGAATTTTGTCAACTCTTTCTATGAAGCTCAGAGCAGAAGATACTTCGTTTCGCCTGCCGCGCGAACCAGGACACTTGAACTGAATACGCAATGGGCATTATGGAGTTACCTTCTTGGAGGCACTGCGTTCGCCTACTTGGCTTTTATCTCCGAAGCGGAATTTAGACAAGAATTTGGATTCTATGCCACTGGTTTTCTTGCGTCTTTGCTCCATGGTGGTGGATTAAAGAACATAGTGCTAGGTGATGTGCTGGCGTGCGGAATATTCGGTCCTGTGTCTGTTATCTTTGCCTATATAGAGCAAGTTGGAACTACTAATCGACAGCTGTCGAACGCCTGGATAGCCACATACTCCATTCCTTTTACATTATTTACGGAAGCTATCCTTCACAGGTATGTTATCCTATCGTCAGATTATTTACATAGCTTTATCTATGCTTATAATAACGATTTATTAAATATGAATAATTGTATGTCATGTCGACTACGCGTAACAAAAGCTTGTTGTGTTTTGTTAATAGCCTTGTGTGATGCGTTTATTTAATTATTTAGCTCTGAGAAGTATTCTTTTCATCGAAAAATACGTCCACGTTATCATGTAAATTTCTGTAATTTTTCCTGTAGTAATTGCTAACTCTCTGATTTTTACAATACCGACGTGTAAGATTAGGTTTTTTGGCATTCCACGTGCTTCTAGAAGGATTATTATGTCAGTGCCTCGGGCCTGAGATTATGATAGGGTTGTTAGACGAATAAATTTAGGGTCCATGGCAGAATATTTAAGAGTTTTCACAATATTTAGCTACTAATCCAGGAAAAACTGCTGCGTCCCCAGTCGTCTCTTTTGCCGAATAGACTCCCGCGACCGTTCCCCAGCCGCCTACAATGATAAGAGACAACTGGGGACGAGTCAGCCAAAATAGCAGGTGGTTTGCCCACGAGATTCTCGGCTAAACTGGCGCGTGATCACGTCATATGTCTTTATAACCTGCGATCAGGTGTCCTTGTTCCCATTTTTTGGAAGACGAGGGGAAAAAGACGCAAATTTTGACAGATACATTAAGCAGAGAGCGTGAAATAAATGTATCAGACGTTTTTACCCGTTTCCCCGTCCGCCGACTTTCGTGCCGCTACCCCCGAAAAAAGAACGCCTGATCGCAGGTTAATGTCTTATGAGGTTAGATCATAACGGAGCTTTACGAGAACTATAAGCGCGAACATGAATTTCTACAGGAGCAACGCTAACTTGTAGAGGAAACAGTGAAACAGACAGATTTTGTAAACCGCTTGAACCCGTTATTTTTTTCGTGGACTCGTGGCCCGCAGCTCCTATTCAGATGACTTGAGAATAGCTGTGCTGTTTGGCATGCAAGGGCCAGTTCCAACGAAACATACCATTTTCTTGAGGTCGTTGGGACGTTTTTATTCAGCCGAGTTTTACTAAAACGTAGCTTTGTCTATGAATAAAGAATCAGAAGAAAAGGACTGGTCAAAAAGTATAGAGGGGGGTGGGCCGGAGCAGAGAGGGGGTGGGTCATGAGGTGTCGAGCCTTGTTCAAGGGCTGGGTCGTGCAATTTTCAGCTACCCTTAGGGGGTGGGTCACCCTATTTTTCACTAACTACTAACGAGACAGTTGACTACACTTGTTATATAAAACACAGCCAACTGGAATTATTGCTAAAATACTCACAAACCTGTTGTACGAGAAAATATAAAGGTTGACAGGCCGCACATCTATACGGACGTGGAACCCTCTGTGAACCGTTTTTCTTCTTTTTTCTAAGGAAATGATTGGTGGTTCTTTAAAGATTTATTGAAGTTATAGTTGGTTTTGTATAGGATTCCATTTTTTCATTCAAGCTTCCTTTATAGTAGACACTGAGGGCTGGTATTGAGTCACGAATGGCAATATTTCTTTTTCCTCCTTGTTGTTTTGTTTTAGGAGTTTAGACTCCCTTTTGTGAATTTTATTTCTGATAGTAGGTTTTCTATCAAAGATAGGGGGCACCCAACGAGAATATACTTCAAAAGCAATTTAAACAGTAGATATAGGCATATTTTTATCCCCTAAAAATTTTCCATCTGTTCGGATCTCCTAGCTGAAAGTCTAGTCATACGAAAATTATAGGGATCAAAAAATAGGCAATTATACCGTTTTTTTAGATGTTCGAAAATCCTAGGAGGGGCAGACAAACAAGAAGTTTTACAACAAATGTTCAGAAAATTCTAGATCTCAAATCGTCTTTCGAACAGTTATTTTCCGAAAATTGACGTTGGGTGCCCCTGAAAGATTGTGTGTAGCCTCCGTCCATCAAGCGTTTTTTTTAAATTATTTTCCTCAAAGGTTGTTTCTGAGGAGTTTTTTCGTAGGATTCTTAAGGCTTCTTCTTTGACAAATTCTTTTTTTAACATTTGGAGGGTGACACGAGGTGAAATGTGTGTGCAAGAAGCTTTCCGTTTGTTTAAAATGTGTCTTTGCATCAAGGATAGATTTTTCCTTGGATCTTGTGCCTTTGTATACAACCGTGTCTAAAAACGCAGTCTCAGGGTCAAATGTTTCGGCCGTGAATTCATTAGTTGGGTGATGTAAGCTTGCTTGTTCAATGGAGGCTTCGATGTCTGGTTTACTCATGTCCCATAGGGAAAGATATCGTGTATGTGGCATTTCCAAACTGTTGTTCTCCCATAAAGACAGTTTTGCTTAGAGTTGTTGTTTCAATATATGTCATGAAAACATTGGCAAAGGAATCAAAACTGCTGTCTTTGTGCCCATTGCAGTTCCATGGTTTTGTAGGTAGTGCTTTCCACTGAAGTGGAAGAAATTTTCTTTGAGGATTTATCTAAGCATTTCCGGCAAGTAATGTGTAGGAATGGGTTGTCTTCAGTTTTCATATGCTTTATGACAGAAAATTTCAATATACCCTCGTTTTGCTGTATATTTGTGTCAAGACTCATAGTTAAACGTCCATTGAAACAAGAAATGTTCGGTTTTTCACATTCGTCTTTTCAGTGAAAGGTATGATTTCTGTGATTTTGATATTGGTTGTAGCAGTGTATCAACAAATTTTGTCAAGCACAGAACAAGGTTTTATTGGATTATTAAGAGGAAACCGATCCTCCATGTTTTAGCTAGGGGGTGGGTCATGCAATTTCCAACCTTGCTTTAGGGGTGGGTCAGTCATTTTTGTGCCGAAGGGAGGGGGTGGGTCATGTGTTTTTTATCAACCACATTTCCAACTGCTCCGGCCTGCCCCCCCTATACTTTTTGACCAGTCCCTAACCAGAGGGTCTGAATGGGGGGGTCCACTTGTCGGTTGTCGGTTAAAATTCAGTAATTTTGTCGGTAGTCGGTTAAAATTTTCGATTTTGGCCGGTTGTCGGAAAACCTCAGTTAATGAGTAAAAACGCTTGTTAATTATTAATATTTTTATGTATTTCACCCACTTTTCAAGACTTTGATCCCTAAGGAAAGAGTAAAACTTGCAAGAATACATCATTTGATTGCGCCTAAACCGTTCATTAATTCTTGTTTTTTTACGACACATGAACGTTTATTTCATCATAGTTTGCCATTAAATGAATAATTAGAACTGATAAAATCACCCAAGCTTTTATTGTAAATGCGAACTTGGTTTCCCTGTCGACTACAGGGCACAGTAAAAAGTAATTAATTAATTACTTACTGGACTCTAGCCTTTTGGATACTTAAATTATTTTTATTGAAAAACTGCAAGGGATGACAGGCTGCACATCTATCCCTCTCATGTTTTGGTTCTAACAAGCATTTCCTTTGCCATAATTTTCCTTTCTCAAAGAAATAGCACTTTAGGTGGTTCTTTAAAATTTTGGCAAGGTAGTGGTTGGTTTTGTATTAGATTCTTCTTTCAAAATTGTGTGGTTAGCCTCTGTCCATCAAGCGCTTTTGAAATCTGAAATACTTCCTCAGAGGAGTTTGTTCGTAGGATTCTCAAGGCTTCTCGTTTGTCAAACAGGCGCTTTAACAATTGGTGGGTGATAAGAGGTGAAAATGTATATACTGTAAGTTTTCCGTTTCAAATGCGTCTTTACGTCAAGGATAGCTTTTTCGCATTTTTTCGCTGAATGTTGTACCTTGGTATACAACCGTTTCTAAAAAGAATGTCTCATTTTCAGATCTTTCGGCCGTGAATTTCATAGGAGGGCATGTAAGTTTACTTGTTCCGCGAAGAAAGCTAAGATGTCTGGTTTACCTATGTCCCATAGGGAAAAAATGTCATTTATGTAGCGTTTTCAAACAGTTGGTTTAAAGACGGTTTTGCTTAAACTTTGTGTTTCAATATGTGCCATGAAAATGTTGGAAAGGAAACTGCTGTCTTTGTGCTCATTGCGGTAACGTGGGTTTGTACTGATAGTTCTTTACATTAAACGGGAAAGAATTTTCTTTGAGGATTAATCTAAGCAAAAGACGTTCGGTTTTTTCACCTTTGACTTTTAAATAAAATTTATACAGTCGGTAGCAGTGTACCTATATCAACAACAAAAAAAGGAAATTCTTTCCCTTAGGCCATCTGACGAGTCATAAATTTAAAGAGGTCACTTACTTCCTCGAGCTAACGGTTAGATTAAATACAAAATGCTCTTTTGTCTGGAAACAAATATTGATAATATCAGCCCATGTCGATAGTCGGTTAATATTTTTCCTGTCGGTAGTCGGTAATTTTTTACTCATTTTGTCGGTAGTCAGTAATATGTTTCGCCCTTTGTCGCTAGTCGGTTAACCCCATTCACACCCTCTAACCATATAGACTACAAACTAAAAAAAACTACAGACTACAGTGTAACTTACACTTAAGCTGTGAGTACACATCCTTACCATCCTCAGTGTGTATGTTGTGGCCTCCTTAAATATACCACCTGCGACTATTACAGCAGGATTAAACAAGGTGTTTACGTTTCTGAGAGTTTTTTTTCGTTAATTACATTTTTTTTCTTTTCAAAACTCCGTAAATTATATCGCATTCGCACTTCCATTGCCTACAATACAATTTGTTTGCCCTCGTCCCAATTGTGCATAACTATATGTTGTTTACGATTTACAAAACCTTTCCGGAAAATTCGGTTGGATAATAAATGGAACACGACTTTTTGGCCCGTTCCTGCGGAAAATTTCCGGGAGCAACGGAACATCTTACAAGGTGGTCCTGTTTTTCCGGACGGAATCTTCAAATGGTTCCATTTCTTCAAGCCATGGTATATCTTTGATACCAGTTTTAAGCCTTTGCGGCCATTGTTTTGGGACGCTCCATGCAAAAAGAACTGATTTGTGCAAATCAGGAGGCTATCTCCTGCTGACCGGCGCGTGTGCGTTTCCAGTAACGATGCCAGAAGTCTTTGAGAAAGTTCACTCGGCTCAATTTCCTTCTAGTTTTTAAAGTGGCGAATTTACCCTAACCATGAGGCAACCGGTTTGCCCATGTAAATTAAATGGTAAACGAGTATTGGTTTAAAAACATCCATCCAGGTTGCAACTTGAGCCTGCAGTACAATTATATGCCTCTGATAGCAAAAAATGCTGTCGAAATTTTGGGTTCTAAATAAACCTTTGAGCTTCTATTTATGTTAGTAAAATATTGTTTTAATCGTTCAAGAATGAATATCCATAGTTCCCTACATAAAACCAGGAGCCGAGTGTTGTCGTGAGAAGTCACGGTGAGCGAGCGGCAGGCGAAAAGATAGGCGAGAGTAGCCTGCGTAGCAATAGTTTCCGCGCAAATTCATCGAGAAGTTTGGGACGATAATGAAAAGAAGGACGCGAAAGCGAGCAGCCCTGGAAAAGAAAGCCCCTCCTGGCGATCTCTCGGGGCTCGCTTCCCTCGCTACTCGAAATGAGAGCTTACTAGTAGGCAATAGTCTTTCAACAATAAGATTTTTTTCTTTGTTTCTTTCTTCAGCCAGAACACTCGTGACATACAGACGGACAGGAAAGCCGGCATCAAGACCCTTGCAGTACTAGTTGGACAACAGGCATCTTGTTACCTTCACGCGTTATTTCTGTTGTTCCCGTATGTAGTGATCGTCCTGCTTGGCGCGGCTTTATCACCATTCATTTACATACCTTCGGCAACCTTGCCATTTGCTCTGAGTTTAAGTGTGTCGTGTTTTGAAGGGGAGTATTTTACGCTGCCTCAGAAGATAGCCGTGCTAGATTTAGCTTTTGGAATACTGTATGTATTAAGCGTATGTTGGTCTTGAAAATGCAACTGGTTTAGTGATTAACAGGCAGACAGTCAGTTGGTTTATAGGTGCGGTTCGTCTTGGATTTCTGGCCGATATTAATATATTAGCTGGATTTTTTCACTAACCAGCAATCAGGCGTTCTTTTTTTCCGGGGGAGCGCGAAATTTGGACCGCCTGATGGCAGGTTTAACAGGTTTTCACTAGCGGTGTAAACAAAGGGCAAGAAAAAAGATCTTTGTTTCATCGAGAAAACGACCTAGAGGCATGTGTAAGCGCTCATATAAGCAAATTTTTTTTCCGTTGCTTGCTCTTGTGTGTATTCTGTTGCCTTGCCTCGAACGTTCTGCCTGTCTCTCAGTTTGCCCTTTCTTTGCGTTATACGGACAGCCATATTAGGTGAGTGTCAAGTCTACCACGAGAAAACAGGGGACTGTGAACATTCTATTCCGTCTGCGACCGTTTTCACGTCACAAAAGATTCCTATGCTTATGCCTACAAGAAAACCAGGCTTTATTATCTACCATTGAAGATTCCAGAGACAGTGCCAAGGAAGTAGGTTAAAGTAATCAATATCTTATGTTTCACATGCTATTCGCATTTTTTAGCCCATGTTTTAATTCATAGATATCTTTTAGCTTTAATATATAACTTCTTGTACATGCGCTGTGCAAATTCTGAAGTTGCAGAAAGCAACTGGGTCCAATAGAAAGATTATATTCAAAGGAACTGGAAGAATTAAGTTAAGATCTCAATTAAGAGGGAATTGGCCAACTCCTAAACGCGGGTTTCAAACGGACGCTTTCCAATTTTTTTTAATAAGAAATAATGTGCCTTATAATATACAATTCCCGTATTTACTTGATAAAACGCCGCGGCGTTGTGTTAGTTTTAAGCTTTTCTTATGGGGCCTTTATTTCAGGACGGCGTTTATTTCAATATCATTTCTTAAAGGCACTGACAACAATTTCGCTAACTTATATGTCACGTTAAATTAAACGGTTCCACAGACTCGCCTTGGTTGCCGAGATAGAATCGTAACCTTAGGCCTAGGCCAAACGTCGAACTTCTCATGACACGAACCAAACTCTAATTTAGGTCGACCTAAATAAAGTTAAGAATCGTGTGTTTGGTCAGACGACGAACCAATTAACTGTATCTTGCCAAAAGCAATTTTAGAAATATATTTCTCCGAACAAGGCTAAATATACATTATCATACAAATTTATAAATTATTAGTTTAGTTCGTCGCATGTGAAGATCTAGGATCTTCAGACGGATAGAACGCGTTGAACGATCTAAACGCACTCGACGAACGTAACTGAGCCAGACGTCGAACTTTTTTATGAACTTAACTCACAAAATTTGGTTCGTCTCATGAAAAGTTCGACGTTTGGCCTAGGCCTTACAATTGTACCGACTTTTTTGTAATCCTAGAATAAACACTGCATTCATACAATACTACAAATACCCCTCCCGTTACAAAAACAGCCTGATGAAAAGTGTAAACAAGTCAACTAAAAAAAACTGGGTCCAAAAACCTAGATTTGTCTATAAGGGAACAAATCGTCCATTGATAAATAATTTATCAGGTTCTGGTTTACTAAAGAAAGCAATCTTTCCGTCTTCTCTTGCGTTTTTTAGACGTGGCCACTGCTTTTTTCTTCTTTTGCTTATTTTTTTTCGGAAAATCCGCGTAGACCTTGGGCGCTTTCCATTTAGTCAAAATTTTCGGAAATTTCGGCTCGATAGAAAATGGAAAACGATTGGTCGGTTCGTCCCACTGGAAAATTCCCGGAAAAAGTGGAAAATCTAAAAAGGTAGGCCCGTTTTCCCTGTTGGAATTTTCCGAAAGGAATTTCGTGTTCCATTTACACGTTTCTTGTACTTTATACCAGTTTCAATTGTTACCAACTCGGCAGCCATCTTGGTGTCCCATCGGGTAACGGGAACAACTTTTTACCTGTGGGGAAATCCATTTTTGTTCCCACTGAAATTTCCGGATTTTTTACCTAAATGGAAAGCGCCCCTTGCCAGCTCGCACACTCTTCGAAAAACCAGCTCACGTTCTCGAAATCTCAAAAAACGAACAATCACCGGTCAGGATCAGTTTGCCCTTTCATATTTTTCTATAAAAAAAATTTGGCCGTATTAACGAGGTCGTGGCCGTATACGCGTATTACCGGGGCAGGCTCAAATCTCATGATTCGAGGGCCGTAATGACAAATACACCGTACATCGCATTCACCGTACTGTTCTCATCAATAAACAACCGGAATGCAGACATCGTGTATAGTAATTAAAAAAAAACTACTTAAATTTTTTCTTCAGGTCATGAAGCTCTTTTAAAAGTCGGCTTTAAATCGCCACAAGTGCATTTTAAGTGTACTGTAGTCTAATCAAAGAAAGACTCAACTCGTGGGAACGTAAATGATCAAATGGTTATCAACTCTGGTTTTCCCACAGTAAATTGTAGGAAATGATAGAAATGCAGATTGTTTATCCATGTAAAATGTATTTGATATACTATCTTTGCTCTGGAAACACAATACTTTTCTTCTTGTTTATTGCACTTTATTAAATAACATTTATTTAGGTATATATTTATAGGAAAACAACAAAACAAATAAGCAAACAAAACAAACTAAGAACGGAAAAAAAAGAAAGAAGGTAAAAAAAGGATACAAAGCCGGACTTGCACCCGGCACCTTCAGCTGTATGCGACTTTACTTTACCACTACAACCCTAAGGCTGATTACATAACTATGGTCAAAACTCTTTAATTTAATGCGTTATCCATGGAACTTCCACCAGCAAACTCGTTCAGTATGATCGAGCCGCATTAACTGAGCTATTGACAGTAAAAAAACAATGTAAACGCATTTCATGGCAACGAATGAATAAAATAACATATGCTTTTGCAAAGCGATACACCTCGTCAGCGAAGTAGTACGCAAAACACATGTTTTCTTATCTCGATTTCTGCTGTTATTTTGAAGCTAATGGTCAAAATCACATCCATTTTTCTCACTTTCAGATCACTTTCCAGCAAGCTGGAATTTGTATATACCCCCTGATCTTCCGAAGTCAGAAGAGTAAGTGCTCATTTTCTCGTCAAGTTTCACGCCTGAACGAGTCAAAGGCTCTTGAAATCCAATTCCCAAGTTAACCATGGTACTCATTTGAAAGACACCTGAATTTGCTAAGACCTCTAACCGTGCTGTAGAAAATTTGCCACAAAGAAAACTCGGAGTCTGAGCAGCGAGTTCGGACCCGATTTGAAAGACTCTTACGTGTCTTGGTAAGACCTCTAACCGTGCTGTTGAAAATTTGCCACAAAGAAAACTCAGAGTCTGAGCAGCGAGTTCGGACCCGATTAATTACGAAGTCCGTCTACTACAAGTGAGCGAGTGACTCATTTACATATCTCTGTCCCTGCAATAACTCTTGGTACGCTCGCGCGTTCCCACGAGTTAAAAGCAGTACAAGAAAGCTCAGATTACGAGGTCAATAAAATTGACATGTCAAAGACATTCTAATTTTCTAAATTTCGAACACGAGATGAAATTATAAGAGATTTTACTGTTTGCATTGGCGGATCCAGGTGAGGGGTCCGTGCCCCAACCCCCCCCCCCCCCCGCCGCCTTATTTATCGACCAAAATGAGGCCCGAAGGGCCGAAAAAAATATTTTTGGAGACCGGCCCCCTCCCCTTATCTCAGGGTCTGGATGACCGCCCCTCCCCCCTCCCTTATCTGAAGGTCTGGCTCAGCCACTGGTTTGAGATTTTAACATGTGGCCGTTGGCCGTATTAACGGGTGACCGCATTAACGAGATTTTTTTATACGGAAATGTATGGATGTTTTGTTAGGCCGAAAAAACCTGGCCGTAATAATAATGTGACCGTATTACCGACAAACCTTAGTAAGCAGATTCATACCACATTTTACTGCGATTATTTATTCAACTACTGTTTTATATCGAATCAAAAGAAATTTGCGAGCCAAGGCCTAGCCCAAGATTTGATTCGCTTACGAACAATAACCGGATTATCTACGGTTATCATTCTCGACTCCCCATTCGGCTTTTGATTAATGAACTCAATTACGCATGACGATTGACACAATCAGGAGCCCATGACACAATACATAACCTGGTGGGTTATGTAAATTTCTGTCTGCCTCTGCGTCGCGTACCGACAACGACCTTCAAATAGGTTATGCAACAAAGCCAAGGCTAAAAACAAATTGCTATAAAAAAACGCTGTCGCATCTCACAAGAAGAATGGCAAGTATGATTTTAAAGCAATACTGATGGCTTTTGTGCGAAATCTCAAACCTTCCGGGTTGTCTTGGACGCATTACAAGCAGCAAACCATCATCTTCAATACCTGGAACCGAGCGATCGCTCTTCCGGTGTCTTCTGTAGTTTTATCGGGTAATGATACCGTCAAGTCATTTGCTGACCTTCCAGGACCCGTCAATCTTCCAGTTGTAGGAACATCCTGGAGCTTTTTGGTTGGAAAGAAAGGCGAGTCACTCGGAAAGCGGATACTGTCGGTACAGAGAGACCATGTTAATAAGTACGGCAATATCCTCAAACAAAGTCTTGCGGGTCATACCATGGTTGAAATTGCGGATCCCGCGGATGTCACAAAAGTACTGCGATCCGAGGCGAAGTATCCACAACGATTCGAGTTTCCTATTCTTGATTATTATCGCGAGAAAAGGCAAAAGATTCCTGGCGTGTTCTTTGCAGATGGCCCCGAGTGGTACAAACTTCGCAGTGTTCTAAGCAAACGCATGCTTCGACCCAAACAAGTGGCTGATTACGCTTCGGGTTTTAACGACATTATAACTGACTTTGTTTACAGATTACGCTCAGTTCGTGAGCCTAAAGAATCAGCCCATGCTTACGAGGTTAGTGAACTTGATAACGAGTTATTCAAGTGGTCATTTGAGTCTGTTGCAGAGATGCTCTTTGACAAGAGATTTGGTTGTCTTGAACCACAAGTAAACGAAGAAGCCCAGATCTTTATTAAAGCGGTCGGAGATTTTCTCCACAATGCAGTCGTAGTAGGGTTCTTACCAGTATGGTTCTATAAAATCTATGAGACCCAACAGTTCAAAGAGTTCAGTAATAATTTCGACATCATGTACAAATACGCTGAATTGTTCATTGAGAGAAGGATAAAGGAGCTTAAAGCCAAGCCTCATGACTCGACAAGACTGGAGGAAGACAAAGCAGGTTTCTTCGAGTATCTTCTTTCAAGTGGAAAACTCACTATCGAAGATCTGCTTGCGTGTGTGATTGACGTTCTGTTCGCCGGAGTTGACACAACCTCCAACACGATGCAGTGGGTTTTATATATGATGGCCAAACACCCAAACAGACAAGAAATTCTACGCCACGAAGTCATTTCTGTCCTCGGAAATGAAACGATTGCCAGCCCCACTGACCTTTCACAGATGCCTTATCTGAAAGCCTGGGTTCGCGAAACGTTGCGATTGTATCCTGTTTTATCGGCATTGTTCCGAATTTTGCCCACGGATATGGTTCTTAGCGGGTATAACATCCCCGCGGGCACTCAAGTTAATGTCTTGGCCTATTACATGAGCCGAGATGAAAGTATTTTCAAAGATGCCCATGAATTCCAACCAGAAAGATGGCTTCGCGACAAGGAACCACATAGCAGCAAGTTCATTGATTCCAAAGAGGTATTCTCTTCTACTCCGTTCGGGTTTGGTACCCGTATGTGTCTTGGTCGCCGTATAGCTGAGCTGGAGCTCCATCTTTTATTGGCCAGAATCGTGCAGCAGTTTGATATTCGTTACCCCCCTGATGCTGATGATGTACAGCCATATAACAGGGGGGTGACTATTCCTGACAGACCGCTACGAGTACAATTTGTAGACAGTACATTTTACAGCGTTTTAAAGTCCTCTCTGTGATTGTTTTGACTGGTCATTTTACCGATTATAGTCAGGTAAACTCGCATTTTTGGCGTTCTCAAACCAACAGACCAAAAAATTCTTAGATTTATGTCCAAAACATTAGTTGGTAGCACACATGTGGACTATCTGCTCACCACCGGCCTGCACAATCTTCACATGTTTTCAGTCTAAAACAACGCTCTGTTCAAGACGCTATATATATAATAGAAATAGTCGACTCTTAAAACCACACCTAAATCTTCTTGAAATATATCGTTTTTATTATATAGACACGAGTGTTTCACTGGAAAATATACCACTCGTAAAATTCATAAAAACTACATCCGGGACCCAAGTGGCTTATTTTCCATAATCTCACACGTGATTTTTCCGATAACATAATTTTGGTAATTTTCCTTCGAAATTTGTAGGCGTCTTGCGTCTTTTGAATTTTACTTACACATTTTTCAAAGGTTTGCTTATATTTTGTCATTGTAGAGCCCTATTCAGCTCAGTGTTATTTCTCAAGATTATTGTAACCAATGTCTTATATTGCTGTACTGTAAATCTGAGCTGACACAATTACTTTTTGGCGAATAAAAATCCATTATTTTATCGATGTCTTTTTGTTACACGGCGGCTTGAAGATATGAATTTTATTTTCTCGTGGAAAAAACAATATTTCACTCGGCACTCGCTGCGCTTTATCTGAATACCTGTGTACAAGACCCTTGCTATAATTTGTTGTATCTTAGAGACAATATGGAATAGTCCTAAGGGCTTGTCAAGTCTAAAGTCCACTGAATAATGGGTTAATTTTCAATGGATTTCTCTGTATACGGAATAAATAGTGTATTGCTATATCCGTTTTATTTGGATTTTAAAAATAAACATTCTCTGCTGGATAAAAATTCTATTTCAGTGCGTGATGTGTACTAGTATCGCGAAGGATCACAACATAAAACTGATAACCCAACCTAGAATAACGGAACAAAACAATGTAACGTAACCGCATAACATAACAACGAAAAGTTAAGTAAAATATCCAATATCCTAGTAAAGTATCGAATCCGTAAGCTGAAAAAGAAAAACGGCATAATGCCCCGAATGTAACATAACTGACTGTAAAATAGCAGTAAAATTAAAGCGTCTTGAGACAGTGCCATACGCAAGCATTGTAGATAGATATATTTCCATACTATGGAGGTAGGGATTGTATGAAGTCAATATCTTTTAGACAACAAATTAAAGAGAACCATCTTTAAAATAGAGGCGTATAGCTTGGGAGGTTTTTTTGTACTGTTTCCCGGTGACGCCCCTAAATATCCTGTGTGCCAATCAATTTATTCCCCGTGATTGAGTTAGCAAACGAACAACTCGGAGTAGCCAAAAATAGTAAACATCTCCCTTTTCAGAAAAGCCTCCGGATAAAGAACGGACGAGAGGACTATTAAGCTCTGGAACCATAGAACCTTCTCTAAACTTAAGCTATTCTGTTCAAGTTTTGAAAAGCCGCTTTGGGGAAGAGACAATAAAGTATGTATGTGAGGCGGCCCAAAGGAAAAGTTGGACTGTAATCAGGAAATGACCGTTCTATTGTCGATGTGAAGTGATTTGGAAACGCCCCTCCGTTCACCACCCGTACTTAATGTTAAGACAACTAGAAGGGTTAAAGAGATCGCATAATACCACAGTGTGAGGTATATAAATCTTTCAAAAAGGCATGTCTTGTGAAAAAAAAAACTATAACAAACGACAAATGAAAATTGTTTATCAGATCGTTTTGCGGGTGTTACTAGAATAAATAATACGAACTTTAGTTACTGCTCGTTAATTATTATACTTATGAAACTAACGTGAGATCAGAATGGAAAGTAATTCCTGGTTTAAAGAAAATCAATAAGCGTTCACAAGACACCTGTTTAAAAGGTCTCTTGCACCAGCATAACCTTCATTCCATTCAAATTCATTGAAAGACGTGGCTTAATCTAAATTAGTTCACAGTGTTTCAGACGACTGAAGAAAAACAGTTTAACTGGTCTCCATTCACCGGCCCGTTTGAAGAAAGAAATCGCTTTTCCTTTTTTCAATATCAGCAGCCATTTCCAGGAGATAAATGAAAGTAACAGTTATAACTATCTTTCTCATTGTTGGGATAGGTAAGATGAACACTTCTCTCTAATCCCGTAGCAACACAAAAGGAAGGACAGTGAACCGGCCGGCGCCCGTTTTTGCGGACATCGTCAGGACCACGCGCGAGTTTCCGTAATACCAGGCTCTGAGAAAAAATTTCTTAGAAAGTTCCACGTTCTAAGCAGAAAAAGGGTTGACATTTAGATTCCTGATGCGGCGCTAGAGGTGTTGTAGTGAACTATAAACAAATTTATTCATGGAAGCGAGACGGCAAGTTGTCCCATAAAAAGACGACCGGGAAGAGCCGGAATTTCGATTGGTGGGCAACTGAAAAAAACAACAACAACAAATAAAACAAACGGCTTAAATTGTCTTTGGTGTCCTCTGAAACGTTATAACTCGATGTCCGTTGCAACAAAATCATGACATAAAGGTCACAAAATGGGTCCGTCAAAGGTCCTAAAATTGAGGTAGCCGCATCGAGTGCATATAGAATCAAGAAAATTAACATAATTTTATCGTTACCTAAATGCCATCACTAACTGGCTTGTTTGGCCGTTAGCTATGTCTGGCTAATGTTTAAACGATTGCTTAAGTGTATCAAACACGAACCAGTTTTTATCCAATATCCAGATATCGAGACGAGGATAATAAGAACGAGGTGAAGTCCAGGTTTTTTAGACTCATTTGCTGACCTAAGTCCTTTTTAGAGTCTTGCTGTGGTGACTTATCGATTATCCTGTTTCTCTTAAAATCAATGTTAATTTGTGTTAGAAGGTTTCGCCTTAATCTCAATACTTCAGACAGATTTGTGGTATAGCTGGTTCAACTATCATTGTTTTGGAAAGGCTTAATATAAAACAAAAATTTTTCGGGTTGGAAAACACATTTCATTCATTCAATTTCGCACTATACGGGATGACAAAGATTTCCGTCGACGCCAACAAAAATCGTCGCACTTACTGGTTTCACTATCGAAAACAACTGGTTATTCTTCATCGAAACGACTCGCATTCCTCCATTAATGAAAAGTATGTGTAACACTTACCTCGACCTTGATTATCCCAGATGTCACATAAAACCTCATCCAATTAATCATGTTTCTATCAATTAATGTTTTTATCAAAAAGATACATTGGGCAGGTTAAAGAAACGTAAAAACAACAAGAATAAGACATTTCGAAACAGCTGTGGAAGTGAACTCACCGTCCTTAAAACGCTGTATGAGTTTAAATAACCGGTCTTTATTGTCTTCATAATAGAGAGGAAAAGTGTGACGTCACGTTACCATGGTAGCAAAATTTCCGGATCACACAATAGAGAGGGAGCTTAAGCAACCACGCCGGCGAAGGGAAAGAGAACTGTAAAAAAGCAACAGGTTTATATCGGCAAGACAACAACTCTACACGTTCGTCACCCTTTTTTGTACGTTTCTTAGCCGTCGTTGCACGGCTGCGACTTGAAACTTCCTAATTTCACGCGCCCCTTTACGAAATAGGTGAGCACAACGTAAAAATTTTCTTTTTCTTTTTCTACGGTCCTTTCGGATTTACCCCAGAAAATTTCGCCAACATTTGACAAATTAAATGAAATTGAATAAGATCGTCGAAGATTGAAACAATGCAAATTCACTTTTTAAGTGATGTTTTGGGTTTGTTGTCATCCAAAAATTTTGCTACCATGGCAACGTAACCGTGGTAACGACTTCTCCTCTCTATTGATTATTAATTTTCGTTTTTCACCTACCTTTAGTCGTCAGCACTACCCGCCGGACAAGGCGACTGAGATCGTTCCTCCCAAAAGAAAAGCGGCAAAGAATTGAATTTAACCGCAACGGTTTTGACACCCAGCAGATGCAGTATGCTTCTTCGCCAAGTGCTATGTCCTTTAATACTAGGTATAAGGATTTAATATCTAGAAAACCACCGTCGATTGGTCACAGTGCCAACAACGTTCTTCCTGCGAATGGACAGCGCCCTGCATCTTATATGGCCCGGAACTATGAAAGAACCAACGACGTAACGAATCATCCTGAGGTATCTACAACAGGCAAGTTACTTTCTAATAATGTCCAGGGTTCGAGGGAAATTAAACTTTCACAAGTGGTAGAAGGGCATCGAGCTGAAGACAAGGTTGAAGAGTTAGGTACGTTCAAAGTAGTCTAGAAACAAAAGGCCATCCTAACTTTCACTTCAGACTATGCGAGGCAGTTTCTGTTTCAAATGTAACTGTTCCTTTTAGAACCAGATGATATTTCCAAAACGTTGATGCCAGGTTCCAAGAATAGTATTGCCCCATCTCCGATGCCAGGTTCTAAGAGGTCAGCACTGCCAGTAAGGCTAAATTCTCCAATGGCTGCCGCAGCTGTAGCTGATGTGCAAGGTGCTGTGGTGGAGAAAGGGGTTGAAGTCATGGGTAAAATGGTTGATAAACAACTACAGATAATTGATGAAGCACAACAGAAGGCAGAAGATTTCTTAAAGAAAGAGGTGGGTAGTTGTTATCCCAGCAAAATTCAAATATATTTTGGACTTAAGTTGCAGAGGTTGGTCTCTTGCTGAATTTGATTCTTCATATGACACCCATGATTGCAGCCAGTGGTCAGATCTTATCCTTGAACCCGGGCCTCCAAATGGTGATGCCAACGCAGTGTCCACTTAGCACAAGAGAGATTCTCTCTTGCTTAGCAATACTTCTCTGATACTATTTGAGCTAGATATCCTGTTCTTCGCTATATTACACTTGTGGCATTCGTTGCCAACTACCACCTCGGTTGTAAAGTGCATTTTTACGTAATTTCGTCGTGGTAGAGTGATTCAGTGTTTATCTCGATTATAGATTAAGCTGGATATTATACCTGAGAAAGGCTGGAAATCAGAAGATATGTTTGTACCCGCGGGATTTCACATGGATGCATCAATAAAAGATGACGCTGGGTCCCCAGCAGAACCTGAACCAGCAGCATTTAACTACCCAGCAGGCCTCGGGAACGTCTTAATGAATGGTTGCTATGGGACTGGGTACAAGGAAGGAGATCCTTGCTATGTGGCAAAGTGGACTTTAGACGCCTGTTTGGTATGAATGCTATGCAGCAGCGGAGCTATAAATCTTTGACTTTATCTTATTCAGGGAAAAAAGTAACACTGTTTTTGAATACAAAAATAAGGGATATGTTTTTGATCAACGAAGTGAAAAATCTAAAACAGAGAACCCAAAATGAGTGGGGCCAGCTCTCAGGCTTCATCACAACTACTTAAGCTGTGTTTATAACCGCGATTCTCCGTCGTCTATTAAGAAGTTGTCCCGCAGTTGACAGATTTAAATGGACTATGTCACGAGGGTATTGCTATGGTAATGGCATTACGAAGATCACAAACAAATTTCATCATGAAGAACTTACCATACTATTTTTTCGTTGATATTTGCAGGCATAGTTTAAAACCTGGAAGACGTTGACCTAACTTTTTCAAGTTACAATCAATGTATATCCTTGCTCTAAAAGACCACAAGAGACAGTTTCAATGTCTAAATATAGTCTTAAATAACCAAAGTAGACCATTTTTTTGGAATTAAAATGAAGAGAAGTCAAGTTTTAGCTTTTTAACAAGACACCAAATAGCGTGACATGGCCCCTTTAAACATACAAATTTTGCATTTTTCCTTTAGTTATAGCCGTCTTAAGCAAGCACTGAGCTCCCAGTTGGCATATAACCTCGGCTGGTTAGAGCACTGCACCGGTATCGCAGGGTATTGGTATCTAATGAAATAAGAGGCTTTAAAGAGGTGCGAAAATTGGCTTGTTAGCTTAATTGGTAGACCGCTGCACCGGTATTTTAGAGGCCAAGGGCTCGAATCCCGTACAAACCTGAATCGTTCAGGCTTTCTTTTCTGACGAACTGCAAAAGTAGCATGTATACCTGCGATGATCTTCCTTTATTTAATTCTAACACAACCCGGCCGTGAAACCAAATAATAGTCGCGTAAGTATGAATTACTAGCTAATATTCTCTTTTCCGACAGAACATGATTGATGGTGCAGCCTTCATGGGAGTGGGTTTTGATGGGCGTGGTGAGTACAGCCCTGAATCAAGGAAAATGAGCCTCGTACAACGGAGTTGCGCTGGAAAAGCAACGTAAGAATTCCCTAATTTTTATGCACCGTTAAAACATGCCGCCGTACATTTGTACTGCTACGGTGATGCTTTCATTGTTTTCTATACAAATGAAACAGCAAAAACCTCAGTTTGTTACTCCAAATAGAGTTATCGTTGTTACACAATCTATTGACCCATATGTGAAAAAGAACAGCTGCCAGACAACACTAATAAAACTAGTAGAGGACTGGAAAAGGTCACTGCATTACCAAAAGGTACTCGGGGTTTTAACAACAGACTTATCAAAAGCCGTCGATTCACTACACCCGCTGCTATTATTGGCGAAGCCGAGCGCATATGGTTTCACCGACGAAGACATAGGACTGTTAGGATCGTACTTCTCAGAATGAACAAATAGCGTTAGAATTGGAACTGAGACTTCAAGCGAATGGAGAGAAATGTTTAGAGGATGCCTCGAAGGCTCAAATTTTTGGCCTCTCTCATTTAATGTTTTCCAAAACGACCTGCTCTACAACAATGGCAAAAGCAGCATCAAGATGTACGCAGATGACCATGAAAAGTATGTTACCAGAGGAAAGATGACGATCAAAGTCCTCGACAAATATGCAGAAAGTGGCCCAGATATGAAGCTATTGTGTGTCACTTTTGATAAGCATTAGAGGTTTCATTAGTAGGTTGAGTATGACAGTCCGAATGAACGTAGTCCTGAAAAGGATTCCATTCAGGACTATGTTCACCCGGACGATCATACTCCACCTACCCATGAAATAACTCCTCGACAAGTCCTGATGAGAATGAAAAATTTAATACCAACATTAGCGAAGCTAAGAATTTACAAATCTTTTATTTTGTCAGAATTAACTTATTGTCGGACGGTCTGCCACCTTCATAGAAAATCTGATAGCAGAAAGATTGAGAGACCCCAAGAGAGAGCGTTAAGATTAGTATGTTGCGAGAAAACTAGTGCATATGATGAACTTATTGTAAGGGCTAAACTCCCCTCACTGCTGAACCGTAGGCTGCAGGAGATAGCAATAACAATGTATAAAGTCAAGTATAATTTATGCCCTAGTTAAATATTAAATTTTATAAGAACATTTTCAGACTAATGAGGAAAATGCAGGGCTTTTTACTGAAATTCAGAGGGAAAAATTCATGTTTCTTGAGATATTAGTCTGGATTCCACTACATACCTGACAGGCTCCAAGTGTACAAAGGCAAAGAGTGATATTATAAATCTTTGCCTATTGCTGATTTTAGGTATGATGACTATGACGTTCCAGACACTATGAACGTACACGGTATTTACGACACTAAAGCAAGTATGATGACTTTTGAGAGCCGCTCCGAGTTCCAGTCCTTTCTGCAGGCGGAAGCTGGTATATCAGGTTCATATTTTGGATTCCACGCAGGCGTAAAATCGGCATGGGGCGAGTCAAAATCAGGTTCAAGTCAAACGTATATGGCTTTGTTAAGCGTCGACATTAACAGGTAAAATCATAAACTCAAGGACGCCAGAGCGAATCCTTACATCTCCTCAGATTTACTTGAGTAAGGCCGAGTTCATACGTCGTGCTCCTGCCGTAACTTAATTCAATAATTTAATTCGACAAAAGGGCACTGAAAGCACAACAAAACCACGAGGACTGAATCAGATAAGTTTTGAATTTGGTTCGGCAGAAGAGTGACGTTCGAAATGGTCTGCCGTGCTACACGACTCTGTCACGGCAGTTATTCAAACGTCTTCCTCGTGAACCCCGTGCCAAACGAAATTCATAAATATAGGAGATAGGAGATAGGAAATGTATATTCTTCTTTACTTGCATTTAGCGCTGACTTGATTGATACTGCGTTCGCAATAAAAACCTATTTTCGACTCTGGTACGACATGTAATTACAGTCGCGCTTCTGCCGTACTTCTGTGTTGAACACAATAAAAATTGAGTTCGACACGGCAAAAGCACGACGCATAAACTGGGCCTAAATTCTGAAATTTTAGTTTAAATTTTAAATTTTGTATCAGGTTAGAGTCAAATAGAAACTTAACAAATCAACAGGCAGCTGGATTTCCTGACGAAATAGTGCGCTTTCTTGCCTTTAAAAAAGGAGCCTGCAATGCACAAATTCGAAGAATTTTGAAAATCGCTTTTCGTTTCAAACCAGTTCGTACCCAAATAACCCTTTAACTGTTTCTGTGACGAACATTGTGAATTGCAGATATGAAGTGTTTCTGGACGAGGTCAAACCCCAAGACTTAAGTTTGTCATTTTTAAGAGAGTTCATGGAGCTGCCGACAACTTACTTTGCTGCAGGAGCGCCGCTTAGATTTCGTAAGTACATCTTTAGTGGCATGAGATACCAACTGAGAAAGGATCAACTAAAGATCTGCATTTCTCTTGAAATGATTTTCATTTATTTTTCTTTACAAGAGTTCTTATCTTCAAAATGTGTTATGATTTACCCGGTGGTCGACACATTAGGCATTTTGAAAGTCTTATGTGTTCAAACAGAAATTAATATGATCCAAATCACATCCACCCTCCAAACACCAATATCAGTAATCGTACCTCAACACTTTAAGATCCAATGTATTACCCGGCATCTACTCATGAATTCTGACGAATTTTATTCAGGAGATTAAGACGATATTTTTCATGTTAATTCATTTCAGAAAGTATCGATAACTTTGCAACAGAAAAAGCAGGTTTACTTGGAGACCGTATAGTTTTTAAAGTGCAATAGTTATATAGCTCGTCAACGGTCTTTGTCATTTTCTTTTTCAGTTGTAAGCTTAATCGTGCGCAACATAAAGAAGCATTGCTATCATTTTGAACTAACTGACCAATGAAACGTCCCACTGAGTCACGTGTGAACCAAATAACAGCAGCATAACCTCCAGAAACATTGTTTTCATATTTGATTTTTGGCAGCTTTCATTACCAGTCTCCTTTACTATGGTGTTCTCACAATATCGTCAACCTTTAAAGTGCAGCAGTTTAAAAATTGTTGTTCCTTTTGCCTTCCCTATGCCTTTTGTACAAACCAAAAGGATGCTGTAGGTAACCAAGTCATGGGGGAATGGTCAAGTACTTAAGAATAACCGTTTCTTTTGCCTCCCTTTTTGTTTTCTCCCTTTTGCCTACGATTATCAGTTTAGCATGACATGCGGGAAGTTTTGCACCTAAGTTTTAAAAGTTTCCATTGAAACCATCTTGAAGCTTTCATTGAAACCGTCCTGTGGTTTTGACGTCATCAGTCGTCTGTGCGCGCGAAATCGCTTTACATTTCTTTGAGGGAATGGCGGAGTATTAAGTGAAAGTTGAATACAGCTATTTCTAGAAAGGTTGTCGGAAATAGCTGTATACAGGAAATCAAAGAATAAATGAACAGAGGTGGATCAGCTTTATGATTCCAGCTGGGTTGGAGAATTCCGGCTATTATTCCTTTCCGTCTCTAGTGCAAGACATAACGAGTAGATGCGTTCACAAGTTTTTAGTCTTGAGACTTCGTTACTTGGACGATGAAGACAACTGGCTATATCTAAAAAACAACGAGGAGCGAGGCTTTCAGGAATTGGTATAGGTTTTGCCTTCCGAATTATGCCTTTCCATGGTTGAACGAGCGTAGCACCTACGCGACAACGCATACTACTACACCGATATAAAAAAGCCTTCAGTGACTAAGATCTGGCGTTAGATGACGTCAATAACACAAGACGTTTCTAATGGAAACTAGTATCCGACAACACCAAACTTAGGCGCGAAATTTCCCTCATGTCATAATCAACTGATAATCGCAGTAAGGGTTGGTGTGGGTAACCAACTCAGGGGAAATTGTACAGTACTTTCATTGAAAGTACAAGTCAGGCGACAAAAACTCATGTAAGAGGGCAACATGCAGGATGTTTTGACAGATCAGTAGAAAAAACTCGAAAGGCACGATATATGTTTTTTTTCTACCCTGCAGTGGATTTCATATTAAGATGGGGCACGCATTACATTAAGTCATCCAAGTTTGGAGGCCAGCTTCAAATTCGCAAGTTCATGGACGCAAGTGACGTTTCAAGTAAAAAAGAATTTGCTGTGGAAATGGAGATGGAATACAAATCGTTATTTGCTAGTGTAGGCGCAAAGGCGAGCGTTTCAAAAGGAGAATCTCAAAGAAAACAATCCAAAACTACGTCAACAACTGTTATAGCACTTGGTGGAAGTCACGAGGTTGCCTCCATCCTGTCTGACGCCTACTCACCCACCTTTAAATCAGAGTTCAAAGAATGGCTTGTTTCTATACCCAAATACCCCAAGCCTTTTCTTTTCCAGATCGGTTCTATCACTGATCTGCTAAACTTTCGAATGCGAGATTTGTTTCCTGAAGAAAAAGTCCACTGGGGCTGTGAAGGGAATGCTGCAAGCCTGAAAACGGAGACAAACGCAAACGGAGAAATTGTCACTTTTTATGAGTCTGTTGGCGCAAATGGTACAACGGTTAAACATTACTGTTCGTTTGATAGTAGAAAAGGATTGGAAGATGCCATCCGTCAAAGAAGAGTAAGTCTTCAGAAGGCTATTGAGGTTTACATGGAAGAGGTATGTTACTAAAGATTCCCTGTTTAATGAACAATTGTTCATTTCCGAGTTCCAAAAACTCTCATTTTCAAACGGAGCCACGTACAAACCCTTTCCTGTCCAAATGATGTTTTATTTACGCTCAGCCTCGATTTGAAACAGAGGCCTGGAGCAACTCGGACAAATGGACTATTCAAAAGGGATTTGTTGAGCTCTTCTTGAGGAAGTTGTACAAAGAAGACAAATTGCTGACTTATTGCATTCCGACGTCCTTTCATTCACAAGGTTAAAGATTTTTGAATAATGAAAGACAAATGATACCAGTAACGCTATCTGAAATCAGATGAAAGAATTGTTTATTATTCAATAATAATAATAATAATAATAATAATAATATATACGCCCTTATTGAGCGCATTTCCATGCTCAATTCGCTTTACGTGGATAAGAAAAAGAAGGAAAATAAGAAAGCTCTCTAGCCAAGGTGACATAATATATATATTGTACACTTTAAAACACTAGAAGAATGTTAAGAATAAAAATCAATGGAAATATTCCTTGAATACTAAATGTAGCAACACTTTCTGCATTTTTTACATATTCTGGGATAGTATTTCATAACTGAGGTGCTGCAGTGGAAAACGCGCGTCCTCCATATGTTTTGAATTTTATGGCTGGGGTGCATTACAGCGAACGGGATGATGATCGTAGGGGTTTTGATGGATGATATTTCTTAATCGGAGGTTCCAGATATCCAGCAGATCGTCCTTTCAAGATTTTATATGTGATAAAAACAATCTTAAAGTTAAAACTTGCTTGCATAGGTAGCCAGTGCAGGCTCTTTAATATAGATGTCATATGGTCAGAACTGCTGGCTCTTGTTATCATTCGAGCTGCGGACAACAGCTTAATCATGATGTAAGTATGATAGGAAAATATTTATTCCTAGTCTTTTTTCATCATTTTTATGGAAATTTTTGCGTTCTATTCCAGGGTCCTAACTCTATTTCAGATTTTTACCTGCCGGCATGCACGGCGCCTTCTAGTGACCTGATCGTTCAAGACAGTTTAAAAAGACAAACCACTAAGTCTGTGCCACCTTGGCAAAAAATAGCAAGTGGCCAGGAAGGATTTCGTGTTATCTTTGACATGGAAAAAGACATAATTGGCGCAGAAAACAAGAACATTCCTGCAAACATGAGTCGCATTATCAAATATACTGATGGAAAATGGACGACAGCGAAACAAGATGGCTCTTTCCACTTGTACAATGCCTTCAATAACGGAGACAGTGGTGATGTAAAGAAACACAAGTTGTCTGTATTTGGTTTGATTCTCTCGTTTAATCAGAACAGCGGAGGTTTAGACTTGCTTCCACCAGATTATGAAGCTTCCAAGAGTTTTTTCCCAAATATTTCTCCCTTGTTGGTGGGAAAAACTCTTGCAAAAGTCGTTTCAGAAGCGGATGTTGCCAGTAAAATGCCAAGTAAAAGAACACTGACAAAAGAGCCCTGTAATGTCAAATGGTCAAATGCTCTACGATTTGATCCTACAGACAAGAAAGGAAAGTGTATTCATTTTACTGCGACAACCGAAGGAAGCTTATTCGTAGTGTTTTCTACAGTCCCCAAGAATAAGAACTCATGGTACTATATTGAAATAGCCCCTGAGAGAATAGCTATGTACAAGGTAACGAAACTAACATAGAATTTGATACGTTTGGACATGATTGAATTTCAGGGGGTAAACACCTAGGATACAAGCGGATAAAGGGTAACCTTTTTTGTATTATTTGGGACAATTCAGTTAAAACCTGGTATCACTTACATATTCTTTTCCCCTTCCGCAAGTAAATGCATTGGAATCAGTTTTGAAAAGTTAGTACACACTGTAATTGTCGCCCCTATTTTGAGTTTTGATGAGGTCATTACAGTATTTTGTCTTTTGGTTACGTGAATGCCATGTTGGTTTAGTTTGACTTCCGCTTTTTCGTACTTTGCTCTTTTTAATCTAATTTATAGCAACTTGTATTCTTTTTGTTAAGTTATGCTTTTCCGTGTATTCTTTAAAGGGAACCCACCTGAAAACTTCAACTACCGATCCAAACGCAGTAGCTCTTGGCGACCCAAACTTAATGCAGTCTTTCTTCGTTTGCATCACTGAAACAGAATCGACGTCTCTTATTGAATACGGTAAGACACTGGGAACTACCGAGAGTGGTGAAATTTATTTAAACATGCTGGATACCAGTGATCGCTTAAAAACACGGTTTTACGCCTTCGGAAACGGTGACAAACAGGTCGATGTGATAGACGCTCGGGTTGTGTCGCGTGACATGACCCTGGCAGACTGCAAAGGGGATACATTCATGGACCTGGAAACGAAGCTGTGCGTGCAGAAATGTCACGAAGATTGTGATCCACTGTACGGTAAGTAAAAGCTTTACTGATTAAAAAGTTGTAATACTAACATGTCACTACAATTACGTATTTACCTTTTTTTTACGTATTTTAGAAATGTTTAATTACCTTCCTCCTATAAGACAATTTCCATTTCCCTACCAAACAGCTGGCTGGCCTAGATTATAAGTGGCCCGAGGATTTGAACTCGGGTCTACCTAGAACAAAGCCAAGTACCGGCTAACAAAACTGTCGCCCAGACTGGTTTGTCGACGTCTCGAATCAAAATAAAACGCATCGCCTTTTTTCACGCTACTTTCACCCAATCTGCCTCTATGGGGAGTGAAACCACTCTTAGGGCGCTTTCCATTTGTCACAACTTCCCGACAAGACCATTTCCGTCTTAATAAGAAATTTCACTTTTAATCAAAACTATCCAGCCAGATCAGTCAAATCCTAAATAGTACGCACGAAGGAGATGGCTTTTCAGCAACAACCCTTTGGAAAAAGCCGATTTCATTTGCTAACTGACTGGTTCGGCAATGGTCTGGCTGGTCAGTTCCGACAAATGGAAAGTGCCCTAGGCATAAAAAAGTTCTGGTATGCAGTCCTTCGTCTTGCTTGGATTACATTTAAGAAAAGACGTCGATGAACTTCACCTAATTTGGAAGACATGCTATTCCAAACGTCGTTAAGACTTTATCTACAAAAGCCATATGCTAACTAAAACAAAACCAACGTAGTTAGGTTGCAAACCTACGTGTTGTGCGTGCGGACCGGAAGGCCGTCTGAGGCCATTTTGAATCGAACATATTTTATTGATAACAATGCTAACTATTAAATCCTATTTAAAATTAATTCACTTAAAAAAAGACTATTCTGTCAAAACACTATTTACAATTCCTTTCGTTTAAAAAAAACAATTAGTTTTGATTAGAAAAAATTCATTTAAAATTTCATTTTTGTTTGTTTTACCCTCTCTGTTATCAAGAATGAATTTCGCGCTCTCAAGTGAAAAGGTCTCGGGTGCATGTCACCTTATTTTGGGTTTGCCTCAACCACGTTTTTTAACAGCCAACTGGTATCCACGGATTGAGAGAACAATCAAGTATTTAAATATTTTATTTTTACATCAATTGAAGGTTGTCAAACCAGCTCATCCAAGAACCCGCTGCCTACAGAATGCAACGTATGCCGGGTTGCCAAAGATTCAAAAACTGGGACTTGCCTGCCGGACTGTGAAGAACCTAACATCCTTACAAAGGATAGATACTGCATAGATAGATCAGGTAATTGTGTTTTGACTTTCCATTTTCTTTGCCATTGACCATGTCGTATACGACGATCAACGTAACAGGGATCCTGTTTATCCGCACCTTTCTCTGTTTACGCACATAATGCATTATGGGTCAGTCACGTAAAAATCTCCAGGTCACAATTGTTGTGGTATAAAGTCGTTTCATGATGACAAACAAACAGGAGCTGAATTTTTACGATGCTGCATAGTGTTTACGTATGAGCTCACCTGTCAACAGTTTGAACAGTCAGAGATTTGGATGGGTCCTGGAGAGTGACCAACCTATTAAAAAGCAAATCCTCAAATCTTATATTCGATTTCTTTTTTGTGGTAAGTCAAACTCAACAAACTTTAATCTACATTTTTACTTGAGTAAATCTATTAGTTCCCTTTAAACTGGTTCTAAGCCAAGACAAAAGAAAGATGCATTTCTTGTACTCCCTTCATCTTCCCTAACCTACCCTTGCAGCCTGCAAAGGCGGACAGACAGACAGGTGGACGCTGACGTCATTTTAAATTTTCCTACTTCGATGGGTTTCCATTTTCTATAGCAATGGAGGCTATAGGAACTGTCTTTTTTGCGCTTTTCAGCTACACGAAACATCTTCTGACGCCTAACGTGCGAAAAATTGGAGATTTTCATATTGCACGTGAGATCTTACCTTTTGCTTACTTTTATTATCAGCCACGTATGACGTACGGCCTAAGTTACTATTCAACGCGGGAATTCAGATCCGACCTATCACCCCCTTACCAGAAGTTACCATTTGCTTTTGGTACCGTTTGGTGTCTGACTCTATTTTCCCATGGACTACAGTATTCTACAATGTGACTGGAAGCAAGACGCAGGGTTTGTATCTGGGATGGGTGTTTCATCCTATCACGGCTTCATCGAAATTTTATGTAAGACTGAGGACCCCGTCTGGAGACGTGAAAACAACAGACACGATTGGCAGGTAGGAAAAGAGAATACCTCATTTGCTTAGCGAAAAATTAAGCGCTCGGTCATTACCTTACTTACAGTTACACTTAGGGTGACTTCAATGGGACCGACTCACACTTGTCCACCGGATTTCTTGTTATTGGTTATCAGCATAAAATTCATTTCGTCCTAAGGAGTGATTTTGAGTAGTTTTGTACTGTTATTGAAGAAAAATCAAAATGGAATACAATGGCAGTATGGGCAGTGAGATGGCAACAATCACGCCGTGACACTGACTGGCAATTATATCACTACTGTCATAGCCAACCCGCCGGGGAGGGTACTCCCTATAACAGCATATACGGGGAGGTTCCCGCGCAAAATTGGTACCATTTTCAGGCTTTAGGTATATGAATGGACAGGGAAATCACAAGCTGAAGTAAGCCAGGAAAATCATACCGCCGAGAGTACTGGCTCAGACCTCACCGTTTAAAATTTTATTTATTAGTATTCGCACACACCCAAGTCCTAACCGCAGCCTCTGTAAAACCGTTCGACTTCCTTCCAGTAAACTATTTAAGGGTATTAGCAATTTATTTTTTATTTTGGTTCTCTTTGTTCCCGAATTGGCCTTTTTTAATAGTTAGCCTTCATATTAACTTCACCTAAGTGGCCACTGTACGTACTAGGAAAACTATCCATAATGATTTTTAACTATAAACATAGTTCAACCATTAGATGATTACGTTTTCTTTTCTTTTTTATAGCAAGAGCGGTATTTTCACAAAGCCTCATTTAGCAGACAAAAAATGGCATCATATATGCGTTTCATTTTCCGGCAAAAGTGGAGTAGTCATGCAGTACCTTGATGGTGAAACGAAGGCATCCGAAACCCTGATTGGCCATGAACTGGACGGTGGTGGAACTTTGACATTCGGTTATAAATTCATCACAGATTACTATCTCACGGGGCTAAACCTTTGGGACAGAGTACTGTATGCGCAGAAAATACAAGAAATTGCAACCTCTTGCTTCAAGGGACTTGGAAATGTTAAGAATTGGTTTGATTTGACTGAAAAAGTCAAATTATGGCCGCAGATGTTGATGGGAAGATCCAGTCCTTCCCAATGTCGATCTCCAATAGAGGTGAAAAGGGAAGAGGAGAAGCAGGAAGAACTGGCGAGACAACAAAGGTTAGTGCAGGACCTGCACAGAGTCAACAAAGTATCATATTATCCACGGCCTCGATCTGCATAATTCTTCATATCATACTCAGCCTTATTCAATAACTGTTGAAGCAGATTGCCCTGTCAAATATACTTAACAGCAAATAAGTGAACCTCTGGAATATACACCCTCACCCCCCGTCACGGGCTTAAAAACAAAGTATCTTTATTTATTTATTTGTTTATTTATTTACCTTTCTAGGTACGTAGAATGAATGGTTTAAAATTCTAGGTAATTGCAAAAAGTATCTCAGAAAGATTGGCCCTTTAAAAGGGCTATAATTTGGCTCTTATAACCTTGAAAAATATACGTTTATTGAGATTCTCACAATTAGCATTATGTAATTATATGCAACGGAGTCGTTCTTCGTTTCAAGGTGCAGTCATTGTAATTAAAAATCTCTGTGCTTTTTTGAGCTACTGTTTCAGTATAACCCGTCTATCTGTGCGTCATTGTACCTTGCTTACAAAATAGGAGAATTTATTTCGTTTCATTATTTCTCTTATTTATTTTCCTTTCGCAATTGTCGTGACAATTGAGCGTGACACCTTTTTCCTTGAAATGAATGGACAACACCCTAAGCAAGAATAGTATTGCCAATCTGGTGTCATAAACATCCGTAGGTATAGTTTTATGCCAGAGATCTTAACGATTCCAGTGTATCCGAAACCATAATAAAGTTGTAAGCAAAAAACGCGACTTTAAATTTGCAACTTGAGACGGCAAACGATAGACATGATAACTTTACATAAATATTTTGGTAAACCTTCTGCCTTCTCTTTGTTGCTGATTTAATCTGTTTTTCTTTAACTTTCTTTCCACCTCAGGTCACAAGTTGCTGGATCACAAGAAAAGGCTTCTAACAGTTAAAGGGCATAAAAGAGGGTCGTACAGGGGTATTTTCGTGAGGCGTGGTTAGCGGGTTTCATTTGTTGTGAATTGTGAATTTAAAAAAATATTCCTCGTGTTTCGTGACCAAAAGGTTAAGCGCGCCCCTTGAAAAACTCGAATTGACAATCGATAATAGTGATTTTATTACGTATTTTTGTCGTGATTTTCATTGTCTCGACCTCCGAAAGATGAATAAAGATTGTGAATCAGCGAAAGAGACAATTATCATAAAAAAAACGTACACCTATCTTGCATGACTCTTACCTGGACTTCGCTAGTCTTCCTAGATACTTCGTAGACAACGGAAGACTCGTAAAGTCCGCGAAGGAATCGATCCCACAAATTTAAGAGTGTGTCCATGAGAAAACCAGGCAGGACCAGGCAGGGGGTGATAATGCTCAAATCACCGATTTCGCTCAAACTTGGCACAAATGTTAGGTATCAGGAGTTAGCTTAGGTGACAGAATGTCAGGTCAAAATATTAAATTCCCTGGGAGATCCGGGCTCCCCCTGTAAAAATCGCCATTTTGACATGCATAATTAATTAGCTAACTTTACGATGCCAGTGCAACAAACAGAAAAGCCACCTGGAATTTAAATGCACTGAGAGATAATCAGACATCATAAGACTTTAAGCACAATAAACTGTTTAAAGTCGCCGATTCGATTTCCCCCCTCTTAGCCCCCTTAAGTTGGGTCATCATTTCCAAGTTTTGAGTAAGACGTAAAATTAGGGTATTTTATTCCCAAATATCTCTGATGAGCAACCGCTTATCTTTATAACTTTTGCATGAGTAGTTAAAGCCATCACTTAAGTTGAGAAAACGATCATAAAAAGTTTGGGCAATTCACTTTCTTCCATGTGTTGACATAAACTGTTCATGTGACTCAACGACTTTTGCATATTTCATCAAAATTCAGGCCCTCACAATATTCGTGTGTTTGCCTTTGAATGAGGAGAAAACGAACAAAAAAACTCATCCGACAATGATTTAACATTAATAAGCGTAAAATCATAAAAATTGTTGTGCAAGAAACGCTAACGATGATTTTTGATAGCTATATACGCGATCTTTTCAAGTAAAAACAACATACAAAGATTTAATTCACAGTTCTACTTACTTTAACAATTTCGCCCTAAAAACAATAATAAACGATCAATAAAATCCATGTACGTATCTCTTAGATGTCTCAACTGCTAGTTTGTGCCCGCTTTGATTTGTTCCCCTTCATGCCACCTTCGATGTCCCCAGCGTAGTTCAGCGTCGTGACTCGCTGTACGACTAAAATTCCTTAGCCATCAGTTTATGCACCAAAATCCAAATCAAGTTGTTTTAGGACAAAACAATATGAAAGGTAGAAAGCCGATCCTTAACCCATTGAAAGAATTATTTCTGCCACTGTTGTAGCGCAATTCGCATGTTGCAAACGTCCGACATCTTTAAATGGAGCCCGCATTTTTAAGCAGCGGTTGCCACCATACGGAAACATTGTATCGGGAGTCAGGAACCAGGAGCCAGGAGCCAGGAGCCAGAGTTCAGTGAACAAAATGACTTTCCGACATTCTCTGAGATTATTTTATTGTTATTGTATGCTGATAAATAATTTAGAATTCCAAATCTATTGGCAACTTTATTCAGACCATGATTATAAATGATCCCATGTCTTCTCAAACTCGGAGATAGAAGTCGTTTTGTCTTCGTGTTTTGGAAAGAACTATTTTTTCTATTTTAGTTGCACGTGAAATAGCAGCGAAGTGAAGCTGGATGTTGGTGCAGACCAGTTCAAAGAGACAAATAAAGCGTGAGACACGTCCAGATTGGCGTGCGACAAGAATTCCATTTTTTTTTTCATACTGGAGTCCCTTATCCCCGGGGGAGTGTCCAAGTTGCGTACAAATGGTCTACCCTGCTGACACCAGATTTGACTGTCATAAACAGAGAATTTTTTTACCTCGCACGGTCTTTTGGGGGTCTTATAAAGCCTAACTGTGGCACTAATGTTCCCAAGTAGAATTCAAAATACACCACACTTTCACATTGAGTTAGATATTTTTCTCAAACAACCGCTTCCATATGTTTAACACCCTTCCCACATTCCCTCCGAGAGATACTTGAACTGTAATACTTCGCTTTCAAATTTCTCACCCTACCCAGGTAAGGTCAATTTTCTCGTCCTAGACATCGATCTCGGAAGGGCCTTTTTGCGTACTCTTGGGCGCCAAAACCAGTTTAGTGCCCAGCCGTGTGCCGTGCTGAGGCAGGCAGATGTTGAATTATGGACAGACACAACAATTAAGTTAGAGACATTTGATGTTCCGGTCCGTGCGTGGTCGGACGACACCCAGTAAATAATGCCCATGGGGTTGCCCAAGGAAAATTTGGGTTTTACGAGAGTCGAACTGCAGGAGGTCTTTAACGAGGAAAAGTGCGGACACATCTACTTTTTGGAGTGAATGTGCTGCATGCAATTTTTAAGTTACAATATACTATAGATAAATCTAATTTGTTTCTAAAGTTCCTCTCATACACCGAGTAGTTTAGGACATACAGGGAACGCAGAGATCAGACCATTGCATCATGGAAAATTCTCAATTAGACTGTCATCGTAAAAAGTGGTCGCGGTCGCTTACTGGATGTGGATGTGTTCGTTTACAGGAGGTTCCAACTACAAGCGCTTTGACTTGATAATATATTTGGTGTGTTGTGATCGCTGATTGGGAAGTGGTCACTTAAGTTGGATGGTCGCACGTAGGTTTGACGGTGCCTCGTTAAGCGAAAATTTGTTAAAATGTAAGAGAAATCCTAAAATTGTAATACAGTGGAAGCTCTCGTACGAGGGCGCCCTCGGGACGAGAAAAAGGTGTCCTTAACTGGATCTGGCCGCTTACAAGAATGAATCTCATATGCAGCATAGTTATGCAAGTGGAATTCAGCCACTTTAAAAGTGGTGTAAAGGTTAGATAGCCGCTTACGGAAGCTCCTCCCAGCTACAAATTAACACTGGTAATAGCAAAAAACTGTTTTTTAGTGTATGGTTACGCTGATGTTCTTGCCTTGTGGTAATTTAGGTAAAAGCATTCAATTCAGTTTGTATTTTCAAGTGTAACCGGACGAGTATGTGAAAAAACGGTAACTCTGAAATGGATATATAAGAATGATTCATAACAGTGACAAACAGCCATATGACTGTGGACATGATATGAAAAAAAAAACAACATTCCGAGGCGGATAAGATTTCTTTCGAGTGTCTGCTTAGGAGAGCTTTAAATCAAAGCTAACATCTAATTCGCCGGTAAACCCTTTAAGTGTCCGCGGCCGCGTACGGGAATGTAAAAATCCAGAGTTTGTGTGGGAGTTGAAACGGGATTTTGTGATGGCGGTCGTAAGTAGAGCTATTCGCTATATACGAGAGTGTCCGTAAAGAGAACTTAATCTAGTGTATGAATCCGCAAATGACAGCTTAAATGAGAAGTGAATATAGTGTATTAGTCTGTGTTCAAGAAACTGTTCTCTTACACCTTCCTTATAGCCAAAGAAGTCTGGCCGACTTTTTTTGCAATGTATTAGTGCCCCCTTTTGGGTCTTTTGTATTCCTCAGAAGTTTTTCCTCAACACGTTTATAAACGGTTATTATTATATTTTTGTAGTCAATAATATACCCAGATACAGATACCAACCTGTATAGTTGTAAGACTACGAGGATTAAAATACAACTAAGTAACTAATTATACCCAGTGGTAAGTCATTAATTGTCTAAAAACTGCACGGCACGGTCTGACTACAAAAAGGGATATTATGGACCATTATTATCATGGTAATTAATGTCAACATCGAATAAACTCAAAATTTCAAGTAACACAACTTTCACAACCTATTTTCAACACACCAGTCATAACAGGATATTGGCGCGTACAACAATAGATAGCGTATTCCGCATTCCGGAGTCCGGTAGTCCGGCGTCACAGATTCCTTCCTTTTGGCAGAGTCTAAAGTCAAAGATGGAGAGCGTTCGAGCAGGTGGTTGTTTTCTGTAGATATAGACGGATTGTCCGT